TTGAAAGCCACACAAGTGACTCAGTTCTTTTCAGTAACTGATAAATATATTTCCTTTGTAAATATAACAGTAACTGATTTAAGGACAACAATATGGAGTATATATAATTTTGGAGTTTTTTGATTATTGGTTTTGACATATTTCAGACTCAATTTCATTGAAAAAGGGGCCATAGTTTTAGAGTACTGTACATCTGAAACAGCTAAATCAAGACCTGATACAAATTATATAAGCATTTGACAAAATGCATAGAAAAGTTCTGAAAGAAATAGTTATTGCAGTTCATTAAACCTGCCTTTGTACTAGTATAAATTCTTTACTTCCTTCTGAGTCAACTTATTTGCTCATACCTGTCTGTTCATTCAAATAGAGGAACATATTTTCTAGAACTGTATACTGTTTACTTGAAAGAAAGGCATACAATTTAAAATGTAGTCAAAGAATTTCCAAGATGTATTCCATGTTGTGCATTTTTTGAACACCTAGCCTTCTCAACAAAAATCTTTAGTCCTTCAAGAAATTTGACCTTTCAATTTTTTTTTCATTCCTTCTATAATTTATGAAATAATTGCTATACAGCCTATGCACAAAATCAGGCCCAGAGTTTTATCATAATGAGATTACAGTCTAAAATGAGTTAATAAAAATGAGATTTCTATAACATGGTGCCAATGGAGAACTGCCAGGACCATGAAAAATTGAAAAGAAAAATGTATTGTTATGAGATTTTTTGTGATGGAATTTAACCTTATATATTTTGGTTAAATTCTAGCCTCAGATATCCTTTGTTCTCTACAAATTATATTTTTTAATTGTGTGATGAAAAATTCACATTTCCTTCTTACAAGGAAATATTAGGCCCAGTTTTTGCCCAGCATCAGGCCAGAATGTGGCTTAATCCGGCCCTGCCTATAACTGCCTGAAACCTTTACTAAATGGTAGAGTAAGGGTATGCCTAAGTTATGAGGGACTCCCATTGATCTGGTGGATGCTCTGCATTGCAGCTGCCAAGCTGTGGCTATAGATGTTGCTGCGCATTGTAAGGGTATGGTCTTACTCCAGTGTAGGATGAATGACTTCCAGAAATCTCGCCTTTGAAAGCTGTCAGATATAGATTAATAGGTGTCTGGACTTTATGGTACTCTTTCTAACTCAATGCCACTCACTTCCATGCTGCCCCCCTAGAGGGCTGTATTCTTCCACTTCATCCCTCAATGCCACAATAAATGAGTGACTTCATCAACTGTGCATGCTTGCAGATAAGCATTACATGTTGAAGAATGCTGTCATAAGATAACATATGTACTATTCAATACATGAAATTGCAGAATTCTTACTGTTTTATTCTTGTTTTTTTAGTAGTATTTAATTGTGGCCAAAAATGGTTGACACATTCAAAGGTATTCCATATCACTACCACTGATTTGTGTGAATAACTTCCAAACAAGGCCAGAAAAGAATAATTTTTTCTGAGAATTAATTCCTTGAATGTGACACCACTCCAAAGGCTCAATGCTGTAGTAATAAATGTGAATGTATGACTTGATAAATCTGCATATTAGAGTAAGTTATTCATGCGTTTAAATGCAAAAAGCAATTATAAATTTATACAAAAAGAGTGCATTGCCCAATTTCATTTAAACCATCAATAAAGTATAGCAGTACACATTTTTCAAGCATACCAAGATCCACACAATTTTCAACTGATTTGACAAGATGATAAGTTTACCTCATGAAAAGTGAGATTTACAAGCTCATGCAAAAGTGACTTTATTATAATGAATCAATTACAGTCTATCATACTGAATCAAATGTATTTGTGGAGAAAAGATCTAACTGACATTGCAATGCTTGCTGTGTGTTCCTGCAATTTGATTCTGAAAATTGATCTCATATACTGCATGCTCTTTATGAATATGTACCCAGAATATGTGAATATGTACAGTAAACTTGAAATTACAGGGATTCAAGACATTCTATGTTAAATTGTCTGCAATGTACCCAGGATTGAGTGCAATAATATCAGCAGAAGATTTTGTCCAGTTTCTCAAGTGTAACATCAATAAAGGCAGAGAAAAGATTGCAATCACTCAATTTTGTCATGATAATTGTGATGTTGTAGACTCAAGTACATTACTAGCTGTTCTTGCTTGGGCAATACTAAACCATTACTATTTGCATCATCTAACATCCCTTTAATACATGATGCGGTAGCTATTTTAACAAATTCATGGCACTTTAGTAAAAAATGCATCCAATTCTCAAAGGTTTCTAAGTGGTGTAACTCCTGCAGCATAAATACATTAGTTTGTGCATCACCAGAGCACCTTCTTTTCTTATGTCCAGCATTGCAAATGGATAGAAATCAGCTTAAGAAAGATTTAAAATTACTGAAATTCAATGAGGAGACACTTTCTGAAATCTTGAAGGATCAAGATACATTTTTGGCCTTATATGATTTCTCTTCAAAGATTCTCTCTAAATTGTTCATTGAACTAAAACTCATACAGAAACAGGCTGAAGACCTCATGCTTTAAATAAACTTTTACTGCTGCTTTTTCTTCAATATTGGGGATAGGTGGATGTATGCAGCATATGTGTAGGATGTCCAGTTTTATTTTATTTTGTGGAGTGTGTTCTCTTCTGTTTTTGTCATTGGTTTGTGCTTTGTTTCATGATATGAAGTGATTGAATGTCTTGGGGGGAGTTGAGTTGGGTGGGGAGGGGGTTTGGCTGCGGGTGTTTTGGTTGTGCCTTGTGAACGCTGAAAAGCGGCAAATAAAGTTTTCTGTTCATTCATTCATGTACCCAGGAATGGTTGAAAAATATATTATAAATGATAATAATACAGTAATTCATAATTCTGGCAAGTGTGAAACAGTTTTCCTTTGCTGAAACATGATGAAATGCACATAGACTTAGAGCAACACCTATGCATAATAAAATGAAACAGTTATATTTTAGTTAAAACCTCACCCACTTGATGTCATTACACAATTATTTGCTGAGATTCTTGAGTTCCCAGGATTTGTGAGTTGTTTGCATTGTATTCATATATTTGCACAAGGAATTCAAGCATGACAGTACTTTACTCAATTGATTTTCCTTCTTAAGTGAAGAACTGGTAATCCAGGATGAAGTTCTTAAATGCTCCACAATATCAAGGATGAATTGTGCCTCCAAATGATGAAAAACACAGTAGCATATGTTTGCTTCAGCACAGGTTCAATCCCTGATGTACACTGAATAAATCCAGAAATGCATTAAAATTCATTTCTGAATTTTGTTAAGGTTTTGTGCACTTTTAATTTGATCAAGTCTTCAGACCTCATGATTCTTCCCTATATTTGAAGAATATATTAAAAACCATAACTGTACATATTTGGTATTATTAAATACTCCATTCACCATAATGTAAACCAATAATACATTATCTGTAATGTATATTTATTTCTGGAAAAACCAACCTTCAAGATTGTTGTTGTTTTCATTGTGGTGCTCACCAAACACACCTCAGCACACTTTTACTCACATAATTTGAGATTTGGAAATTGGTGTTTGTGTTCCCCCTGCTGCTAAGACACTGACAGAGGTGATATTCAAAATTTGTTCTTATGCTCTGTGTCATGTCATTTGTAGTAAGAAATCTTATTGGATATTCAGACTATATGAAAGTTCCTTGAAAGTTTTATTCACATAATTTGCGCAATGTTATTTGGATGTTAAAATTTATTTATTTATTTTGAAAATCTTTTTTATATTCATGCTGTTATTTGTTCATCAGAGTTTCCCTGGATAATGCATATTATATTTATTTAAAAAAGGTGTTTTTATATGTGCATTGTTAATTGTCCCTTGGAGCCTCCATATACATTTCACATTGCCAAACCATTGCAGTTGAAGCCACTCAATGAGAGGCTGGTGCTCCTAGGGGTGGCGTGGAAGAGGTAGCCTTAAATGAAGCAGCGTTGAGTTGAAGTTGTACCATAATGTTGTGTCATGAGATTAGTAGTGTGATAGATGATGAATTAAACCACTTGCTCTCCATAGTGCGCTCATGTGTTCTTGTCTGCTTACCCGCCTGTCTGTGAACTTGATCTTCAGAGTTGTTTTGGAAGTGTGACGGCGGAACATTGTGCTAGAAAGAAACAGCCGAAATCGTTCGCCAGGATGATTCAGTGTCGTGAAGCCCTCGCCGAAGTTCTTTGGAATTCATATGGTAAACCTGATGTAAAGTGTTCCACTCCGTATAACTGACGCATTATTTCGTTTTAGCCGACGCCCCAATAGACGCTATGAAGCATCTTTACAATGAAATGTTCTTGAACTACAAGACAGAGCTGGCGGCTATCGTGAGCGCAATCCCGGACGAAATATTACAGTTGACTCAAGATGAGGTCGATAAGGTACGTATCCTTTCGGGCAGAAACTGAAACTCCACTCGAAATGATTTTTCTAAGCTTAGCTTCGATGCATTTATGAATTGTTACTCCGTACGATCCGAATCAGTGTATCTGTTTTCTTCAGAAATATGGCGCAGATTTCTTCTCCGGCGGATTATCACGCATGAAGGAAGTGCTCGCCACTTTCCCTTCTACTAATCAGCATAAGAATGTTCGAGGTCGGTTATTTCTCCGGCGTCCTAACCGAAACAAGATTTATGTTCATTTGTAATGCTTCTAATACAGACTCCACTTTGATGCCTCCCCCGCCATCGATCATCAGTGGTTCTAGCACACGTTCTCGAGGGAAGACTCCAAAGGTGCTGGCAACGCCGAGTATTCAAGGCGGATCTGGATTGAAAATCTTCCCGACCCCAAATGCCAAACGAGGAATCCAGAAAGGCGAGCAAGTATTTTCGGCCCGTGGAAGCCTTCTGGGAATTGCCGAAGAAGAAGAAGAGTGTGATGAGAACAATCCGGCTCCGATGCGGGCTGTGCGTAAACCAGCCAGGAAATGAGCACTTATCAGGGGCATATTCAACTTTTTATATTTGTATCAGCTTGTGACAGTTTAATATGGGTTCACTCTCTTGATTCGATCAATACAAATTATTGTGTACACGAGCGGTGCTATTGCAAACGTGAGGCAAGATTGAGCCAAGAGTTTCGTTTAAGTAGTTGCGAACGTTTTTCTTGTGGTTGCAGGTCAATAGTTTTATTTCGTAATGAGTGACGAAGCGTCGTCGGATGCTCCAGAAGGTATATATGTTTCGAATCACGGCAATTCCTCGGGAAGAGGTAGTCCCGTCGAATCCTCCGAGAACAAACATTCGATGGATGGAATGAACGAGTACTTCCAGCAAGCAATGTCCATCTCACGTGTTGCTGAACCCGAGAACGTTGCTCGGGATTGGCGTTGTGTGAGTGGTCCAAGTGTTCACGATAGACTGTGTTGGGAATGTTCAGCGTCTTCGTATCCACCGCTTCCTGATCCCTTGCCTGAAAAGACGACAACCAGTAAGAGAAGGAAAAGCTTGCAGAAGCGAATCAAGAAATTCTCGTTGCCAAAACGTGGAGCCAGTGATTCTAAAGAACAAAAGTCTCGGAGCTGGGGAGTGTTCAAATTGAACTGCTCCTTTGGTGGGTCCAAAAGCCCGAGTTCGGAGAAAGAGCAGGTTCAGGATTCGTCGGCTGCAAGTGGTGTTTGTATTTGTGCGAGTTATCATCGTCCTGATGGGGAACAAGGCGAAGGGGTTTTGGCGCCCGTGATTGACTTGTCTAAGTGAGTATCCTGACGACGGACTTTCTCCCTTCAGGATGCAATGTGATTTGTTTTGATGCTTCCAGATTTAATCCGGAAGAATATCCTATTGAAGACTGCGATGAACGAGCGCGGATGGAGCGTGCCCGTGAAATCAGTGAAGGAGTTGATCCCCCTCCTGGTTTCATGTCACTTCCTTTCGAGTTGTTCCCGGTGGAAAGCTTCGTGTGTCCACACAATGGTAAGTTTTGCTTTGACTTCCACATAAACTTTTTTTTCTGATGTTATTTTTTGCGTTAAATTCTCGCAAGCCTTACAGGAAGGCATCCAAAGGTCTACCGTGCACTTCGTTGCAGAAATCTGCACTTTTTGTGTGTTAACGCAAATGAGGCACTGAGTATTGTATCATTTAATGTACCTATGTAAGTATTGAAGCTGTCGGAAAAGGAAATTTTTGAAGAGAATAGATCGTGATTGGCGAATAATTTCAACGAGAATTCGTTCACTTATGCCATGAAATGAGATCTTGTAAACTCGGTATGAAGTGATGATGACAGCGATTGTAAAGTATTGATCGGCCACGTAGAAAGGCTTCGTCATTGTAACTAACATGAGAAAATCCGTGAGATAGATGTGGAATTGCACCATTGTTTAGGAACCTTCCTTGAATATCATGTAGGATTGCTTCAAAGGCTGGACAGGAAGTTTGATCATTTCCCCCGTTTTCTCTTCAGTTCCTCATGATATGGGTTGTGCCACTGGCTACTCGACCGAGACTCGATTGGAGTCGTTTTTCTCCTCGACGGACGGTGACTGTATGTTGCGTCGAACAGTGCATACGCAAGTGGACTACGTGCACTGCCTCGTGCCAGATCTTTTGACCATTGCAAACTGTTCATTTTACTGGGGAAGGATGGATCGTTACGAAGCTGAGAAACAGTTGGACAACAAACCCGAAGGCGCTTTTCTTCTGCGGGATTCTGCACAGGTTTGTGAATAAATCTTTCGGTAGGTATGTCTGGGTAAGGTTAGTAAACCGGTGCAGTCCTTCTATATTCCGCGTGTGATAGAATTTCTGTTACCTCGTGCTGGTAGCTTCAGTTGCGACCTAGCAATGGAAAATAATGAAACAAATCTAAAAATTTAAAAGACACGCATTCATTTGAAAGAAATACAGCCCAACCTCTTCAAGGAACCAGCAACAAAATTCGAGTTGGGGAGGCATCGAGTTCGAGAAACAGGCATTTTTCTTGTGGGAAAGACAGGAAAATTACAGCAAATAGTAATTGGTGATTCTGCTTTTTAAGTTAGTAGACAGGATCCTGGACTTGGAGACAAGGATTCATTCGCACAATTAATCTTTCGCTTCTTTTTTAATCAAGTTAAAAAATTGATAAAGTTATTATTGATCAAGATAATAACTTATTATCAACTTGATAAGTTAACAATCAAGTTATTAACTTGATTATTAATAACTTAATAATCATCAAGTTAATTTGATAATTTAAGTTATCAAGTTAAATTTTTTGCTTTTCTTTTTCATTTTTCAACAAAATAATAGCCTAAAGGCCTCAAACAAATTCGAGTTATGGAGGCTTTTGGCGGAAAGCCTTTGAGTGAGGAAGGTTTTTAGTGCATTTTTCTGGGAAAGTTCAGGCAGGAACTTGAAATAAATTCGAATTTGGTAGGTTCGAGTTATCGAGGTTAATTTGTAATACTGTACGAACGTGGATTCGTGTGAGATTAACTTTAAAAATCTTGGTCGGCCAATTCTGTTCTGGTGGAATATATGCGTGCACTGCCGTTCTTTCTGTGAAGAACATCCTGGAAGATAGTGCGTTGATTTCTGATGCGTTTCTTTTGTTTCGTTAGGAGGATTACTTTTTCTCGGTGAGTTTCCGTCGCTACGGAAGATCGTTGCATGCTCGAATCGAGCAGTGGAACCATATGTTCAGCTTTGACTCGCACGATCCGGGTGTCTTCTCATCGCCTGCGATCACATCTCTGGTGGAGCACTACAAGGATCCGACGTCGTGCATGTTCTTTGAGCCGCTGCTCACGACACCGATCAACCGAAACTTCCCGTTCCAACTATCACATCTGTGCAGAGCCGTGATATGTAATAATACCACCTACGATGGAGTTAACCAACTCAAGTTACCGAGAGCGCTGAAGGCATATCTCAGGGAGTATCATTACAAACAAAAAGTCAGGGTCAGGAGGTTTCAGTTGGAACATTGACCCCGTGAACAAGTGAGCGTGCGTTGTTTTAAATCTCTGTGGTCCTGTTCTTGAGATTTGCCTTTCTTACAAAAAAAGAAAAAAGAAAGAAAAAATTGCGGAGTGAAAACTCTGACTAACGTAATGTTACCCAGCCTGAGGTGAGAAATGATTTTACTTACTTACTGCACTGCGCATGTTTTGTGGTAAGGCTGCTTTTTGAAAATTGAATCAGTCAATGTGTACATCTTCCGTTATTCGGATTAAGGAAGGTCTGTGTGCTTCGTGTGAATGCGCGGTTTGTTGGAAGCTTTCTGAATTGAAGATGAGGACAAAGACCAAAGAAAGTTGCCTAATTGATGGTATCAAAGATGGGAGTTCAAATGGAACAATGTTGCTGCTTAATGAATGAAGGATTGAGTGTCGAGAGGAAGATACGTTTTTTTTTTTGGTCGAATAATCAATGGGAGTGCTATATGATGCATATTTTGATTGTTTTTTTTCCTTCGAACTTCTTGCTCTCCCCAGTCATGTCGCCTGAACGTCGAATACATTCGGAAATCTCTTGAAAGGATTTATTCGTCAATGTATTCTTTAATTGGAGAAGGTGTCCGTGTAGTGTGTCGTTTACGTCACCGTCTGTTTTACAGATACGATGTTGTGATGTGTTACTAATCTGAGAAGTGAGTCGTGGACCGTAATGGTGAGTAGTTGAAGTATTTTTTCATACCTCGCTGAGAGTGAAGTATCGACTTCATTTACAGTCAGACTCGACCGCCACGATTCGAACGAGGAAGTTCATGACGAACCGTCTGCTCCACCGTCTGCAAATGGTACGTATGTTCTGTGAGTTGTGCAAAACTATTGGAAGTTTTGCACAACTATTGGACTATTGGAAATCATGAAGGGGAGAAAAATTATCGAATGACATACCTGAATTCCCGAGGAATTTTCGACATTATTTGCCGTGATGATTATATCGAAATGTTTGTCTTTTTCCTGAATTCTAGCTATTTGACCGTTTGTGGGTACCAATTGTTTATTTTATCCCCGCATTTCTGTGCTTCAAACCACATGGAAGATACTTGAGTGAGGTTTAAACCGTTTAATGGACCGGAAATCTTCGGTCGAGTTAGTTTCTTCTATGATTCTGGGTTCGGTTGAATGTATTTTAGAAAGCTGTTGATCCTCTTCTGTTAAGTTTAGTCGTCGTGCGTTATGATGTCAAGGTATGATATTAAGTTGCCATTTTTGATGCTGAATGGCAACTTCGAGTAGAGAGTATCTTACATTTTTCTTTGAAATGTTGCGTCCTTTACCAAATTATGGGACCAATGCTTTTGGCAAAAATGAAATCGAAATGTTGATGACGATAATTGTTCATTAGCTCGATATTCCTTACCTTCTCTTTCTTTGATTTCCAAAAAAAAATATGCAACATTAAACTTGATCTTCCGAATCTCTTTTCGTGCCAGATCGTTGATGTGATGCACCCGGGAAGAGCGTCGGTTCCGAAAACTGAAATACGAGAAAAACTTGCCAAGATGTACAAGACAACGTCTGATTTGGTATTCTGCTTCGGGTTCCGAACCAAGTTTGGAGGCGGGAAGTCCTCGGGATTTGCGCTCATCTACGACACCATGGATTACGCGAAGAAGTTCGAACCGAAACATCGTCTCGTTCGAGTCCGTGATTCTTGTTTGTACGATTCACGACGCTGTTGATAACTGAAATTCTTTTTATTTCTATGTTCTCATGAGCAGCACGGTTTGCTGAAGATCGAGAGAGTTGGGAGGAAGGTCAGGAAACTGAAGAAGACCCGTATGAAGAAGTGCCGTGGGAAATCAAAGGCTGAAGCTGGAAGTGCTGCTGCCAGTGGGGCGAAGAAGGTCAGCTGAAGATGAATTTTTCCGTGTCGGAGAAAGAATGCGTTCCAGTAGGATCAGCATGATGATCACCCCGCGTTGTTGGCGAATGTTCCAAGCACGACGAACGTTTTTTGATAGCGTTGAGTGATGTGATTCGTTTCGTTGACATCCTGAGTTTTTCCTAGCAGCGAAGGTGAGATTTTTCTTTGCGTCTTCTGGATTATGTGAAGAACGCCTCTTTGATAGCATTTCTTTTGTTTTCAAGTTGCCCTTCCATTCAAAAGATTCACATTCGATGCGATTTATATCAACTCAGTTTGAACGAGTTTCTAAACGGCATGTGCTCGTAGATCTCCGGTCATTGCATGTTTTTATTGGTATAAGTTCTCGTACCTTTTTCTAGTAAGTATAATTCATTAAAATGTATTCCTTGTTCGCAAGAGTAATGAAATAATTTTTTTCTTTGGTTTTGCAGAAGGGTAAAGGCCGGTGAAGGAAGATCGTCGAGCGCACAAGTCAATTCAGAAGGATGTGCAAATGCAAGGAGAAATAAGTCCATTCGAAAACAAAATGTTCATTTGTGTTCGCTTCTGGTCATTTACAAAGCCTTGATCGTAAATATTTTCGTGTGAAATAGCAGGAAACTTGACGATTGATATTGAAGATGGCTAGTGCGGAACTTTCGAAATTGTTCGGCGATTTTTGGGATTGGCGAATGAAGGAGTTTCCGGAATTCGCCTATTTGGTGAGTCATTTGTGCAACGCTTTCATCATCTAGCGTAAGAGCGGTTTTAGATTATGTATTGGGTTAATATCTCAGAACTCCGCGATTTTCTTTCTTCGAAGTGTTGATTTCGGATAAATTTTGTTACTCTTTGTTTGATACAAGTTCGGTTCAGATGCTTTGATGATTTTAAAGGCATGGTGATACAGTGAAATTTCGTTACAGAAAATCTCGTTCTGAGGAATTTTTCCTTGGTACCAGCAGTTGCTCACTAGGCACCGTGTTATAAAAATTTCGTTTAACGAACTCATTTCAGGCTGTAATCTCAGTATAATTTACTTGTTGGCCCAGATTATGTGCATAGGCCATAGGGATTTTTTGATAAATGACAGAAGACCGGGGGGAAATTGAAATTCTGCAGTATTCCAACTTCACCGAGGAATAAAAATTTTCTTCTTTAAAAATGTAGTGTACATACATGTAGTGTATTTAAAAACAATATAAAGAATTACATATTTCTTGGAAATTCTTTGGCTCCATTTCAGAACGTATGTCTTTCTTTCAAATAAACAGCATATTATACAAAAAATTGTAATTGAAAGAACAAACAGGTAGGAATACTGTAAATAAGTTGATTCCAAAAGAAATACATTACTGTTGTGTATTTTCCAACGCGCACTCCACAGTATTTATTGATAATTTCCCGCGAAATTTTAGTCTGAAATTAGTTGAAGAATATACATATTGCTATCAAGAATTTTTTCTTATTGCGAATTTTCTATCGGGTCGTTGGGAGTTCGTTAGTACGAAATTTTACTGTAATTTCCTAATTTCTTATGGGAGTGGCTGACATTCTGAAAGCAAGATCGGGCGTGATGAGAATTATTGTAGTTAGAAGCATCTCGATTATTTTGACCGAAGATCGGATGGAAGGGCACGGACCATTACGGAAAGCTGCAGTCGTATTCCCAATCGGCCTTCGAATCCAGGAAAGAGGTGTGTACGGATTATATCGCAAAGGCGGAGAATTTGGCGAAGGACCTTTCCCACCCAGACGATATTCTCAACTGCAAGTTGTTCGTCGCAGAATTGAACGAATACAATTCGAATTTGAAGTACAAGGGGTGAGTCAAGAGTACAATACTGTAATTGTGCGTAGGTTTCTGAAAAGTGACGGCGATCCTGGTCAATAGGTGACTGAACTACTAAAGCCTCCTACTTGACGCACATTCTTCAATCTTTTTATTGTTCGTTCTTGTTCTTTATTTTGCAGTGGCAGTGAAAATGTATGTATTCTGTTCTCATTTTCACGTGAAAGCCTGGCCAGAGTTTAGCTTGGCTGGAACGAAATCATTTTCAATTTAACTGATTCCAGGTGTGAGTGGCAGACTGTGCCAAAGGTTCCAGCGCCAATTTCGAAGAGATCCGAATATTAAGCCTACTGTTCCTCAATTTGTGGTTTCATTGTCAAGTTTCTCTCTGTAACCAGTTCATCGTGTCTCTGTGCGAAGTTTCGTGACAAAAATTATTCCGCGTGTGATGCAAACGTTTTCTGTTTCAGTTACGTGTTCCCTGTGAGCTATTTGGATGGCATCCAAGTGGAGTTGGCAACAGTCGTGAATGAATGGATGGCCTATGACTCAGCGGAAAATTATAAAGCTCTGCTGGAGACCTTCCGGTCAGCCGTGCCAAAGCAAGCAAATGAAATCATCGACTTGATGAACGCTGGAATTTCCTGCGGAATGGTGTCACATGCCGAAAGCGTAAAGGGTGCTGTTCAGCAGTTTGACTCCCTTCTGAACGAGGATGCCGACACGCACTCTTTGCTGGAGCCCCTGGCAAAGTTCCCGACGTCAGTTTCCGAAGCCGAGAAAAATCAGCTGACTGCAGATATCAAGCAAGCTTTGAAGAACAATGCTCTGCCCGCCCTGAAGAAACTGCGAGACTTCATCGCCGATACGTATTCTCAACACACCAGGAAGGATGTTGGAGTTTCTACGCTGCCGAATGGAAAGGATTTCTATGCACAATGTCTACATTTTCATACTTCTACGAATTTGACGCCGGAAGAAATTCATGAAATTGGCCTTGCAGAAGTAAAGAAGGATGAAGAGAAGATGCTTGAGGTTGGTTTGAGAATTCAGCCAGGTTTTTTCAAGAATTTATTGAATTCATGTCCATTGGCTCGCGATCAAGAAAGCAAGTGACTTTTGCTGCACGAAAAAGAATGCATTCAAACATGAAGTTGCGAATAGGGTACGTTATTGTTGCTAATTTTTCGATACGTGCTCAATTGAGAATTTGTTTTTTTTAATAGTTACCCGTGTAACAATCCTGATCATCCGAAACTGTCCAACACTTTTGTTTTAATGAGGTACTATTGATTTTTCTGTGCAGCTGCTTCTTCGAAATTTTGTCTCATACGGCAAGTTTAATCACTTTTCTGAAATTCATCACTTTCTGTTAGATAATTAAAAAACTGGGGAGTGCGGACGACATCAAAGCATTTTCAGAAAAGCTGAGAACGAGTGAAAAGTATTTCGCAAAATCGAAAAAGGAATTGCTGGACAAATTTAGGTCCTTGTGTGACGAAATTGAGCCTTTGATTCCGAAACTCTTCAACTTTAACCCGCCGAAAGTGGTGCTGAAGGAGCATCCGCCGGCTGCAGCTGCTGGGCCAGCTGCTGAATATATCGCTGGAACACCTGATGGATCAAGGCCTGGCGTATTCTTCGTCAACACGAACAATTTCTCTCATCAGTTAGTTCAAATTATTCCATTGTTGCTGTCATTGAAACAGGCGCGTGTTCGAAAAATAATATTCAAAATGAATTAAGTCGAATACCGTATTTACTCGAGCAAAACGCGCACCTTCTCCCTAAAAATGTACACGAAAAGAGGGGTGCCAGTCATAGGCGGGTATAAATTGAAAAAAAAAGTATGTTTAGATGTACTGTACATCATATTTGATTTTAATGGAAATTTCGGACCAATTTCAATGAAAAATTGTTTGTTCAAGGAAATGAAGTAGGATCTCGTTACAACGAATCTCGTTTAACGAATAATCGTATGCGAGGAAATCTTTTTCTACGTCCCTGCCCGCGTAAAACGAATTTGTATTTACGTCGAAGCTATTTTACTGGTCCCAATTGATTGGTTGTAACGAGATTTTACTATAATTGAAAATTATTTCAATTCAGGTTCAATTCATGTTTAACTTTAAAAAAGGGATGTTCTAATTGTTTAAGTACAGTATTGTAGTTCTAGTCACCAGGAATGGGGTGTGCATCTTACTCGTAAGTACAGTTTTATGAAATGAATAACCCTAGTGCACGTTTTACTAGAGGGCGCCTGGTACTCGAGTAAATATGTTGAGTTCTCAATTCAAATCACTCCTGTCTGAAATTTGACGAAAAAATCGACGGGCTTTTGTTCTTCGTGAGTGGATTCTCTGGTTTATCTTGTTTCGATCTTCCCAGGTTTGGTCGCTTAAATAAACGAATTCGAAATAGTAAAAACAGCGGCAGCGAGCTACACGATTTTAGTCCACGAATAAACTAGGGCTCTATCGCCTATCTTCGGTTTCAATATTTAAAATTAATGTAGATTTGTAAGTAGTGTACGATACTGTACTGAACATGCTCTTCTGGACCTACTGATGCTCGCTAGTAGTTTTTTTTTTTAATATTCAATTCCAAAAAACTTCTCATGTGAAAACTGCGAAAGACTAAAGTTATTTGGTGCATCTCGATCAGGATTTTCACGCCGATGACGAATTATTATTTTTTCTAAATACAGGCCAACTTATGAGATGATTTCCCTCGCATTGCACGAGGCAAACCCCGGGCATCACCTGCAAGCGTGTTTCTTACTCAGCAAGCCAACAATGCCAGCATTTCGGCAGTATGTCGAAGACCGCAAGTATTGCGATCCACCGTCAAGATTCCCTTTTCACACCGCGTACATTGAAGGCTGGGGACTTTATTCCGAGACCTTAGGGCATGATTTCAACTTGTACAATGATCCCATGGATGAGTGAGTTGATCTTCTTTTTTTTTTTCTTTGAACAACAAGATTTCTTCGTTCGCTCGTCTTCGGGAGCTAATTGATCTTCATCTTCGTGATTTTAACGATATCGAATGAATGTACAGTATGACAATGTATGAAGATCACTTATTCAGGTGACCTCTTCCAACAACAAAATTCGGGGGGCCAGAAAAAAATTGTTGAGAGAGAACGATCACGTGACCAGAAAACATTCCTTGTACCGAAAAATCATTGTAGACAAAATTATTAATGAGAGAATCTGTCTGTACAGGATTACCTGTATATGATAACTCTATGCGAAAGGGTTAAAACTCGGAAGTTCTTAGATCCATGTTCCTGAAATCGAAACAGAATTCAATTTTTTGCAGATTACTGAAATGGAGAACTATTTCAGACTAATACACATCAATGCATGCGTTTTTTTCAAATGTAAGGAAATAATTCCTCGATTTGTTGAATCTGTAGTCTGCAAAAAGTCCTTGAAATTGAGCAGATGTCTCTATACCTTTCGGTTCTTTTTCTCTTGAATGCCCAACGTCGCCGAGTGTGATTTTCATTGCCGTAACATGAGTTTCGCGTGAATGTTTTCGAGTTTTATTGATATCCGGTGGAATTTTTTTCGGGGGTTCTCAATTCAAATTATTGTACACCTGCCTGACACTTTACGAGAAAATGAACTGGCTTTTGTTCATTTTGAATTACGTTTTCTCTGTTTTTCCGATTTTCACAGGTTTGGTCATTTGAGTGAGGATGTTTTCCGAGCGTGTCGTTTGGTCGTTGACACAGGATTGCACGCTTTTGGCTGGAGCAAAGAAAAGGCTGTGCAATTTATGCTGGATCACACTGCCGCAAGCCAAGATAATGTTGAGGTCGAGTTCCGGACTGTTTGGCTTCGGAAACGTTTTAATTATCATCCTTTGATAACTTACAGAAGGAAATACGGAGATATATCACTTGGCCGGGGCAAGCATGCGCCTACAAGATTGGGCAACTGAAGCTGCTGGAATTGAGGCGGAAAGCTAGTGACGCTCTCGGAAGTGCCTTCGACCTTCGGGAATTCCACGATGTGGTTTTGAACTATTTCGGGCCATTGGAATTGGTGGAGGAAGGCGTCGATGGCTATGTGAAGTCGAAGAAATCCAATTAGTCTCCGATGTGCGCATTTAGCGATTATTCGAAACGGGGATGCGTCTTCGGACAAGCTTTTGTTTGTCGCATATATTCCGTGTCTGAGACAGTGATGAATCCGTTGAAGCTTTCTTAAATTTGGGGGTTTTTTCTAGGGAACTAGAGTATTTCTCAAGAACTGTGCGAAAAATTTGGGCTTATGTATATTCTTCTGGAACAATTGGGTCAGACCTATGATGAGGATCATTCCCGAGAATAATAATATCGTTGAAGGAGCTTGTGATTTTGCTTTCAGTGGTAAGATTTGGTTTTTGACGCCCGGCTTACATTTACTTGAGGAGTGTCGCCTGAACCAGTGGTAACGTGGAAAAGTTAGGGCTGAATTGCTAGTTCTAAATGTTGATCCTTGAAGAAAAACATACTGTGAAGTGAAATAGGGTTGAGTAGAATGAATGAACGCTTGCGTATGAAGAGAGCTGAAATGCAGTGGGGCCCCGAGATGCGTACGTAATTCGTACTTGGACCTTTTTCCTATGTCGGGTCACGTTATCCCATAGACTTCAATGGATACGTATTTTTTCAACTTCCGGTTACAGAAAATAATGGTGCGGAAAAAAACCTCACTGAATCTGATCTTCGGGCATCAAAAGGAGCTCAAGAAGCAAAGAATAACTAAAGAGCTGAGGTATACCTGCACACATGATGGACTGAAAAAAGAAGCGCACAATTGATGTACCTCAGATCAAGAATTAGAGTAATTTTATAATAAAATGGATTTAAAATTTTTTCTTATATTTCAAGTATAATTAGCTAAATTTTCTCAAGATATCAATATTTAGAAAATTCCATATTTTCAATTTTTCTTGAAATATTGGCAAAGAGTGCGGATATTGAGACATTGTCCCGGTGTCAGATTCTTTTGAAATTCCAAGTGTCCCCAAGTCAAATCTTCCGTATGTCGGGGTCCCACTGTACACAAAAGAGGTTTTGTGCCACAAAAAATGAGAAGGTCTGCGTAGATCGATGTGTCCATAGCTCATACGTTAAAATCCTTGAATTTAATGAACCAGAAGCATCTGCCGTAGAATTATATTCCACGAAGTGCTCTTTGAGTCAGAAAGATTTGCTAGCGTTTGGTGGAAGTAAACGTTACTTGTGGTTGCAAGCTTCAACAAAATTTAAGAAACAGCTGGAAAACAAATCAAATTCTCGGAGTGTTGGGCGTTTTAGCGAAAAGGGAACCGTTTTGTGATTCGATAGTGAAATTTTGTAAATGTCCTCTCATCGTCCGCGTCCTCTTTTAAATTTCTTTCTAGGTATCCGCACCCAGAAATGCGGTTAATTCGCGCGTACCGGGCTTTTTCCGTTGTGTTGCTAATTTGCGCGTGGCAGTGTTCACTTGTCAATGGTCAATCACCGCCGCCGAAGCGGTTGCCGCCGATAATTCTCGTTCCCGGAGACGGAGGAAGTCAGATTGAAGCGAAACTCAACAAAACCGTCGTCGTGCATTACATTTGCCGCAAGCACTCCGACTTTTTCGACCTGTGGCTCAATCTCGAGCTTCTCGTCCCGCTCATCCTCGACTGCTGGGTCGACAACATGCGTCTCGAGTACAACACCACGACGAGAACCACGACCAACTCTCCAGGAGTCACGACCAGGGTTCCCGGGTTCGGAGACACAGCCAGTGTCGAGTTTCTGGACCCGAGTCAGGTGTCCCCGAGTCGATACTTTGTCGACATCGCGACAGCGTTAGCTGGGATTGGTTATTCGAGGGGAACTACTCTGCGGGGCGCCCCGTACGATTTCCGGAAGGCGCCGAATGAGCTAGGCGCCTTTTTGGCGTCTTTCAAAGAGTTGGTGGAAGACACTTTCGCCAAGGCTGGCAACAGCAGAGTCGTGCTCGTGGTCCACAGCATGGGTGGCCCGATTATGCTTAATTTCCTCGCGCGACAAAGTCAAGAGTGGAAAGATAAGTACATTGGGTCCCTGGTGTCGTTGTCTGGTGCCTGGGGCGGCAGTTTGAAAGCTGTCAAAGTAGCTGCTGCCGGAGACAATTTGGGCATTTTCGTGTTGAACCAGTTGTCGTTGAGGACGGAGCAACGGTCTTCGCCGAGCCTTTCGTTCCTGTTTCCTAGTCGTCACTATTGGAACAGTTCTGAAGTCCTGGTGTCTCGACCCGGGAGGAATTACACCGTCGGCGACCTCGGGGAGTTCTTCAAGGACATGGCGTTCTCTGACGGTTACGAAATGTACCAGGACGTGAAGGATTTGGTGGATCCCACGCAACCCCCGGGTGTTGAGGTTCACTGCTTGCACGGAGTCGGGGTGCCGACGTGGGAGAAGATTGTGTATCAAAAGGTAAAATGTTCTTAGTTACAGAACGATTTTATGGCTTGAAGCATAACCAGTTTTGTACGAGAGGTCCTTAATTGGCGGTGTCAGTCATGGGCTTCTCCTTTTTTTATGGCGGTGGACGTGATTTTTTGTTGAATATGATTCAAGTAAAATTGGGACCGCCGACGTAAAGACGCCTTGAAATGTGGACGATTCGAATTGGGGACACTTGAAACTTTTAAAGAATCTGTCCGAACATCCGGACAATGTCTTGAGATACGGTCACTTCCAGCATTCCTAGAAAAATTTTAAAATTAATTTCATACATTTCTGAAATCTCGAACAAATTTAGCTATTTATATTTTGAAAAGTCGAAAATGAATTTAGTTATAAAATTTCCCAAATTCATAATTGTAAGAAAGGTAATGTTTTGCTTATTTTTTCGAAGTATTTTCATCATGTGTGCATAGTGTAGCTAGACTTGTTCGTGTTCATTGCTTAATGAGTTCCTGATGCCGAAGATCAGATTCTGTGTGGTTTTCTTCTGCAAAGTAAGTTGAGAATTTTTTTTTTTTGTGGGACTGCATTCCTAACTTTTGATGAACAGGATAATCAATTATATATGTTCACCTTAAAGTTCATGGGAAACATAATCCAACAGACGGTCGCTCCGATTTAGGGACAAAGTTTGAGCACCAGTTACGTACGCTTCTAGGGGTCCCCGTGTATTTCGTGGTGTGTGTTTCAAATTTTTGCATACTCAGATTCGAATGAAAGGGAAAATCAAAAGTTCATCTCACTGCGAGGAAATTACGTTTACCGTCATACCCATGCGCTATAATGCTTTATGAATTTGCTTGTGGTCTAAATTCTAACGAATACTGTATTTCTAATACAATACTTTAATTTAAAAATCTTTTAAAGTCAGTTTTTTAAAAACCATTGTCCAAAAGAAAAAGTGATAAATTTCAAGTGCTCCTCGCAAATTTGTCGTACTAATGCTAAGTTGTCCTGAAATTTCCGATGGTGAGCAAGAACCTAAGATAAGGCAAGAAGTTGAGGCAATCCTTGATGAATGATCGGAAGTTCGTCTAAAGTTTCGTCTTTTATTCCGCATTACCGTACTGTAGTTCGGAAACTCCGGTACCCAACGAACTTCGCTTCAAGGCACTGACGAAACTTTCGATGCGTCCCTTGTGTGTTCGCGAATTTTGTGTATTACGAAAAAGTTTCTGTATTCATGCGTTGTTACCTGCGTCTAATTTTTTTATTTAATTTAAATTACAATGTGTCGTGTTGGGAACAACATTTTTGGTAACTTACCAACTAAAATGAGTTGGCTACCGAAAAATTTTTATACCTTCCTCAGTAATTATGATTCTGTTACATCCCCTTACCGTACAGTATTTGATCACTGTGTCTGGATTTGAAGCTCCTTTTCTTGAAGAATTGATTCTAAAAAAAATTTTTCTAAGGCCCAAACTGGGCCGACTTGGACTTGAATCTCTAGTATTGGTAGATGGTGGTGGTCACAATCTTCTTCATTTCAGTTGAGCAAGATTCACTTGGGTTCGTTTCTCTCGGGGCTTCGTTTTTAACGAAATATTTTTTCACTGTAATTGGCTTTTCAGGATTCGGATTTCCCCGACAAACCGACGACATTGATCAACGGCGATGGTGATGGCACAGTAAATCTGAGAAGCTTGGAAGCGTGTTCCTTGTGGGGAGGCAAGCAGAATCATCCGGTGTATCACGTTAAATTCCCGGGTGTGGATCATTTGGGTATTCTGCGAGACGACGGTATCATCAAGTATTTGACCAAGTTGATGCGTAACTATGAGGTAGTTGAGAATCGCAGGGCGCGGATATTGCGCAGAACTTTAGGTGGGTATTGAACAGTGTTATTGTGGCAAAAGTTTGGTCAGCGTTTTTTTTTTTAACCTGTATTTTGAAGATTCGATGAAGGACTGACTTTTACTTACAAGTCGAAGTTCCTTTTTTTTGTAGGTTATGAAAACTTGGGCGAGTTTGCAATAGGAGAAAAACGCGACGAAATCTATCTTTCTTCGAGTAACATTTTATGTGGAGGTGCTTCCTTTTGTATCCGTCATGTTCCGAATTAAAATAAAGCCCCAGATTGAAGATCATGTGCGGGGAAGAAAATAGTGTCATAGCACCGGTAAAAACAAATAAACGATTGTGTATCAAATGTTGCTGATCGTTTGCTTGAGTGCCGGGCTTGCTGAAAAAAAAAGTACCTGTGAATATATTTGGTGGAGCAGATGGTAGTTCCGTAGCGGGAATTGCCGATTGGCTCATCAGAGCTGTTTGATTTTCAAATTCTTACATTTTTTATTACGAATTAGCACTTGGCTGTGATTTTCAGTTGAGCTCGAGCGTGAAGGGACTCTCAATAAATGAGACTGTTCAGATGCTGAGCAGTGATTTTTAATTTTGTTTCGATGTCTAAAGTTGATCTCTTTCTCTTCATACTCCGATGGTTTTCCTTCGTTCTAATTTTTTTTCTTCTGTGTTCTAGGTACGAATTTTGTGAGTACAAAATGTTTTTGTTTGGAATGTGTGATCGACCGTCGCGTGAATGATGAATGAGGCTAGGGGAATACTGCTGGAGTGCGGTGTTCAGAAATTATTGTGTAGTGGAGAAGACAGCCCTGTCGGTTCATTTCGAATTATGGGGGACAACTCAGGAAAAGCCGCAGTATTGAATCTCAATCGTTGGGTTAATTTTTAAGCGGTTTGAAAATATTTCGAGTTTTCGTCAAAACCAAGAGGTTCATTTGCTAGTCCTAATGAATTCATCGAACTGAAAACCCAAAAGCGATTCAACTCTTGTGTTATATTTTAACAGTGCATAATAAATTTGTCAAAGTTAGTAATGAAGACTGTTATTGTCATCTAATATTTCGGAAAGATAATGGCCGTTGATATTTTCTGAGGGAAAATAAAAATTTTCTCTTCTCATAGTAATGATCGAGACAAAATTTAATCATCTGAAATAAATTTAGTAATTTTCCCTAGAAACCTTTGTGAAGTCCAGCTTTTCAATTTTTTGAAGACAGACCACTACAGTGTAGCTGCTTCATTGGTTCTTAATTTGATTTTTTTTAATTAAGGTTTTGTTTGGGGGACTTTACAGGAGGTATTAAAAAGTTTCTAGTATTCTGCAAAAGTTTTATGGAACTTCGCTGGACCGCGAAAAATTTTATTGAAATTTTCCGGTCAGCAAAAAAAATTGCCCGTCCGGGTATTTAAAAAGGTAGGGGGACACCGCTTTGAATCAATCTGTTGAAAATTCTGATTACCGTATATTTCAAGTATCAGCAACTTGCACTACCCCTTGACCATTTATATTGTGATTCACGAAGTGGTAAGTTCCTTGATCACATTCAGTTTACACGCCAAGTTTTATTTTTTTAATATTCGAAGATCGGCGTATCCTCGAAGAGTTCTTCTGGAGTTTCCGACCTGGACTTTTGATTGTACTTCTGTTCTTCTGAAGAGATAAATTATTTTGACGGGAAGATGCTTCGTAAACGTGGATAGAGATGAATGTGAATCCGACGAGCGATGGCCAATGGGTTATGCAAAAAGTGCGAGAAGATGTCGCTGCTGCCGACATTCTAGTCAGCCTGTGTATCGCCGCTGCTCGGAGTTACCGTCACCACACTGCGCTGAAACCGTGTCCTCCGTCCCTCAGGGAATCCGATGATGTTTCTCTACGCGAAAAGCACGAGGAAACGGTGAGATTTTTGTCTCGCAGTGCATTCAATTCAACAGGAAAACTCCGTTACAACAACTCTCATCATGACGAATTTTTCGCTGTAACGAGTTTTTTTGCTTTATCCCAGCAGTTTTTCCATAGGCGCAATTTCACAGAAGGCTGTAATCTCAATGTAATTAATTTTTTGCCCTGATTCTGTTAATAGGCCTTCGGGATCATTTGATAGATGGCAAAATTACGGAAAAAATTGAACTGGTGCAGCATCCCAACTTCATCAAAGAAGCTAAACGTTCTGTAGAGAAAATTTATTGTTGAAATACTCAGCATGATATGAGAATGTCTTGTTTATTGGTCAGGTCCATTTCAAAATGTATGCCTTCCTTTCAAGTAAAGTTTATTTGAAAGACAAAAAGCGCTTTAGTATAAAGATGGGTTCAATAACATGAAAATGCTGTACAGTATATTCAAAAATGAATTTTATTTTTAGGTGGCCAAATTGGATCGCATTCCACCTTTGCGCATGATTGACGACGTTGCAATCAATGGCCGTGAAGAAGTGATAAATTTTTTGCGAGGAGATGAAACTACTCAGTTACTCCGTTGGATCCTGCATAGCAATCAATTTACGCTGAAATCGGTTTCGCCTTCGTTGGTGAGCAATCTTTGAGATGCGCGTGTGAAAATCGCATGATTATTTCAGTTTCCAGTTCGCAGATGTGAAAAGAAAAACGGCTCAAGTCATTGACACAAAGGGACCGAGTCATTTATTTGAAATCGTGTGGCAGGATGAAGAAAGTTGGTTGGCGAAGAAAGGTTCGACTCCTTCTATTTTTGCGTATCACGGGAGTCGTTTGGACAATTTTCATTCCATTTTACGCTTGGGATTGCATCAGCATCTCAACCAGGTAAGCGTTGTCTTTCTATGTATGCAAATTAAAAAGAAGAATAATTGTCCGATTTTAGTGCGGATAATTCCTGAAGTGTTGTAGGTGTAGTATTGCAGTTCAGTATCGTAAAAACTCCAAAAAATAATTTACCCTATTTTCATTAATCTCTTTATTTGTTTGAAACTTGTAGGCAGGGGTTCATTTGCTATACAGTATTTGTCTTTCCCTTCCTTTCAAGATCCACAAAATTATTTGTTTTAATCATTATCTCTTCCATATTTCAAGGAAATCATAACCAGAAGGCCTCAAAAAATTTGACTTGCAGAGGTTTTGAGAGAAAAAAAACTTTGAGTTAAGGAGGGTTTTAATGTATTGATTCTAAGGGTATTCAGACAGGGACTTAAAAAGAATGTCTTTAAGGGAGGAATTCTGACTAAGGGAGGTTCACCTTTAGTATATTTTAAAATCTTGCTCATGATGCCCAGGTGTGGCTGGGCACCCCCTCCCTAGTTTGATTGATACAGTATCATCTCTGTGGTCATTCAAAATCTATTGTTCTCACAAAAGCTTTTTTGTGGTATCAAATGTGTTTGTTCAATTTTTATTCTCGGAGTCGGATTTTCATAAATTCTGAGCCTGCTTTGTAAAAATTGCGTTGTAAAAAATCTTGTTATTACATTTTTTTGTGGTCCCAGCAGATTTTCATGGACACAAGGTCATGAAAGTCTAATTGGAAGAATTCATTTTGGGCTATGATCTCAGTATAACAAAATTTTGGCCATGATTCCATGCCTAGACCATTGGGATTATTTGATAAGTGGCAGAAAAGTGGAAAAAATTGAACTGGTGAAGCATACTCTATCAAAGATGCAACATTTTCTGCCAAGAAAATTTAGTGTTCAAAAATGCGCAACATGGCATATTTCTTGGGAATTCTTCAACTCCATTACTGTAAAACGTATGTTGGAAAGCGTTTTTCATTGAGCACTGTATTTCTAGAATGGGTTTTTATCATCCATTTCCAACAAAATTCCAGTCCAAAATTTAAAAAAGAACCATGAATCTCAATACAAAACATTTGCTTGTTAGAGCGAATTTTTAGCTGGTCCCTGGGAGTTCGTTGCGAAGAGATTTTACTGTATTTACTATTGGGGGAAGAGTTTCGTTTAGTAAAGTACAGTATTTGTTCTTTTCGACGTTTTGCAACATTTTTCTCCACTAGGATGAGTTGTAATCTCCGTTTCATTCACTGCGCCAGAGTGTTGAAAAATGATCGGAAGCTTTTGTCGAGAGGGATAGAGAGCTTATTTAACGTAAAATAGTTTCCACCAAAAGTGTACGATTTTCTCGATGGTGGCTTGTAGAAGACCAGAATTCAGAGTGTTCTTTCGGATTGATTTTCTGTCTTTTTCTCGGTCACGGAACATCATTTTATTTTTTGCAGAACTCCGCATTCGGCGAAGGAACGTATTTCTCCAATGAATTGAGCGTGTGTTTGACTTACAGCACAAACGGGATCGCTTGGAAAAACAGCATGTTGGGCGATGTGCTTTCCTGCGTGGCGTTGTGTGAGATAATCCTTGGCGATTGGGTGAAAAGTGGTTCAAAGCGAAAGGACGGAGTTCCCGAGAAATATTTCATCGTTCAAAACAATGACTACGTTAGGTTGACGCATTTGCTTGTTTACGGCTCTTCTCCGAAAGCCACGAGTTCGGGGCAGTCTTGCAATGCATTGGGAAACAACGCACGTGCGGGAATCCACGGGTTCGAGTGAGTGACTACGAGGGGTCTAACTCAAGTTTTCGGGATGCAAATTTAAATGGCATAAGATTGAGCTGAAAAACAATTGATGCTCAGAAAAAGCATGCTTGGAGAGTGAGAAGAAAAATTCAGCCTTGTTTGACGCTTTTTTTTTTAATAGCCCAGCTTCTCCTTCAAAATTTTCGACATGGTTAATTCCAAGGGTTCCCTCCGGGTTTTCCATGGTAACTCCGCCATTTTCATCAACAGCTGCCACATTATCATCCCAAGTGGTGGCTGCTGATGAAAATGGCGGAATTAGTAATGAATGAATGGTGACAACCCTTGGAATTAATATCGTATCAACTTCAAGAATTCTGAAAAAAACGCTGGGCTACAAAAAAAATAAATAAAATCTGCGAGAGGGGCGCCGAATCCTTCGAGGGGAAAGCAGAAAACTGCCAGGGGGCTTCTGCAAACAAAATTACAAAAAATGCGTCGAACAGGGCTGCATTTCTTTTTTTCTAGTGTCAAAGAATGTTTTTTCTGAATAATAATTATTTTTCAGCTCAATCGAGTGCCGTGTCAATTTATATTCTGGGAGCATTTGTTAGACCCGTCGTATTTTTTCTTTTTTTTTCTCGATTTTCACGAATATTCTTCTTTCAGCTCGTCGTTTATGCCGAGGTGGATACTGCAGAATAAGTTCTTGACTGGCGTTTTGCTCTACGTACTACTGCTTCTAGTTATTGGTTTGTTGAATACCAAAACTCCTGGGAGATTTTTTTAATGAAAGCAAGGAATAACTTCATTTTTATTTTTTTCGTGTTGAATTATTCTGAAAAACGGAATCCTGAAAGTAGCAGTGAGACTGCCTGTATCTTTTGTTGAGACGATTGTCCATATTTTAGTTCTCATCACATAAAAGTTCCGAAGTAGTTGACCTGATCCATAAATCACCTTCCTGGCGAAACTTATTTTATCCCAAGTCTTTACCGCATTGCTTACGAATGAGATTGACAAAATAAAGATAATACTCGAGAAGATTTCCGAATCCAGGGACTGGGAACATTGATGTGGATTGAACCCACATTTTTAAAATGTATCATGTTTCGAGATAGCGCAGCAGCCTCCGTAGATGACTCGCGCTCGGCCTTCGCAGATGTCAATTTTTTGTAATTAAAGTAACGCGTCTGTGTTTGCAAGACCGTAGTTTATGAACTTCAGTTGGTACGCTGGTAAACTTCGTGTGAAAAAAAAGCAAATCCGTTCAGAAGACACGGGCAGGAAAAATTCAAGGCATCCAAATTTTGAAAAAGAAAAATCAATCGGCGCTGAATTTAAAGATGAATCTTGTGGGTGGCATTTATTGGAACGAAATGTGAACCTGGTTCTTGTGTTTCACTGGTTCACATTTCTTGAACTCCGATGGTACTCCCCATTGTCCAAACGTATTCAACCTTTCCGTCTGGTTTAAAGTGGCTTGACATCGTGATAACTTTGAAACCACTGCGACCCGCTTCGTTGAGCACTTGTAGAGGACCTCTATTGAAGGAAGAACGTGAGATTGCGAGTGGATTTCATTCGAAATAGAGAGTAGGACTTATACTTTCGTGTCATTGTAATTGCGAGTGGGGCCTCGTTTTCCAGAGACATTATGATGGCGTACTGGTCCAAAGATGTTGGCGTTTTGATCGCTCCGTCTTGGTAAACGTGGACGTTCAGAGCAGTCACCAGATTACGATAAATTTCGTTTCCGGCTTGCCGAAGGCCATCTAAGCCGTAGAGAGTTGATTTTGTTCCTGCTGGGTCCCCAGTCACCACGAGGTGTACCATTTTGGTTTCTTTTTAAAAATGAGTACCTGAAAACATTTTATTAACCAATTGTAACCGTTTCACTGGCTTTGGATTTTGCTGACGCAAAGGTAATCTTTGAAGGTTCATTGAAAACTATATTCTCAAAGTGTCCGTATTACAGGATTCACTCAAGTACCACTTGCACCTTTTTTTATTTTAAATTAAGAGGGTCTGTGTCATAGATGGGTTAATCATTTTTTTAGTGTTTAGCTTTCTTGTACGTTATACTGTACTTGATTCGAGCAGGGAATTTTTAACCAATTTCAACAGATAATTCCAAAATTGTAAATTTTGATGTATTTTATTTTCAAAACACATTACAATTCAGTTGCAACAAATCTTGCCATAACGAATTTTTCATTATAACGCCTTTTTTCTTGGTCCCAGCAGTTTTGTATTGTGAGAACGCTTTAATAATCTAATTTTGTACCAAGTAAGCCCTGTTTTATCAATGGTCCGCAAAGATCATTTCATCGTGTGAAGAAATGGGAAAATTTCAACTTGTGCATCATCAAAAAATGAAAGCTTTTTGAAAAATGAAATTTAATACAGCATTGCAAAAAAATGCGCATCGGGATCCTTTTTTGAATTTGTTTAGGCTCATATTGAGAATTTTGCAATGGCTCTTTATTTTCAAATGAACGCTACAGTATCTATCGAAGAATGTACCTCTTGTATATTCAACGAACAATCGAGTGTTCTCGAATAAAGGGCATTGGAAGGAGGCACTTCTTTCGCGTGACTTCTGTGTAATTTTCTTCTTTGAGACCATCAGCATACAATTGAGGAATTTGAATCAAGACGGGTTCAAAATTAGAGGAGTTCATTTCAAAATTTACGTTTGGATTTCACCAGAGAGAGTTATAAATAATGACGAGTCTTCAATGTTCAGTATTTGTTGCAGAAGTAATTTACAATGTTTTTCAAACTTTTTCCGCAAAAACCCACTCGTAAATGTTTTAAAAATTATGAATCTCAGTACCTGTATACCGCATTTTTCGTTATAACGAATTTTTATCAGGTCCCTGGGAGTTCGTTATTGTAACAAGCTTATATTTTATTGCAATTTACAGTCTCAAAAACCTGACATGCGTCATAATCTTTTATCCAAATTTTAGGCTGAAAAATGCAGGTGTGTCTTATTCAAGGCTATGTGGTACTTGATTAAACACCGTAGCTCAGACTTCGTTCTGACGATCTGAAAATTCAGAATGTGACCCACGAATTCTCCACTACGCACTCACGCACACCCCACATGCAGTAATTAAAAATAAAATCACTGAATGATGAAAAATAGCTCAGGGGATCGCAATTCCCCAACTGACTTGACCGACTGACCAAGTTCATGGATGTTGCAAAATGCGTCGATGGTTGTTGCTGGTCCACGTGCTCGGCGATCAGTTGCCTATAGATCAGTTTATTCACAGATCATGAATAATTCTCGTCTGCCCCGAAGCATCCATGGGCAAAACTTGCAAGTCTTTCGCAATGAGGGCCGAAATGTGCATGCGTTTTTGTTTTTTCGTTTTTCCCCGTCTCCCAATATTTTATGAATATGAAACTAGGCGCACTGCTGATTAATTCATCGGAATTGTTGGCTAGTCTCCGCTGCCGTTTCAAGGTTGCCTTTTGTAAGGATATTTTGCTTATCGACAAGAGGAAAATGTGTGTGTGTGTGTGAAAAAATTGTCTTTTACTTGATTAGGTCATGTCTTTCCGTGTGGGATGGAACAATGTTTTGTATATGTGCGACTGTGGAAATTTGAAACCGATAACGGAGGTGTATCTGTGTAAGATTTGCTTCGCGCTGAGATGCAAGACCACGTGCTTGAGTACAGAGGTGAGTTGTTCATGACGATGATTATTCAAATTGGTTTTTCATAATCGTATCACGTGCCAAACATGGATTTGACTATTTTTTATTGCACAGATTGACTCGCATTATTGTCCTGGATGTCTGGAGAACTTGCCGTCCGCAGAAGCTGCGTACAATGGGAATCGTTGTTCGAACTGCCTGGAATGTCCGGTTTGTGGCCAGGGTTTGATAGTCGTTGGCACTTCGTCCACGAAACATGCACCGGAAGCGAGTGTGGAAGAAGTGGCGGTGGTTCCGGAAACCCCGGTCCAAGGCAGTCAGGCGAACGCAGAAGCCGTTGAGAAGATCAAGTTGTTTCATTACTTACATTGCTTGCACTGCAGATGGTCTTCACGGGATATTGGATTACACGACACTGCGAATTCGGGTGAGGCTTTTTTTTGTGGTAGTTGAAGTTATTTTAACTTCTTTTTCTTGTTGCGAGGTTAAACAGGGTTTCGGAAAATATGCCAACGTGCAAGAGTCGGTATTTTAGCGTGTTTTGAATTTCGGTGGAAACACTTCCGAGTCCTTCAAATTTGATGTTAGAGGTGTCAAGAAGATTTTTTTCAACATGACGCAAAAAAAGTTGATCTTTGATAACTCGAATCTCGCAATTTCGATTTTTTTTAGTCCCTGTCAAGATTTCCTTGAAAACAATGCAGTAAAAACCTCCGTAACTTGAAGGAGTTCCCCCTCAAACCTCCGTTACTTGAATTTTCTGGAGGCCCCTTGACTATTGAAGTACTTTCTTTATTGACACCGCAAGAGAGAAGAGCAATAAAAATGTAAACTTGTTGCGTTTTGAACGGAAGTGATCGGGCAAAGTCCAAGTGCAGCATCCTTGAAACTCATTAAAGAGCGATTAAAGGCCCAGAATATCACCAATTGCAATTTCCCTTACTCAAAACCTTGTAACTCGAATTTTTCGGCTGGTCCCTGTAAGTTGAAATGGTTTGACTGTAACATTACAAAACTGTTCTCATGCTTCGGTCTTGAGCCCAAACACACCTTGTATGTGAATTCAGCAGTTCTCGAAGGACAGAATCATGCTGTTGAGTTCGCCATGATTCGATGTAGAACTTAAATGTACTGTTTCTGCTGGTGACATCTTCCCGCATTGAGGCACGTCGTTATCTACGAATCGGGAAATGATTTTCGGTGCATGCATTGACATTTTCAAACTGATTCGTACAACTTTTTCATTTGTGTTGTTTCTTCTGTGTCTGATTGACTTGCTTCTTGTGCAGCCCTTTGTGTTTGGCAACCACCTGTCGCGCCCAATGCGCAGCGATTGAAGGACACCATCGTGTTTCACAATCAGAACATAGGACAATATTTTGCTGACCTGGAAGCTGAAAAGAAGGAGGAAATGAAGCGATTGTCCAAAAATAAAAATAGGTTTTCAGCGAATCAGGTGAGAATTCAGTTATTTTTTCCCTTGTTCAAATCCCAAGATGGCTTTTCTGTTTGGTGTCGCCTGAACCGCTGAAGTGCAAGAAGTAACTTGAGAAGCCTAGTTTGATGCAGATTACTGTACCTACTTTTTTGTGTAACTGGATGGGGGAACATTGAAGCGACACCTATGCAATAAATAGAATAATAACCTGTATTATGGACGTACAACCAACCATATACGTTCGCCATGTTGACCAATGAAATGATTTCTTGAAACGGGCGCGTTTTAAATTTTATTTTTTTTTTTTCAGGAAAAGTTTCGGTCTTCGAAAATGAGTTACTTGCTGGGAACACCTTCATTGAAAGCTTGGTCAAAGAGCGTGTCACCCATGAAAGAGAAGTCGAAGCAGATTTTGAAGGTTCCTCCGCTGACTCCATTGAAAAGGTTGACGTTAGAAGATCTGCAAAACGACGAAACTGAGAGCTTTAGCGCCATTTCGGCTGTGATAGGCCAAATGCAAAGTAATTCAGCTTTCCGCGGCCTTTCCTCTTCGCAATTATATGAATGTATTTATTTTTTCTTTCTTTGTTTTAGTCACTTCCTTGGAACAGAGACTAAAGAACCCATCCCTGCAACCGGAGTTGGTCACTGACTTATTTCCAGCCAGGAAGCACCTTGCCACGAAACGCTGCTTGAGATGCTTGAAGTGTGGAAGAACCGTGTGCAAACCAGAGTATCATCCGCTGTCAATTAAATTCAAGGTCCAGGGACAAGCTTAGTGAGTGATATGATCACGTGTTACAGCCAGAAGTTTGAAGAAGAATCCATATCGGAGAATAAGTGCGGGGCGAAAGATTTGTTGTTGTTGTAGTAAAAGACTCATGTTTTCAACGTTTTGGGTCCACTGATGGAAGCGCAGTCGGACCTCTTTTTAACTCGAACCTCTGTTAGTTGAAAACCTCCACATCTCGAATTTTGTTTCTAGTCCCTGTCCCTCGAAAAAGCGAGGAAATTCAACCGGTAATGCTTTTAGAAAGAAAAATGAGCAACTTTGATTGGTCCATGAAATTCTGGCTTGAGATTGTGCATACTGTAGATGTAAACTCATTTACACTGCGATTTCTTGTGGTCAGCCTTTTTGTCTAGGGGGAATAATGATGGAAAGGCTCTGGGACACAGTTGCTGCAAGCATTTAAGCCCCGAATCATTTATTTTAAAATGTACAGGAAGCATTTTCAGACGTAGTTTCCCGAACTCGAAACCTCTCCAAGTCGAACTTTCTTGTTGGCCCCCTTCGAATTCGACTTAGAGTGGTTTGGTTGTACAGTCAACATTGACATTGATCTTCTTGAGTTGCCCTTATATGAGTGGGTGCATATTCGAGAAAAGTAGATCTTTGAAGCCAAAGTTTCAAATGTACAGTGTACAGTACTTTTTTTGCAATCACTGTTTGCCAGGAAAGAATCATAATGTATCTGGTTGAGCATGATTTTCGAGAACCCAATTTGTTTTCTGTTCCTACTTTTATTTAGTCACTTCACACGATGTTAATGATCGATAAATTTTGGGATACATTTTTAAATATTGTGTCAGACTTACCATATAATCGTGGCTAAAATAAAAAAACAATTTTGGCTGTACAGTGTAAGCTCTCTTGGGAGATGATCGTTGGGACTAGCTTCTTTCTTTTGATTTTCTCTGAACGTCTGAACCTTCGCATGCACGGCACTGCAAAAAAGGATACTCGTTAATTGTTATGCTTGGTATTTTATTTTGTAGCATCGTGGTTCCTGAAGTGAAGATTGAGAGTTTCCCGGTCATTGACGATCTGGCCAAGGAATCTTCCGAATTTGTTATTACTATTCGGAATCCGAACGCCAACATAACAACCATGAAGATTATTCCTTGGGAGATTTTCGAAGCCGACAAACCCGTTGCTGGACAAGTTTCTTGTGCGGAGTCTGTGAGTATTTCATTTAATTTTTTTCCTTCGGAATCGTAAGTTTGAGGGTGTGTTATAATTTCGCCCAGTGATTTAAAATCCCTCATTTGGAATTTCTTGGATTCATGAGAGCTTTTTACAGTCAACCCCCGTTAAGGTGCCATCCTCTGCAGCTGCCAATTTATTTGTAATCTTCTGCTACATTTATATTGGAAACCCCGTTAAAACGCCATCCCCCAAAGTTATCAACGACTCAGATATGATCCTGCCGATTAATTTTGTCTTCAATAGCCCAACAATAAGATTCAAGTGTCTGTGAGAGGTCTGCAATGAAAAAAAAATACACGAAGATGATATAATTTACTTCGTAGGAGCATTAACTAGATTTAATTAACGCATCCCAGAGTTATTTTAATTTTTTCAGAAGAATGAAAATTGTATTTTATATTATACTTGATTTTTTTTATAAACCGCAAACCCCCTTCAAACCCCGACAAACCTCGAAAACAAAAATGGTGGCGTCTTATCGATGTTTGACTGTGAACGTCACCGCTTCAATCATCGGAGGATTCGAGTATTGTTCGCTGTACTGTATTTCAATTTTGAGAAACTGTTTCGTCGTATGAATGCATTGAAACATTCCTGGGCGTGAAGCATTGGTCGAAAATGTTTTGTGTGTCCGTAATCTGCATCCTCCAGGCCAGTGCAGAATCAATTTCAAAGCTTACGGCAAGTTTTGTTTTGAATTTGTTGAGAATTCTCCTCAAAGGCAAGCTTGGAGAAACTCGTCACTCAATTGAGACTTAGGGTAAAATAGAAACGAGGCCAACTGCGAATGCTTTCGAATACTGTATTCAAGTCCAGAGGAGAAATGTAGTCTTTGGTTCAATCCTCGACGAATATTTTCGTACAGTATCGAGTGTTGAAATTTGTTCTCAAATTTTAATACAGCCTCAAGGTGATGCTGATGTACCAAATAACCCCGCCACGGAACGGGAGGTGCCGATTTGTAAACTCAGAGAACGTCCAGAATTGGTTTCAAATGCAGAGCTTCTCATTGATCCTGTCGCGTATGAAAATGGACTCGACCTGGACCCGAAGAACGATGCCGCCGAATTTGATGATTTCCTGTCCGTCCAACCGCAACGAGCGGATCCTTCGTGAGTTGATCCGTCGTAATTGTAAATGTCTAAAGTTATGTATGCATTTACTGCTCTACCAAAATTTTAGAATAAAAGTTGACGTTTGCCCTTGTGGAATTTATGTCCGATTAACTTTCATACATCTTTCTGCTATTGACGACGAATTCAAAACTTGACCTTTTATCAATTCTTGAAGACACTGGACTATTGAGCAATAAATTGACGTTACAACGCACTCCCAGGGACCTGAGAAAAATTTATTGTAGTGAGATTCATGGTTCTTTTAGCATATAGAGCCGCAACTGTGTGAGAAACAGATACGAGATGCTTCGAAGTACAGTACTGTACTTCCACGACAGATAATTTCCCAAATTCCCGACTTCTTTTGATGGAATAATGAAGAAAATTCAACATGTGAAGTACAATTTCAAACCTTCCCTTTTTTTGAATTATCTAAAAAATAAACCAATCTTTCTCAAGTATCAGCTGAAATGAACAGAAAGCACATGTTTAAGGAAAGCGTGATTCAATACGAAATGTATGTTCCTTGAAATAAAGCAATATCCTTCCAGAGATACTTTTATTCCAAAAACATTTACTATTTCAAAATTCTAAAATAAAGACGCAGAAATTTTGATTTGAGGTTCATACGTCCTGAAATGTGAAATTTAAAAAACAAAAATGTAACATTTACATATACCGGTATGTATATGTATATTTTTTAGGTTGTTCAATTATGCACGAGTTAGGTTTGTAAGGTTTTATTTTGTGTGGTTGGAATTTTACAAGCCTTACACCTGTAAAGAATTTGTGGAGTTTGCTGAAATAAACCTTGTCAAACAATTAATTAGGCGTAGAATTGAAACACAGTACTTGGCCGGTGCGCGAACTGACCGGGGAGCTATTTCCCCACTAGCGCTGACCTTTTCTTTTCTCTTCACAGGTTAATACAAGTGTAACAATGTCATACACTTTCGAGTTTTCGCAGAAATTAGAATTTAACAGTTCCCAGGACTGGGCTCAGAAAAAACTTTGGCATACACAGAATACACACACACACACACACTATAAACAGTTCCCGAAAATTTTGGCAGAATTGGAATCAATAAATTAATTCGCGTAAGTTTTCTTTGGTACTCGGTTGAAAAAGATTTAGGCAACAAGGAGTTCCAGTGGTTGGAAAAAACAATGATATTCACACCAATCTTTTCACAAGTGTAAAAAAGAAAAAGAAGGCAAATACGCCTCTTTTGAATGCTTCAAGCTCAAAATAGTTTTTGGAAGTTAAAGTTAAGATTATAAAAACACTTAAGTCAAATTTTACAAAAGTTTCACAGGTTCCGAAGTTTTCGAAAGGGTTCACACAATTCCCGAATTTTTGTAAGTCCGCAAAAGTTCTCGAATTTTTTGGACAAGTCCGCGATTTTCGAATTTCAAGTTGTACAAAGATTATCCGCAGCTCCTTCAAAGTTCGACTAGTAGTGTTGCGCAAAATTTGGGGGGTTTTTATGCAACTTTTCCTCCCCCTGTTTTGGCGCGCATTTTTTGGTTCGAAAACACCCAGGTGTTGGGATTTTCAAAGTCAACAAACCTGCCAGATGTTGGCAGCTGTCAACGACTTTTAGTGCTGTTTTTCCAAATTTCTCGAACATGTTTTTTCCCGGTGCCGGGTGTTGTTTTATTAGTTTGACAAGGGGGGTTTTAGTGCTGTTTTCCTGATATTTGTACATGGTTTTTTCTCCCGGTAACCGGGTGCTTTTAGTTTATTATCTTGCAGTGATTTTGGCGGAAAAATACTTTTCCCAGGAGTGGGTTTTTCTGGAGAAGTCGGGGCAATTTTGGACAGTTTGCAGTTTAGAGATAAATTGCTTTTAGGAAAGAAGATCTGTTTCTGCTTGCTTTTCGCCAGCAGCTGGCAATAATTTTCGTTTGTCCCTGATTTTCGGAATTTTGCTGAGGGAGTTGTCTCCCTTATTTTACAAGTGCGCAGATTTTACAAGCAGCTCGAATTGCCCCGGTTCCGGGGATTATTATTTGGTTCTATTCTATTCCTTTTCAGGATTTTTCGGTTTTCTGTTGCCCCGATTTTTTGGGGCACCAACTTTTCTTGTTCTTGTCTTTTTCGGCGCATCCCGAGATGTGCCGATTGAATTTCAAGTCAACGGACCCCTCTTTTTCTCGCGGCGGCGTCCTTTGCCGCCAAACAAATTTCGCACAAGGTTTTCCAATATTGTGCCAGTCAGTAAAATTTCTATGGCCCATGCCCACAAAATCAAGGAAACAATTCGTTGTACTGAGGTTATAGAGGAAAATCGATTTGTTGTAATGAAAATTTTCAACATTTTCCGTACAAAGAAACTGCTGGGGCCAAGGAAAAAAACGAGATTTGTTTCCACTGTTTGAGAAAGCGTGTAACAAATTTGTTTGGGCTCTTTCAAGAGCGACGTTATATTCGTAATATTTCTTGCAGGATTGATTTTAATTGAAATAAAATAAGAATTGAGAACTTGATCGCAGTTTTGTAGCTTCAAAGCATCCTCTCTGAAGGGATGTTGTCATTTGGATTTTTTTTTTCTTACGCGTCGGCACTGTACGAGTGTACTGTACTGTGTATTTGAAGCATGCGTCTTGTATCTGCCGGAAAGCGTTTTATTCAGTTTTAGGTTCTGTGTTCTGAAAAATTGAAGCGGGTCTTGGGGGAATGCGATGCCTTATATTCGCGTGATGCTGTACTGTACTGTTGTTTCTGTCGATGACGTGTTTTTCGTTGTTGTTTCAACTTGGCTCCGTTTGATCAATGTCTCGCAGAGTTGTTGTCAGAAGAAGAAACAACGCCATGGCACTGAAGGTGCGTGTACGACCAAAGGAAACCTTGAAGCATGGAGACGAGCTCGTGACGTCGTTTGTGCTGCAGTACGGATACCTGAACAATGTTTACACCATTCAGGCGACTACCGGAGAACAAGACCAGATGAACACCATCACCGTCAAGTGTGGAGTGTTTTTGAAACTGGGCACAGTTCCTTGAACCCGCGATGCTGCTTCTTCTTTTCCCGCTGTGTAAAACAATGTCCATTCCTTCGGCGATGTTTCGCTAACGCTACTCACTCCCGAGGTTTACTCGTGAATTTATTGTTGGAAAAAGAAAAGGAAAGCAAAAACTACTGATTGGATTTTTGATTGCGATGTTAAACTCGGTGCTAAGACGCTTCAGCGCTGGTCTTTTATGCTGGAAGAAGTAAAGGCTGTTTTTAGTTGATGAAAACGCATTGCGAGAAAAGATTGTCGTCCAAAACTCGAGCAACTTTTCGTGTTTTAAAGCCTTGAAACGTTTATCCGTTTTCCAACATTTCATGAATGAGAATTTATCGTCGTTGACTGTTGCTACAGTAAAATTTTGTTGCAAAAAACTTCTTGGAACTTCATAAAAAAGTTTTTTATCCTAGATAATTTGTTATAACAAGATTTATAAATGAATTACGAATAATTTTCACGTCAGACCTGCCAAGAATCGATTATCTTGCTTTTTTTGGTATTTTCAATTGTTCTTTTATAATTATTTGAAAGACGGATCTTGTGAAAAAATTAGATTCAGTCATGTATTCTAATCTCTTTATTGTGGGAGAATAACGTGTGGAACCACTTGGAAGCATGTTTTTCAATGATTGCACCTCAATCCTTGCTACAAGAACCAGTCAATTACATTTGGGATCTGAAATTTAAGACTGTGCCTGCCTTAAGTGAGGAAATTTCCACCTGGAGAATCTATAGATACATTCCTTTAAAAAAAAAGTGTGTTATACTGGAATTGGGAAATCCGTTAGAACGGGATTTTTTAATATGTAAAGTACTCCACAGGTCTTCTGCCAGGGCTTCAGAAAACGTTTGTTCTACTGAAAAAATTTTTGTAACAGGACTTCGCTGTATTGCTAAACTTGAAGACACGGCATTTTTGTCTGACATTCCGATTTCATCTTCTCGGATTCCCTTCTGCGTTTACTCCTGCTAAATGCAGCCTGCGCTGTTTTTTGCGAGGCGCTCAAGTGTCCAGTGATGTTTTACTATTCCGCACTGTGCTTGAAACTCGTGCATTAATTCCTCATTTCCATTTTCCGCAGGTTTTGGTGCATTGAGTGCTCTCCATATTTCTTTCGGTTCCGAAGAAGTCATGTCGGGAAATGCAGTGTCAGTGATTGCGAAGCCGCAACTGCGCGGTCTCCTGCTTTCGTACTTGAAGAAGCATTTGATCATTGCAACCGTGCTGTCGGTGGCGACTGGGTTCGCTGTCAAGGCCCTCATCAATGACCCGAGAAAAACTGCCTACGCCAACTTCTACAAGTATGTGGCATCTTCAGCAATATCCGGAGATTTTAATGTGCCCATCTGGATTCCGAGGGTCGCATTATTTGCATAGATTGAACTGTTTTTTTGTTTTTTTTTACGTATTCCTATTCCGATTTAAGTTTTATTCACGGAAGTATTTCCCAAACCTCAGCTGAAACGCACGGTGTAGAAGAGGTTGACGAAATTGAAATAAAATATTTTCAAGGGGGAAAATAGAATATTCATCTGTTGCGGATGTGCAGTTGTAAAATTCCACCCAGAACAATTATGATGGGCATCTAATCTATAATTACTGTATAAATAAGCTCCTCTGCACAATCCTAGAGAATACGACTTCTAACGGCTCCGATGTGAAGTGAAGTTTTATTTTGCGAGTGTACAATGTATTCGTAGACAGCCAATCTTGTCCGGACTCGGGGAGTGATGCTTCGATTAGGAAATGCCATATGTTCATGTTTGGATGTTTCTTAATGCGCAGTATAGTGCATGTACGATACTTGATTTTAAAACTTGATATTTCGCAGGAATTACGATCCCGACGTGGAGTACGAGAAGATGAAGAAGCTAGGCATTTTCCAGTCGAGCAAGTAGATCAAGGTGAGCACCCTAAATTGAGTAATAATTTTGGCAAGATTCCTTTTTCCTATTGCATGACACCTTTTTCTTCATTTTCAGACTCTTGTGAGGTTTTTTCGTTAGTGTCACCGATGTTCCCAAGCTGTCGGACTTCGGGAATGATTTCCGTAGGTGTTACAGCAGAGGATGCACTGAGTCGTCGTCAGGAGCGCTGTTTCAGTTTCATTGAAAGGATTTGTGGTGTAATAAAAAGAAAATGTCGATGAATTCCTTGTCAGTTACTTCGTCTCCTGTGTGAGAAAATCCTGAATTATGGGTTTCTTTTTAATCCACTTCTGTCGAAGAGGGACTGCTGTATATAGGGGCCAGTTTCTGTACAATTTATCTGCCAGCCACCTTCAATATTTCTGCAATCATTAATGTTGTTGATTCGACTTTTTAAACATTAGTTATTCAACATGGCTTGCCGTGAATTGCGAAACATCAAACATACCCTACACTTATTAAATTGCTTAGCATACCCAGCCTAACCTATTCTGAGCAGGTCACTGAATGATTCTGACTACAAAGATGATTTTTGGTAGAGCACAACTTCAGTACTCAAATTTGAATAAAATGCCTGATTGAAAAAGCATCATACTTGATTATGGTACAGAAGAATGTTCATGTTACAATGCAGTGAGACCCCAGTTCGCAAACGAACACCCCAACATATGGATGATTCAATTTACTGACATTTGAAACCCGTACACATCTGTACAATGGCTTGAGATAGGGAAGCTTTTCTGGCATGCATGTGCCAGAAAACTATAAATCATGTGTTTCAGTTTTGATATCTTTTGAATAAATTGAGCTATGTGTGTATTTTCACAAAAATTGAAAAATATTATTATAAATTTGCTCTAAATCATAAAAAACAAGCCAATTTTTTCCAGTATCTTAGCACATCATGGCAAGACTTATTCTTGGCTTTTTGAGATCCATTTGATGCCAAAAGATCTGATTCTATGCAGTTTTTCTCCTGCGCTGTAGCATTTGATAACATGAAGTTCAGGGGAACATTTTTTTATTAAATTTTTCGGAGGACTTACTCCTAATCATTGATGAACAGGGAAACCATTTGAATACATATATTTGAATTCAAGTCTTTGGGAAAATGAGATCTGACATGCCAATAATCCAACGTATGAATAATTTCCAAGCAACTGAATAATCTGTGCTTCAGGGTCCAACAGTGTCTTGTAAAACACAAAAGTACGGCATACAACCTTCTCTAACGTCACTATGATATTTGAATTCATCAACCACAACAAAGCTTAATTCAGTTCCCAGTGGCTTTTTTGATTATCTCATAATATTTTTTGACGCGATTATCTCATAATTTTGCCGATACTGTACTTCGAACCATCCACGGCATTCAGTAAAGGCCCAGCAGCAGCTGAAGAGGAGTAACACAGATAACACCCACTTGGCGTTTCCTCCCCACCCGGAAATAAAGGAAAAACAGTTCGCAATTTTTTTCAATGGTTTCCTCATATTTTTTTCCAAAACTTCACATGAGACGGAATGAATCTTGAAATACTTTCGCCCTGCAATCGCGAGTCTTCAACAAAAATATACTGTAATAAACACCATGCCAGCATCTGAGTACAATCTCACAACGGACTTCTGCCTTCTGTCATCAAATCGCACCGTCGATTCGTAAAGCACTGAATTTAGAAGCACACATCATAGCTTCTGTCAAAATTAAAATCTGCAGCACGTCGTCGGAAATTCAACGGAAGCCAGAACGAAGAAAATACCATCGTATCTCACACGAAATATAGTCAACGAGTCGCCACATTTCATCAGATCAGTCAGTAAAAAAAACACCATAATCACAGCAACTACAGTCTTGAACCTTATTCAAGGCAAACTTCCACGGACCAGCAAACAATTCCAGTTCAGGAGGTTTACAGTGAGAAAAACAGACATTCCTTATTGGATAAAAATAAAAAAATAATTACAGGAAATTGTAATCGGAGATATTCTGGGCCTTGAATTGCTTCCTGAATGCGTCAAAAGGATACTGCTAAAGTTGAGGGCAAGGGATTATTCGCCCAATGAATCCGTCACTTCCATTCCAAAAACGTCAGTTACATTCATTCATAATGCTTTTATCTTTCCTGCAGAAATAAAGTGATATCCAAAAGACCTTCAAAAAACTTGGACTTACACTTACGGAGGTTTGAGCCTTCTACTTGGGGAGATTTCAAAAGCATCGTTTTTGGGAGAATTTCGACTAAAGGGTCACCAAGAAAAATAAATAATTTCTACATAGAGAAGTTCAAGTGATTGAGGTTCAACCGTATAAGACGAGCTCTCATTGCGTCAACGTCGTCACCACTATCCTAATAAAAAATACGATAGCTTAATGCAATAAAAAACAAAACAAAAACAACCTCATCAGATCGAAACAAAAAACAGAACAAATTCGGATTCCCCAATCATGACAATTTGTACACTACGTACATGGACAAGGCTATCCAATGGCCCGTGAAATCCAAGTAAAGCCACTTTGCGAACGTATGCGTCAGATCATAACCTTGCTCTTGCAGTTTCGGATCAGAGTCAAACATGACCCCGAGATAGGCCAGGCTGGAAATGGCTAAAATGAAAAACAGGGTGTTCCACACGAGCGTCACCGCGCTGAAGAAGGTCTTGTGATGAGAGCACTTCTCCTTGCACGGCCGGGCTCTGATGCAGGCGTCGTAAATACTGGACAATTTCTCGCGCAAAATGTGTTCCACGTAGGTGGAGAGTCCCAGGGACAGCAGAACTGCCCACAACTGACCGTTGAGTCCGTGAAGCATGGCACTGGCGACGTAGGTGAGCAGTATCGCAGGGAACCCGCCGAGGCCGAAGCGCTGGGATGGCCGGAACACGTCTGCGAATACAATATGGTACGGCAAAATATGATGGGATCACAATTATTCTTATCCAACTTTTTTGGGTCCGCAGAACGGGAAATTTGCATCAATGTTTTCCGGACCAGAAAACATTTTTTTGTGTTATGTCGTCTACCTTGAAGAAGTCGTTCATATCACAAACCGCAGAAAATTTTAAAATAATACGGAGCCACGCCAGACACAGAGATTTATTTTTATTTTTGACAAATCTAACTGATCATTACATTGATGGACTGAAGCAGTATTTTAATAAAAATATTTATGAATAAAATGATAAAAAGTGGTGATAAATGAAAAATAAATACATAAAAATACACGAATAATAAAGAATAAATGATAAAAAATAAATAAGTAACAAATAAAAATAATTCTTGAAATAATAAAATTCTGGAAAAATTCAAGAATTTGAAGAAGCAATTGGTTTTTTTAATTTCAGCTGCAATATTGATGACGAAGTGTAAAAATGTTTAAATTTGCTTTAAAATGCCTCAAACTCCTTCGCTCATACAGTCAGTGTACAGTCAGTATTTTAAGCAGTTAAATGCATTTGTGTGGATGAAAATCTGTCCAAACTGTCGGGAATGTAAGCAACTTTTATTCTTCAAAGGATGAATTCATCAGCCGCTAACTTTAAGAAGTTGGAACTCATAACAAGACTTTATTACTGAGCACTGTTCTTAGTAAATGTTTTCGATTGAAGACAATTTTCCACGAACCAGCAAAAAACTTCCGCGGACCACGGGTTATATTTATTCAAACAAATATCAAATTTTGTTTCTTTACTTTTTCATCCGAGACTATTTGCAAGGTGATGATGATGATGATGATCAACTTCCTTCTCGCGTTGCTTGCTTGGGTGCTTGAATAAGTTATTTGGTGCCCAAAAAAGTTATTTTCAAACACAGATGAAGGACTTCATTTTTAAAAAATGAAGAAGAAATTCGACTAACGAGATAATTTCCAAACACCTTCCCCCTCAACACAGAAAAACCCGTCAAATTACAGTGTCAAATTACATATACAGTATATATATATATATATATATATATATATATATCGCTCACATTCCTTCAGCCACACGTGCATCGGAATATTCCAGTAAACGACGACTTGTACCAAGGACCTCGGCAACTCGATCTTGGACGGAACTGCCACCGGGAAACTCCAGGTCTTCCCTTCCCCGTGACAGCCGATCCCCGACGCCATCACCGTCGCCTCCGACATGAAGGAGATGAAATAATGGCTCATTCGGTAGGCGAAGGCGTCGTTGTACGCCAGCCACCATTTCCACGTGCCCCAAGTGCTCGTCCAAATCGTGACGCACGACGACATGGCAAAGCAGAACATGGCCAAGGCTCCACTTCGCATCACCGACACCACCCAGATGAAATTCTGAAAACAAACAAGCAGAAATGCGGTAACCTTATTTTCTCAAACATACAAGTTTAACTTTAGGTGAGCATGATACTCTACTGGCATACCGTATTTACTCGAGTACCCTCGAGTGAGACGCGCACGAGGATTTTTCAGTTTTTCATCCCCAAGTTATAGAGGCGCACCCCATTTTCAGTGACTCTTCAAACTGCAAGTTTTCAAAAATAATAGCCCCCATGTTTGCATTTAAACATGATTTGATCCGGAATTCAACCAATTTTCAATTATTTATATTACAGTACATTTTTCTGTTGAAATTGGTCCACAATCTTCCATTAGAATAAAAAATAATGCACAACTAAACTTCTGAAACTTTTAAAAATGTACAATTACTGTATATGACGCGCACCCCCATTTTTCCCCTCTCAATTTTGAGAAATACTGTACGGATAATGGGAAAAATTTTCGGCAAGAACTTTTTAAAAAATCAAAACAATTGGAAAATTAATTGAATTCAGGTTAAATTCATGTCCAATTTCGAATTCTGGTGTCTTCCATTTTCAGAACATCGTAGTTTTCAGTTACTAAAAATGGGGTGTGTGTCTTACTTGGGGATACGATTTCATCAACATTTCAAGTAAAAAATTGGCCTGTCTTACTCGAGGGCGGTATTCAAATAAATACGGGAGCTAACCAAGGGAAATATTCCAAATAAGTTTTGTTTGGTGTCATCAGTTTACGACGATCATTTCGGCCCTGAAATACGAAAAAAAAAATGCGGGCAAAAAATTGCTTCACGTTTTTTCACATTTACATTGATGTAAATTTCCCCATTTTTTCCGTATCTTACGAAATTTTAAATGCATCACTCAAATGCCTTGTTTTGAGCAACCCATCGCAGGACTAATATTTCACAAATTTGAATCCGAGACGCACTCCAAATTTCCTTTCGATGAAATAAATGTAAAAATAAAACGAGGTATTCTTCAGAAACACAAGGTCAACAACAGCCTCGAATCGAGGAAAACTCACAATGGATGGTCGCGTGAGGACAGTCAAGTAGTCCTTGAAGGAGATCCACGGCCCAAAGACGACGCAGCCGACATGCAAAATGTAGCCGTAATATTGGGACGCATTCGGAAGATGGGCCTTTTCGTCGGAATCCACGTCGAATCCCACAGATACGATTTTCATGACCACCAGCATTTGTGCACCTCGAACCATGTGCCAGACCGAAGGATCGGAAAATGCCAGCTCGCTGAAATGAAAACACCCAGAAAAGCTTGAAAAAATAAAAACCATTCACAAGGGATCTAACAAAATTTCACGGGTTAGAGAGTGAAATGGTACACAATTGAGAAGAAAAACAATTACTGTTCGGAAAGAACATTTCTTTGCACAAGGAAAAAAATACAGCCCTGGTTGACGTATTATTATTTTTTTTTTTTTTGCAGTGTTACCTCCAGGTCTTCCAACGTAATTCCGCAATTTTCATGATTCACAACCACTACATTCTCATACCAAGTGGCGGCTGTAGATGAAAATTGTAAAATTAGTAAGCAATTAATGGCGGCAACCTTTAAAATTGATGCCATGTCAATTCGAGGATTTTAAAGGGAACGCTGGATTACGCCAAAAAAATGTGCGAGATGGGCGCTTCATCTCCTGAGTAAGGAGCAGAAAGCTGCCAGGGTAACTTTTGCATCACCAACAACAAAATTCCAAAAACGCAGTCAAACAGGGATCTTTTTTTTTTTTTCGTGGGTGCCAAATCATGGTTCTTTTCTGGACAAGAATTGTTTCTCAGCTCAACCGTATGCCATTTCAATTTATATTCCAAGAACATTCGTTCGACCCCTCCTATTGATTCAATCATGGAAAATTGAAGCGGAATTTCCCGAACAGCAAAGGAATAATCTTGGCACAGAAAAAGGCAGTTTTACAAACGTTGAAAGTCACACACGGTGGCTTTGAAGGCAGTCAAATAATTTTTCTCCTACTATTCCCTCAATAAAACTATTTTCCACCATTCCGAGAAGAGCTTTTTGAGACAAAAATTACGAAGAGAAATACTGCACCGCTAGACATGATGATGTAAGACCCACCAATAGCTTTCTAGGTTTATCGTCGAAATTTGGCGAACTGACACGGTCTCAATCTTCGAGAAATTCAGAAAATTTACAAACGTCATCATATTTCTTGTCATCAATTTCTCATGATTTTCACTTAAAATTCACAAAAAATTGCAACACCTCACAAACTCCAAAAATTGGTTACAGCTCCGGAGTTCCTCAAAGAATGCAAGACTTCAACAAAAATCAAATCGACATTTTCAAGCTACAGGGTGGGCTTGAAACCTAATCATATACAGTATAATAATAACAAAAATAGAAAGAAAAAATCGATTGAGTGGGCCAACGTTTACGAAAAAAGTCAAATTTCACAGCATGCTTTAGTCAATATGCCTGTCAACAAACAGTTTCACTTTCTCAAATTCCAAGAAGATTTTCGCCATCCAAAGCATCAACTTTTAGCTTCGATGGGCAAAGAAAATAACAGTGGGACCCTGACATACGAACCCAATTCGACTGAGGAAAACCTGAAACTAAAAAAAATATTTGCCCTGACATCTTTACAGTGTCTTGAGATACGGACACTTTTGCAACATTTCAAGAACTATTTCATATTTTATTCGTCTACATTTTGATATCTCTTAACAAATTGAGCCATTTCTTTTCACAAAAACTCAAAATAAATTTCAATGTAAAATCAATCTAATTCATGCTCAAAACCGGGCTAATTTTGCGCTTCTTTTTCACAGCTTTTTTTTCTTTGATCATGCGTGCACAATATAGCTACACTTACTCTTCTTTCGGCTTCTTGAGCTCTTTCTGATGCCGAACAAAAAAACCTGACTCTGTATGGGTTTTCTTCTGAACAGTTATTTTCTGCATTTTGAAGTTGAGAAAAAAAGTATGTTCAATTTGTTGGGCGTCTTTATTTCTAATTGTTGATGTACACGAGAACCAATTAAATATGTACTCATTGAAGTCGATGGGAAAACCGTGATCCGACATACGAACACTACAACATTGAGAAAAGGTCCAAACGTCAATCAAGTCCGCATCTCCGGGCCCCACGGTAGCTCAAAACAGGAACCAAGACATTTGTTAACTAACGTACAAGAAAAATGAATCCCACAGCAGATGTCTTTTGACAACAAAAAAAAATGAAAAAACCCGTTCTACAATGGATGGATTCCAAAAATGAAAAAGGCTTTAAAAAAAAACAAGATTGATGTTCCCGGCATGAACTGGAAACCCTTCTCTCTTTCGAGACAGAGAAGAAAAGACAGAAAGGAAGACGAACCTAGAAATGATGAACACTACGCAAGCAAACGCGGAGACTGGGCCACAACACCGATAGCCCCACCGCGTGCAAAAGCGCGCAACACCTAAAGCAGCGTATCCAACGGTCGCCAAAGCAGGGAAATACAAAACGGCTTCGCCAAACATCGACGTCAAAGCTGCTAATCCACACGTGGCAGACAGAAGGTGCACAGGAATCGCAGGAAGCGGCACTGCCAATCATCATCATCATCATCATCATCACAATTGGAAAAACATTTGAACAAATTTCCGAAAAATTCGAAGAAAAAAATCGCAAAAAGAGTGACATTTCTCGAAACTGTTCTCCGTGTATGCATGTGGAATTTACAAGCATAGCGTCCATTCGTTTTTCCACAACACATTGAAACACCTCCACAATTCTGGACAATTCTTTGAAAGCTCAGGTGCTCTTGTTGAGGAAGCTGAAAACATTTCTCAAAACTTGCGCGTCCCATTATTTTGAAAAGCATCGAACATTCTTCTACACTGCGATGGAACCAATTTCATTTTTTCTCTGACAATATCACTCTTTCCACGATTTCCTTCAAAAATGCTGAATTGAACGTGTTCATCACTCACGGAAACTAGCCGAAGCTCGGAAGATCAAACACCACATCATGACAGTGCCGAACTGAATACTGGCTTCGTGAACTGTGGGCAACAAGCAGTGCTCCAGCAGATCGTTCAGCGACAATTCAGCGTCCTGCTCATCCGCACTGTCATCCTCCCAGTGCATTCCTTCGTACCCCTCGGGTATTGCATCGTACGGGTACGCCATCCTGCAAATACCCCCCCCTTCACACAAACCTCCTAAATGGAGCAAAAGAAGAAAAAAAAAGAAAAACAACAACAGTTTCCTTCAAGGAAAACAAACAAATTAAGCACTCGGAATTGAAGTCTATCACTTTGGTAAGCAGATTCGTTTCATGTTTTTCCTTCTCCAAACATCACTTCGTTCCCGAGAAATTCCCGCAACCCTACTACCCGTGACCACGCAGAGGAATGCTCACATTCCACCAGGCATAAAAGCAAATTGTACACCAGAATAAAAAAACACCGGCTCGGGGACATTTTAAAAAATATATAGGGGAGCACAGCGTTCTTGACATCACCAAGCGTATAAATTCTTTGAAAAATAAAGCAGGTCGAAAATTGTTCTGTGCAGCGGTGGATTTCTGAGAAAATTCCCGTTTAATGAACCACACGATTATCGAATTTTTCCGCTCGAAGTCGGAATTCAAGGAAAAACAAATTCAGAGGTCTCTTCTGTTATACCAGTGGTCTGCTAGCTAACTCGCAATCCGCGGGAAATTTTCTTCAAAATAATAAATTCATCAAAGGTGATGAAGAAGTCTGCCATCTTTACCTAAACTTTTGGAAAGACAATAGCAGTTGAAATTATCCAATGAAAAATAAGATCGGACTTTTCTGCTAATAACAATTGCACAATTTTTTAACCAACCGAAATGAACTATGTCCAGTATGCATTCTGAGAAACTTTTCTTGACGCCAAGCTTTCAAAATTCTTCGAAGACATTCCACTGTATACTTGCGTCATTGGCTCTTAACTTGATTTTTTAAATATATATGGTTGAGGGACTTCAGGGCTGGTATTTAAAAATTTCTGATGGTCCGCAATAAAATGACATAAAATTTCGCGAAAATGTAAAAAAAAAAATTGCCGGTCCGCGGACAATAAAGGTTGGGGAACACTGCGCTATACCGTGCTTGAAATATTGATGGCACTGCAATTGGATCAATCACTGACTGGACTTGGAAAGTAACTCGAACAGACACCCCGTTATAAGCTTCGGTGTCTTTTCAATTACATAACGACTTGTTCAGGCTCTGTTGCGACGATCGGAGAGATCCGGGCTCCTGTGGCCCGTCGTCGACCGTGGCCCACTGGAAGAATATTCTGGCACTGCTGAGGTTGTACCGTAGAAGGTCCAATTCCTGCAATGATACAAATATCGTTCGTTTCACACCCGTCGTCGCAGAAAGAATACATGGCCACAATATAGTAGAGGCCACAAGACCTCTCACCAGACCTGCCTTCACAACTGATCTCATCGTGCTAATTCCCGCGCTAATCAAATGAAAGCTAAAAAAGCTGTAGAGTACTGATTTCTTCCAACATAAAGTGGGGCCCCGACATACACATGATTCGACTTCGGGAAACTCGAAAAATCTATACAGACATACGAATAATGTTTCAAGACCTGGATACTTCTCCATTATTCCCAGAAAAATTGAGAAATAGCTTTTTACATCAATTCTGATACCTCAAACAAATTGAGCTATTCCAAAAACTAAAAATAAATTTTATTGTAAAATTACTCTGATTCACAATCAGAAACAGGCTGATTTTATGCTTCATTTTTAATCATCATGTGTGCAGGTATAGCTATAGACATGCTTTCGTCCTTAGCTTCTTGAACTCCCTCAGATGCCAAAACATCAGATCCTACGTGGTTTTCTTCTGCACAAATTTTTTCAGAATCTTGAAAGTCGAGAAAAAAAATTGTAGGTCATTTTTGATGATCAGGAGAACAAATCAAATGAGTTCCCATAATGTCGGATCACGTTCCAACATACAGACACTCAGACATAAGGACAAGGTCCAAGTACCAATTACGTCCGCATCTCGGGGCTCCAACTGTATCTGCCTCACAGCAGGGGGTTTTCTTCGTTTATACACAGATGCCGCCGCAACTGTATTAGAGTAAAATTCAAACTAGGTTTAATAGCGTCAAAAATTCCAATGACAATTGTCTGTCCATCCAAAAAAAAGTTTCAAGTACAGTAATGACAAATTCGAGGGAAAGAAATTCCTCACTGTACGTCAGACGTTATGCTACGTGGCGCATGTCTGACGTGCGCCTTTTTCATTTTTACGATTCCTCCTTCATTTTCAATTTACAAATACGGCACATGGACTACCATTTTGTAATGTACATTGATTGCAGATGGTAAGAACATTTGTACAGTAACTAGAAAGCGTCACATTGGAAGTTTGATTACCGTTTGATACTTCTGCAGACGTTTCAAAGTGAGCGTCATGGTCGGAGCGTCTTTGTTCAAAGTAGCGGAGTCAACGACAGGGGTTACTCTGTCCGCAGTCGACGAAGAAATTTCCGCATCCTTCTCCAGCTTACTTTGGGCACTCGTGAACCAATGCAACGAATCGAAATCTTCGTATTGATTCAGAAGTTTCAAAATAAAAGCAATCCCTGCGGAATGAAAACGATTGAGCATCAGACGGACCAGGATTGAAAACGCGAAAAAGGCAAGTTTAGGGTCATTCATGTAGCACTGGGCGACTAAAAACCGACGATATTTTGGGGAAGTTTGAACTTAAATGTGGCCAAGACATTACGTTCAAAAAGGAGTGAGACACAACGCGAAAATAGGTGGAAATCCTGCCACTCAATCGTACATAAAAAAACTTGCCCAAAAAAGTAAAGGTGAAAGGTGTCACGTGATATTTCTTCACTCCCACGTATTTCACAAAATATAGAAACAGAAAATGTTTCTAGGAATGGATTCCGCTCTCTTCATTTCCCCATCTTTATTCTACACATAGTCAATAATACTTTTCTAGAAGATGTCACTGATTTCTTCCTATTTTTCAAGCAACAGTCCAGATGCAGCAAAATTGTAACCTTTCTGCGCGTAAGCCTAAAACACTACGGGTTGCCTGGATCACGCCAGCCAACCTTCTTTCAACACAATTAAAATTATTCAGTCATTAATCCATGATTCAGTCAAACTTCTTCAAGTCCAACTCCAAAGGACCATTAAAAATTTTTGAATAAAAGAAAAATTAAAAGAAATTGCATATTCTGGGCCGTAAATTGATTCTTACATATTATGTTGACAGAATTCAATTCTCTCTTTCCTGTCAATGAAATAATATGCCCAAACGCCTCCAGAAAATTCGAGTCACGGAGGTTTGAGGTGGAAAGCCTTCTATTTAGGGAGGTTTCTAATGCATTGTTTCTACAGGAATTCAGGGAGGGACTTGAAACTCTTCAACACCGGGAGAGAAGCCCGTGAAACCCGAAAATTATTATTAAACTTTACAGAGAAAATCGTTGTAGACAAGATCGTTGTTGAGCGATTTCACCTGTCTTTAAACTTTTCTCGAGTCTAGCAGCGTATGCCGGTATGTATCACCCTACGACCTGAAGATCAAGCACACAAAAAACCGAACACAAATAACCTAACGTAAATTGTTGGCCTGGTACAGAATAGTCGTGCAGTTTTCATTGGTTTTCCTGAGATTTGCTCTTTCATTGTGCTCACATTGGCACTCACCCATTGCAAAGCCATCATCCGTGAACCTCGCTCCGTCGCAATTCCTCTTCAGCATCATCTCTTGCGACGCGATGAAATGCTCCACGAAATTGACAGTCAGCGGCGGGATGATGATGAAGAAGTTCTTGAGATGTCCGTGCTTGCCGTCGCGGAAAACAGGCCCGAGAACCTGCACCAACAATCTGAAATACTGCGTCCCTCGCGTGAATCGCTTGCAAATTTCGGCAACCACGGAATCCACAGAGCTCCCGGCTTCTTTCGTCTCGGCAGACAACTCCGCTTGTTCAACCATCTCTTTGAAGCCAACGTTGGTGAGAAGGTCCGAGTTGTCAACGCTGATTCCGTACGTGTCCAGGTCTGGGATGAAACTGGCGGCTTTCCCGCAGCTGTGCAGACCGCCAGAGCGGATCATCCGCACAAATCCCATGGCATTTCCTGCCAACACAAGTTATATCTTTCAATATACAGCGTCATCTTGTTACAACAGACTCCTGGGGACTTCAGAAAAAGCTTTTTATACTGAATAATTTTTTATAACGAAAATTAATGACTGAAAAAATGTTCACAGCAAACCTGCCTTTAATCAATTCTATGCTGCTTTTCTGACATTCAGAGATTTTTTATTATTGTTTGAAAAACTGAGTGATCTTCTGAAAAATAAAACTGGCTTCAATAATTCATTCCATCAGTTGCACCAGTTTATTATATCTCTTCATTCAGGTAGGATGATGTGTGGCTTCCATCCATACAACAAGTGCACGTATTTATATCAGTTGTGCGGTTGCACTTTTTGTGATGTATTTTCTTTTCTTTTAATATCCATATACAGCTAGTTTCTGTTTTTTCATGCTGATGTGAAGAATGTGTTTGGGTAAATGTGGGTGGGGTGGGGTGGGGTGGGGTGGGGAAGGGAGGGGGTTCGGATGTGGGAACATTGCTTGAGCCTTGTGAACGCTGAAAAGCAGAAAATAAAGCTTGCTGTTCAATTAAATACAACAAGAACCAGTCAGTAAAATTTTGGACTGTGTCTGCCTCAATCAGAAAACTTCTACAGTACTTGGAGAATCTATTGAACATTCCTCAAAAAGTTTGTTATACCGAAATTGCGAAATTTTTCATACAGTAACAAATATTTTTTCAACATGTACTCCTAGGGCTTCCTGCTGGGACTTGAGAAAAAAATTGGTCATACAGTACTGAAAAATGCATTGTAACAGTATTTGTTGCAACAAGACTTTACTGTGATGTACAGTACATGAATCCAGCAAGAGACACCCGGCCCATCCCACCAAATGAAGAACTTCAACATTTAAATTCAGTAACACAACGTGAACTCGATTTTTGATCCTATCCAAGGAAAAAAGATACTTTTTAACTTCACGCTAAGTTGAAAAGTAAATCTTGATTCCTTTTGCATTCACCCAACACGTTTACTCCCCTTTCATGTTGTTAAAATTTCAACCTTCGTGCTATTCCTAGTCAACAGCAACCTTGTATCGGTCATTCAATTCTCACTTGAACTTCGAAGCATCACTAAACCAAGACGGCAAACAACGCATTCACGCAAGTACTATGCGCATATTTTTTCCTCTAAAAACTTACGGCTAAAATTGTGGCACGTGTGGTTTGTGGGTATACATTTTTTTCCAAGAAGAATAACTTAAGGGTGCTCGAGATAAGTGAGTCTCTGTAGGTGAAAATAAGAGAGATTCTCTTTGGTACATGCCCTGTTAAAATGATTCATGCTACTATATTTACTTATTGAATTTATTGCTGAACTTTACCATTTGAAAATAAAATTTGATTTTTCGTCTAATGCAGTGATGTATTTCTGGACAATTTCCAGACCAAAAATTAAGATGCATGTCGTACTCAAGAGCAAATACGTCAAGTTTCGAAATTTTGAAAACTATTCTTACCCAGAAATAAAATAAGATTCCACCCAGGATCAACCCGATATTTCTGCTCGACGCGTCAAGTAATGAAGTTAATACTGTATTAAAATGGTGTATCGTATAAGCTGAGTTCTCGCGCACAGAATAGAAAGAACTTTCATCCATTTCGAGGAAAAAAGTTCTTTTTTTCAATGCCAAGGAAAAAAAATTGACAAAAACCTCACCAATTTGCGTGATAAGCACCCTGAACTTATCGAGGTAGGTCTGGCCATCCGGCGTCAGTCCTAACCGACGGATTCCTCTGTTGAATTCTTCTGCGCGATCGTATGGGTATTTCTGACCCAAGGAATCTTTATTTTCCTTGAAATATCTCACATCCTTCATTAGCCGCGACTTGATGTGGTCGTCAAAGAGAAATTGGGAGAAAATCTGAAACTTTTTCTTGAGAAACTGGTACGTGATGTTCACCTGCGGAAAATATTCGATGAAGTTGTATTTTTCTGCCTGGATTAAAACGCGGAGTTTAACAAACCGTCGTATTCATGATTCCAGGGCCATGTGTTCGTATGGAATTCGCCACGTGACGAATGCCAATACTCTCAAGGTGCTTGTTGTTGCTCGAGACTTCAATAAACGTCTGCGTGTTCAAATTATACGCAAATTTCCCGACGAAAATGTGCAGATTCCGCATGATTTCCAGCACATCTAAGCCCTGAAAAAAAGAGAGTCAACTGAACTCAATGCCCGTTAAAATGATGAGTATTTTGACTAGACCTGCTCCAAAGTCTGACTTGGAAGATGCGCTTCTCGAGTTTCCGCGCCGTATTTCAGACGAGCAATGCTCCTCATTTCTCCGTAAGTCTTCCAGTCGTGCAAGGCGATAGTCGTCAGGGTGTAAAATGTTTTATCGAGGTAGTCTTCGACGTACTCTAAAATTTCAACAACGAATACAACATTGAAAATGAAATTACGTCAATCTACTTGAGTTATCCCAAAAGCTGATGCGCAGGAAGAACTTTTGAATCCATGAATTGAACGATAATACTTCACCAAAATTATGTGTCTCTTTAGCGCGGATAGTTGTCACTACGTCAACAAAAGAATTACAGTACAATTCTACATACGATGATCATCAGTTCTCCTTTCTCCCTTGTGCTCATGAGAAAAACATATTTGCTCGGGTAACCGGAGAAAAATAAAAAACATTAGCTATCTTTTGCTGCCCAATAATAGCGTCAGGCGAATCAGTGGATGTTAATGATTAAAATGACAGGATTCACAGGGCTCGAAGAAAAAAATTTTTTCGCAAAGGCAAAATTATGAAATTCTATCAAGACACACGGTTTTTCATTGAGCTCCGTTACGTGCCAAAATTTTAATGCACTCCTGCGTGCGTGAGAAAGTTTTGATACCCTTCAAATACGTCGCATTTTCCACAGTACAGTAACTTTTTAGATACTCGAACGTTACGATCGAATCTTACTCTTCACATGCAGCGTAAATTTGCCCAAAGCCAAGGGTCTCAAGCGTAAAAAATCGCTCAGGTCAGCGACTGGCGCAGAAAACGGATTTCTTTCCTCCAACTGCAGATGACAATGCGTCTGCAACCGTAAATCAACCTCGATTTTGTTGCACAACGGTAGCAGGATCTGCGAGTCAAAAAATTTGGAAAAATTGTGATAAAGCGATGGAACAAACACCTGCGAAGCATAAAAGAAACACATACCTGTCGTTCTAACGCGTCCATCACTTCCGCGCAAAATCTATCGCTGAGAGCATCTGATTGAACATGGCGACAATGAGACAACGGGGCGATACAGTCTTCCAACGCCGAAAAAAATTCCTGAAATGAGATCGGAGGACGAACAAAATAAAAAGTTTCTTTCCTCAGTGACACCACAGAAGAACACGACTCGAAAGAACAATTAGACATGAGGCCAACTTTCCGAAGCACTTTTTCGAAAATGATCGACTGAGACTAGCTTTTCCGATATTTACATTTTTCTCGTATTGTATACAGTAAAATTCCGTTATATCGAGTCTCGGAATGACGAATTTCTTGTTATGACGAATTTCTTGTTATGACGAATTTGTCTTGGTCCCGACAGTTTCTTCAAAGGTACAATGTTACAGAAATTTTAGTACAACGAACAAAATTTATTTTATAATCTCAGTACTGCATAACACATTTTTGCTTCGATTATGTGTGCGTGGGTCACAGACAATTCTACTAATTGGAAAAATAGAATACCCAACTTGCGCATTATTGAAAACCTTCGAAACTAGAAACACTAATGATTTCGCACATAAAATTTAGCATAGCAGGAAGTATAAAGCTCAAATCGTAATTTATTTAGCTTCATTTTAGGATTCAGAAATGGCTAAATTCTTGAAACAAAAGCATGATTGGAAGGATACTGCTCAATTTTAGGGATCATACAACTTTTCTTAATGAATATTCCTCTTCTCAAGCAGGTATTTTCTGTTTGTTTCCGCTGTTACTTTAGTTAGATTGCAATATTTTTTTTTTGAAAATTCAAGAAAGGAACGTTCTGAAATGAGAGGATTGTATTTCACGTTTTGAATTTTTTCCATTATTCCATTAAAAGACGTTTTACACTTCGGCAATAATTCACACATCTGCTCTGCAAGTACAGTAATTTAAGGCATATATTAACTCTTTCCAACAATACAGTGAGACCCCAATATGCGGACACCGGACATTAATCTCACTTTGGGACACTTTTCTGGAATTTTCCCAAAAAATCAAAACATTTCAATTTTAATATCTTTTGAACAAATCAAATAAATTTATATTCAAAAAAATTGAAAGAAGTACTTCATGATAAATTCACTCTAAATCATAATCAAAGCAAGCTGATTTTTTGCTACTTTTTTCAGTTTTCTTCTATCAGTTGTGCATATTCTAGTAAGACTTATTATTTTTATTTGCTTTTGTACCTCTTTTTGATACTATAGAGTATAGACAATCAGATTCTATATGCTTTTGTTCAGCACTGTTTCCTACAACTCAAAATTGAGGGAAACACTTTTTATCAATTTTTTGAGGATTAATTTCTAATTTTTGACAAAAAGGAGAACCAATTGAATACATTAGCCATTGAAGTCTAAAGGAAAATGAGACTCAACTTAGGGAAATTCCAACATCAGGACACTATTGATGCACTAATTATGTCCGCATCTTGGGGTCTCACTGTATTTCAATCCTAAATGCTCAAATAACCATAGATCTCGTTACAAGGAATTTTTTCCGGTCCTGAGAGTTCGCTGTATACTCACATGGATTCTATGGGGATTCGTTTCACAGCTCAACACGTCGTCGAAATAGATGGGAATTATCACACGGTGCCAATAAAGGAACGAGCCATCACACGCTTTCTCCAAAGACGATCCCAGGTCACAGAGAAACTCCATTTTCCTCAGATTTTTCTCCAATGCTTGAAACTCTCCTTCCGTAAGCGTTTTCGCTGAAAACGTTGAACATCGCGATCATATTACTGTACCATCAGCCGAATTACAATTGATAAAAGACATACAGCAACGCGCAAAGGCCATCGCAATGATCGCCACAAGCCGTTTAACTTTTGTCACAGGACCATTCAAGGCGTGTTCAGTCAATACCAATGCAGTCAATATATCTGAACGTCTGGAGCTCGGTTTCTCATTCAGCAACCGTTTCTGCAAGCCAAAGAGAAAAAAGTTCTGTTTGACGAAGATTTTAGGGAACATACAACATTTCTTGATGAATAAATCCTCTTCTTAAGCAGGTATTTTCTGTTTGTTTCCGCTGTTACTTTGGTTAGATTGCAATATTTTTTGAAAATTCAAGAAAGGAAAGTTCTGAAATGAGTACATTGTATTTAAGACTACTTACGCAACGAAGATGAAAAAAGTAAGAAAGAGGAATTTTACGTGTCATATTTTTTAAACCATTGCAAGCATTGTACAGTACTTTGAAAACTCAGCGTCGAGCAATTCTCTTCCGAAATAATGCTCCAATTTTATGTAACACCTGCATGACTACAGGTAGACTCTCTCCATAACGAAATTCAAGGAACCGGAAAAGATTCGTTGTGGAGAGAATTTTGTTGTTGAGAACCCCTACAACATAGGGAGAGAAACCCATCGGACTGAAAAAAAAAGTCGTCATGCAGAGAAATTAGCTGTAGACAAGATCTTTGTAGAGAGCCCAAATGTACAACTGTGATGGCCAATGAGAATTGCATTTTGACTTCACCGTGCTTTTTTTCCCCCTTAGAACTACGTATTCGATTTAAACTACTCCCTCCTGCAATCTTGATTATTGAATGATGGAAACTATATTCATTGTCTTTCACAGCAAGATCCAGTCACTTTGGGTAGAAATCGCACGGGAAAGAACGATTTAAACGACTGAATTCATCCCAAAAGCTGCCGTAGAAAAGAAGGGAGTAAGAATACAACTTCTAAAATCACTCAAGATTACTGTCGTTTAAAAAGGACCATAACATTCAGTAAAAGTTTATAGAAATTTGCGAGTCCGCAAAAAACTTTATGGAAATTTTCCGGTCCGCGGGCCTAAAAAGGTTGGGGAACACTGTTACAGTATAGGCAATATCGGGCTTCCCTGCAACAATTTTTCTTCTAGTCCCTTGAATATCTTCGTAGAGAGAGTCCACCTGTGCTGTATCTCAAATTTCAAAAATCCGTCGTTTTATTTTTATCCACTGGTTCACCATACCTTGACTCCAGCCAACGTCGTCAGCGCAACGAAAGACAGGTGTTGCATGACGTAACCAGTGATCTCCGCCACCAGCATCCCGTGTCGATGATACGTAGCTCTGATAGACTGCAACAATTCGATCAATCTGCACACGCAAGCGATATCAGCCTTGCTCATAGGCTTGACGAAACGGGCATGAACGTTCAAAATCAACTTGGCAGTGAACGAGAGCCGATGCGCGTACAGAATTCCCTTTGAACAAAAATATAAACTCCCGTTCCGATACGAAATATACACGAGTATAATACGAGAAATTGTGAGTACCTGGATGAATAAATTTGCAAATCGCTTCATGTCCTCGATCCGAAGTTTTGAGGGTTCCAGCTTGGAGAGTTCTTCGAACTTGGCCGTCCAAGTGCACACCTAAAATGGTAAGAAAATACGAACAGTGAACAGCTGACACAGGGAATGGATCCGTGTTTTTCTTGTTCAAGCTGTCTCTGCAATCGTGGATAATTCGATATCAAGGCGCAACAAATTCCTAGGTTCGAGCATGTCAAGTTTTTTCAAAAAGGACACAGAATACTGTATTTAAAAAAAAAGTTAGTGAAGCCTAACCTGAACGCCATAAGCAACTTCATCTCGGCCAATCGATGCGGTTTTCTGCTGCATATAATTGCTCCGAAACGCAGCAGAACTGGACATCGCCCTTCTGTCGATCACACTTGCAAACCCTCCTAGGTGCTGAACAAAGAAGTCATCCAGTATCCATACGTGCTGTGCGTGGAGGAGAACCACTGGAATCTTTCAAATAAAACATAAATAAAAATCAAGTTTTTTATAAACCATGAGAAAAACAATCTCAGTTCTCCGTACTACATCCTTCCACTTTTGCTTTTTGGGATGTCGGGCAGGTGGCACATACTTTACATCTTAACTAAGATTATCAAACGAAACCCAAACCAAACTACGAATGACTGAAACCAACGAACCGGACAAACCCTAACCCAACATCTTCTGACTGAAGTAAGGTACAGCAAAATTTAAGCGAAATTCTGTCTCACAAAACCCCTGAGGGCTCCGAAATTGGGGAAAACACAAAACTCGACCAACACTTTTTCTCGAACTTCAAGGGACCAGCAAAAAACAATTACACTAAAAAAATTGTTATCAGTTATGACGTTTTGGAGAGGTTTTGAGTTAGGGAAACAAGCACTTCCGTTGGGAAGAAATGAAGAATTACAGAAGATTCTATTCGGTGATATTTTGGGCCTTAAATCGCTCGAGTTAGACAGGGTGTTGTGGAGGCAAGGGTTCAGTTGCCCAATTAATCTTTCACTTCATTTCAAAACACATCAAATTACATATTCATTGCTTTCTCTCTTTCCCGTGTTGATAAAATATGTAATAGCCGTGTTGATAAAATATGTAATAGCCAAAAGGCCTCCAGAAAATTTGTGTTACGGAGGCTTGAGGGGGAGAGCCTTGAGTTGGAAGCTTTTTAATGCATTGTTACTGCACCAAGAAATTCAGACAAGTCACAAGGACATGAAAACAAAATCAAGATAGGAAGGTTGAAGTCTTCGAGGTTCAACTGAATGCTCATAGAAACCTTTTTCTGAAGCTCCCAGATTTGTTTCACGAGTTTCTTGTCCAACCCCTGGACGACGGACGTGTAGAAGACAAAACAGCACGCCAAGGCCATGAGCTGTTGGCCCAGTCGCCGGTCCAGTTCGTAAGTTTGACCTACTTGGGCATCCAGTTGATCCACCCACAGAGTCAGACACTCTTTCCATTCCGCCGCAAAGTGGTTCTTGCTTTTCGTTCCGGCTTCTGAAACTCGCGCAGTGTCCGAACAATCAGCGAGCGAGTCGACAAAAATTTTATCCGACAGCAGGGCATCTTCCAAATTTCTCAAGAGATCGATCAAGGCGGACATCTTGGCGTTGTCCACCTTGAATTCATTAGGTTCCCGACGCACATTCTTCAGCAGCCGCTTGTACGTTATCCAGTGCTTTAAAATATGAGGTTGGAGTTTGATGATTTCGTCGAGTGTGTATAATGTTGATAAGACGCCTCCAAAGCATTGCAGCACATGCTAAAACAAAACAAACAAAAAACACTTGTGGCATAAAAATAAATCAGATTTAAAAACGACTTCAACTGTTCTTCCTCGAAAATAAAACCTGGGGCAATAATTAGAACAATGCCTGAAAACTTCTCGAAAATAAACCATACTCCAAAATTAATCCTTGTCTATATCATTCATTACTTGAAATGGTAGGCATCAAAAAGTTGAATCTCAGTTTATAAATGGGGCCGTTCAGCCTGGGAGAATTTAGAAACACAAAGCTGCTAAAAGAAATGCGCATGAATTAAACTTCTCAAAATGCATATCTTTTAAATACAGCGGGGATCCGAGATACGAATGAAATCGGTGACTGGACCTTGTCCCTATGTCAGAGTGTCCACATACGTTGGATCCCATTTTACCATAGACCTCAATGGGAACATATTTAACTGGTTTTCTTGTCCATCAAAAATTAATACTGAAGTCGCAAAAAATTGAATAAAATGTGTTTCTCAACTTCAAGATACAGAAAAATACTGTGCAGAAGAAAGCCACACAGAATCTGATCTTCTGGCATCAGAAGGACATCAAGAAACGAAGAACAAAAACAAGTCTAGCTAGTACACTACAGTACTTGCATACTGTGCACACATGATGGAGAAAACTCTGAAAATAGAAGCACGAAATAAACCTGTTTTTCACTGTGAATTGAAGTAATTTATGATGAAATTTCTTCTCAACTATTGCAAATATAAATATCTCGACTTTTTCGAGATCTTGAAAAATTTTATTGGAAGAAATGCTGGAAAAATGTACATAACTCGAGAAATTTTCCGGATGTCGGGGCATATTTTTTCAGCTTCAAATATCCCTAAGTTGAATCTTACTCATGTCCGGGCGTACATACAAGTAAGTATGTCGGGGTCCCACTGCACTTTCACCAACTAAAATCTGGTCAAAACTTCCTAGTTCATTCAGAAACACAGATGATATCTCAAAAACAAGCTGAAACGAATTTTTTTTTTTTTAAAGTACTGCCAGGCTCGTCATATGTTCGAGGCGAAACATGCAAAATTTCCTACCACAAGATGAACATTGGAGACGTCCACAGGAGCCTTCGGGTCAAATGCAGCACTGAGCTGCAAGACACAGTTGTTGAGCACGACACGACAACGACGGACAAACGCGTCCAATTCGGGTAGCACGGCGACAAATTTCCCTATCATCATCTCCGTATTCCCTTCATCGATCCCGGGCTCACCTTCTGAACGGAAAAGTAATTTTTTTCTAGCAAAACTTATAATTACTGTACACCCGTTTCTAATTGCTTACCTTCGCCATACAGACAAAGAACGTCGAAAAATGAATTTTCGGCTTCGGCAATCAAAGATTTCATCTCATCGCAAAGATGAGTGAAAACCAGGACAATTTTTCTCACGGGGTCGCCCGATATTTCCGGGACACTTTCAGCTGCTGCTGTCACATCGTCAACGGTCAGCTGCAAGAACGCCAGAAGCATCAATTTAACAAGTACAGTGACATTCCGTTACAATGAATCCTGTTACGACTTTCTTGGTCCCAGCAGTTTCTCAATAAAATAGAATGAACAAGTCACATGAAAAATCACTGTACACGTGGGAAAAATGCTTCTTCCCACACCAACTTATTTGTTCATACCTGTTTGTTCTTTCAAATACTGTAGAGGAAAATTCTTTCCAATGAACTGTTCATTTAAAGGAAAGGTATACATCCTGAAATGGAGTTGAAGATTTTCCAAGCTCGTATGTTGTGCTTTAAATTATTTGACATTAAATTTTCTCCACAGAATGTTCTGCTTCTTTAATTAAGTTGGAATGCTGCACTAGTTCAATTTGTTTCTTCTATTTTTCCGCCACTTAGGAAATAATCCTCATGACCTATGCACAGGCCAACAATTCGCTGTACAGTATAGTACTGAGACTACAGCCTCAAATTAATTCTTTAAAATTAGATTCTTAGAACATTGCGCCTATGGAGAAACTTCTGGGACCAAGAATGAATTCTTTAAAACGAAATTTGTAGTAACAGAATTTCACGCTATTTTGTTACCTTATTTTACAGTATAAATTCACAACAACAACAACAACCACAAGTAAATCTACCAGATCACAACCCGACTACGGTACCACAAATTTTGTTTTCCATTCACTGTATGCTTCGGTACTCACTTCGAAGGATACAGGATGTAAGCACGGATCCCAGACGTAGTCACATCCCGACGACAGCGAGTCCAGCTTCTCTTCGTATTCTTCGAGAAATTTCCCGAAAACTGCGACTTGCGCGTCACACGCGGCACCTGACGGGAAGAAGCACCAGGTTTCATACACTCTTACTACCATATCGTCAGAAATACCACGCCGACACCGTCAATAAACTCACGGCAAGAGTTGTCATCCTCGACTCCCCACGACGAAGGGTCATAGAAGTTGAACGCCGACATTATAATCCGACCGACACGACAACACAGGCAGCACGACGACACATCATACAGTACACAAGGCGACTGTAAAGTAAAGAGCAAGGAAAACAGCCCGGAAGTCGCTTTAAATCAACGCATTTCGGACAGGGAAATGCTTCCACTTCACATTTTTAAATCGCGGAACACATGCACGATTCTCATTGACGACACAGACGGACAGGCAACGAAAAAAATAATTAGACTACTTATCCAATCAAAAACGAGAAGATCAGTGACACGGAAGAAAAGCAGCACATTGGTCCATGGGAACGCTTTTAGTCGACGCTTTTACTCCACGCCGCAACGTTAGAAATTGATGCACAACAGCAGCTCAGAAGAAGGAGGAAAATGGTAGAAAAATCCATAAAATAAAACACAGGGAGAACCGAAGGTTACTGCCTAAATAAATGAGCAAAGTTCACCGGGAGTCAGTCGTCATCAAAACCTTTTCTTTAAATTAAGCCTCCAAATTTGATTAAAAACAGCAGGATGAAGCTTCGGTTCAGTTCCAACTTTCAACGAGGGATTCCCACAAAATCCAAATCAAATGACTGACAAAAATTCACCCTTCACCGAAATCGGTACTTTACAGCCATAACCCCGTTGAGATATGAACAGGTGGATCTGGAGCGGTGTCAATAGTCGCTTCAACCCTAAACGATCAGAATTCAAAGAATTCATTCAAACCTATTCAAGTCTAACTTCAAGGGATCAGCAAAAAAAAACTTTTGTGAGGAAGGTATTGAGTTGAACATACCACATTTTCGAAGGGGAAAGAAAAATAACTGCAGGAAATTGTAATTTGTGATATTCTGGGACATAAATTGCTTCCTGCATGAGTTGACAGGATGCTAAACTTGGAAGCATGAGTCCATTTGCTCAATTAGTCTTTCATTTCTTTCCAAAACGCATCGTTACATTTTTATTGCTTCTGGAGTTGCGGAGGTCTTTAATGGGGTGTTTTCATAGGAAATCAGACGGCCACTTGAAAAAAAAAAATCGACGTAGAGAGGTTCCACTTGACGAGGTTCACCTCCATGAATAATACTTAGTCTTTAGACGACGCCGAGTAAAAAATGAAATCAAGAACTCAACACCAAGAAGAAGCAACTTTTTGGGGCACTGAGGAACGCAACATTATGAGGTTGCGGATGGTATATCATTTGCACCAAGCGCATTCATAGATGTCATCTAGAAATTCTAGATAATTCCAGGAATCGCGACATGATGCGGGAAGAACATGGACTGATGAACAATCAACAGTAAACAATCTCTGAAGCATTTCCTCGAAAAACAACAGAAACTGAACAAGATGAAAAATGTTGCAACAATTAAAATATCACAATATCGAATATTGCACAGACGCATGTTCGTGACACCACCTGAAACACCGAACACATGTCGAAACCTAAACGGTCGCGGAAAAAAGGAGCGCAGGAAGTAATCCACCATTTCTTTTTTTGAAAGAGCACGAAGATAATGAAGTTTACAGGAATTTCGCAAGGAAAAATGTTGAAAGACGAAGATACGGGCGTTTACTCCCAAAAGCGCACTGTCACGCCTATTGGTAGTACTCACTGAATATACTGCATACGTAGTGTGTGCATACATTTTCTAGAATTAGATTGCCAGCAAATTATGGAGCCCCAAAAAATCAACTTACACATGCCAAAATTGCCACGGACATTTTGAAACTTGTTCGAAACGCATACAAAACTGCACGTAAACCTTTCTAAAAAGTTTTCTCAAAATAAGGAGCGGGCAATGGAAAAAATCAAGTCATTTTACGAAAAATTTACCCAGAAACCAATCAAACTCAATTTCGCTTTGCTATAGCAATGCTAATGCAGCACACACGACGAAAGAATCCTGAAGCTGAAGAAACTTGCGAATACCCAATGTGACAATAAATTGCTTTGAGGACATCTACACCCGCTGGAACAACGTGTCATTTTTCGTTCAATGAGGGGAGTATGAAAATTTATCTTTCAAGTCGAAAAATTTTCCACGCATAGTACCTTCAGGGACACCCTACTTTCGAGTACCGGTATTCGGTAAACCTCTAAAACTGAAATCAACTGAGAAAAAGAGCAAAATAATCAAAAATTTAGAGCAAAAACTCATTTAGAAAGAGAAAAAACTCGCGACAACTGAGACACGGAAAAACAATCACCATCACTGATTCGAGAAAAAAAATCATGTTCTCAAACTAGGAACGCTAAAAACCCACGTCATTGTTGCAGGGAAATCCCCGCACACTCGCAAAGGAAAATGAAAACCCCTGTCAGGTTGAAGAATCGTGATCACACACGACGCCGTGAAACCGGAGGCGAACCCGTAACCACACCACCGCTTCTAGTCGCCCACGACGAAACAAAACAAATGGGCAACGAACTCGGCAAGCCACGGGTTTGAGATGAAAAATCGCTGGCACCGGAGGGAGGCAACAGTGAAGCATTCCCATGCTTGCCCGACGTGGGAGAATTTGCTTTTTGCTTACCAAACGTGAGTTTCGCGGATCTCACCAATGATTTCACTTGCACGTTGGAGAGCCTGTAAAAAAACAAATTTGTCAAAAAATCAAAATAAATCGCCTCGCTAAAAGCTATGTTACCTTCAGCATTTCGGCTGCTTCATGCCGACGTTGAGCGATGTGGGGGGATTCTTGCAGGAGGTCAGCGATTTGCTCAGGCTTGTAAAGCTGGGAAACTAATTCCGACTGCAAATTGTCCTTGACGTAATTGACCAGGAAGTGCATGATAGCTTTCGGGACACTGTCATTGATGGACTTGCGCACGATGTAAAAATATGATTTGATGAGCCGTTCTGCAAAAATATACACCAACAAGAACAAATTTCTTTAAAAATGAAGATTTATCTTCTACAACCGAAATTTGTTATTCTTCCTCGTTCATCCACTCTTTCCATTGCCATGACAAGTCATTTTCATTCAGGTAAATTTCGTTGAAAATAACAGTTGCGTTTCAATTTCACGGAGTCATACAAAATTGAATTTACTCCAGAAACATCATCACCACAGAAACACGAACGCTGATTGCATTCAAGATGAAAATTTTGTGATACTCTTGATGACAAATTTTCAAGGTTTTCTTTTCCTAAATTCAATCAATTATTTTCCACATCTTCGGAACCATTTCCGACACGCGTGCGCACGTTTCGAAAAAATTAAATATGAGTTTTCCACTGCGAGTTCCCTCTCTAGAAGTCCTATACTTGTAGAATCTTGTCACAACAAAGCTTTTGAGACCTGAAAAAAGTTTCATTTTTAAGAAATTCGTTGAAACGAAATTAACTTCGTCTCTTTTTTCCACACGGACCAAAAAAACAATTCGTCGTAACCATTAGTTGGAAATGACGAGAATCGTCGTAACGAGGTTCTACTGTATCATGATCCCACGAATGCTATTCACGTTGATAGTACAGCAATACACAGTAATGTACAGTGAAATCAGCAAACGCATCAATTTTTGGAAACTTCCGAGTGCCCAACGACCAGTTTCAAACGAACATCTTAGCCGGAATTCGCACTCACCGATAACATCGCAGTCTCGTTGCTCGCGTTCAGACAACTTCCGGGCAGACGGAACTGCAGTAGGAACTTCGGGCAACAAATTAATGGGACGGTGATGAGGCGATGAGTCGCCGTCCATCGCCAGTGTCGACCGGCTGGAGGCAACAGAGCTCGGAGAATCCGGCATGCTCGCATCATCCTTCTACAAAGAAAGAAAATTCAGATAAATGAATAGCAGCTCTGTAAGAAATAAAAAAAATATCATTCACTAACAAAATCTCCCGCACGACGTGGAACTCTTGCGCGAGTATTGTGCATGTCGTCATCCAAAGACTTGATCATCGAGGATACGAAAGCGGCGTCTTTGTGGAAGTCTGGATGCTTTGTATTGATATACGCCAATTCTATGCACACCAAATGTTCCACCTACAATTCAAATCAAAAGTACCCAAAATGAACGCCCGGACTTTCAAAACAACCTATATAATTCCGATGCTCCTCATGAACCATGAGGGTTGCATGGGTTTCCGAACGAAGTCAAAGATATTAGCCCAAAAATGTACGATGGAAGCCTGATTTCCACGCGAACTCCGAGAATTTTTACTTCTTAAAAAAGTTTTCAAAAGATAGCAGAAAGGTTGAAATGATCGTAATACAGTACATACAATATTTCCAGGGATGGTCTGCTTTTCACGAAGAGGAAAGATGGTTTGAGTGACTGTTTCTAGCAACCAGGACATAAAAAAATTGCATCTGCTTTATCAACGAAGAAAATTTTTTTCAATTCTCCTTTGAACAATTTTGCATTACGCGGAAATCAGAAAACCCTCGCATCATCCATTGGTGCGAAGTTACAATGCCTTTACCATGTTGTTCGTTGGAGGTAATCGACGCCTCAACAGATGCGTGACGACATCGACAATTTTTTCGTGCAATTTCGGAAATCGCAGCATTTCTTGCTGAACTTCGTTGCCACAATGCTGTATCATGCGCTGCATTTCTTCATGGACAAGTTCGACGCATCTCAAGGACGGCTCCTCCAGTCGACGGATCTGTCGCTTGACAAGAAGCTCGAACGATATTTCAGGTACGAACAGGGCTGGTCGTGGTCCCGTGGCATTTCGGATAGCAGTTAGAATATCCATGTTCGTCAGGCCGGTGAGAGGAGCGATTGAATCTAAAGTTCGGCCGAAAGTTTCATGGAAGATGTAGCAAATTCTGGCACCTCCACACCTGCAAAAATGAAAATGAACCAAGTCGCGAGTAAATGAGTTGTCATCTTTTCAATCGTGAGAGTTTCAGAGCCCTCCTGCAACACGTCAAAATGTCGACCCGCGATACCACATGAGGAATAACACGGAGTTAAATTCGAGAAAATTTTACTGAAGGCTTGACGCTAGATCTGAAACGACCATCAGTTTTTCTTTTTGATCAGTATCCATTTGTAGCCTTCCATTTGTTTCTTTTCCACAAGGATCACACTTCAATGTTTCGGTCATTCCTACAAAACCCCACACATACAGATATATTTGATTGATTTCCTGGCAGTTCAGAATACGGTGATACAGGACGGTAAGAAAAAAACGCGTTCAAGGCGTCAAAACATGCAACATTTCCATGATCTAGAATAATCCTCAAAAGCCACTTTTCGATTGATTGTGTAACCCGAATGAAAGACGGTTATCCTCATGAATTTCGTTTGGAGGTGGTACAATCAAGACGAGAATACAACCCAAGCTATCAGCTAGGTTGGTTACTATGGTTGGAATAACGCTATAGGCGATCAATATCCACCTGATATAAAGGAAAATTATTTCAAAAACTTCCGCGATGCCATGGCGAGTGAAGTTCAAGACTAGACCATTATCCTTGATTCTCAATGAAAATTCCTGTTATATGCCGCCAAAGCTTGAAAGTTTCTGCCTCATGATCGGACACGGATATGTAGAAAAAAATTACGTTTGTTATGTACCGTGTTTATTCTGGTACCACGCGCACCGTTTTCCTCAAAATTGAGACGAAAAAGGGGGTGCACGTCATAGGCGGGTACGCATGTTTCAAAAAATTTTAGAAGTTTAGGTGTGCATTATACTCAATTCTAACGGGGAATTTCAGAGCATTTTCATCAGAAAACTTATTTTCATGGAAAAAAATTACAATCGGTTGAATTCCGGTTCAATTTTTGTCTGAATTCAAAATTGTGTGTTCTTATTTTCAAATATTGCAGTTCTACAGTCGCTAAAATTGGGATGCGCGTCTTACTCGGAAATGCAATTTGATGGAAATTTTCAGACTGAAAAACTTGGGAGCGTGTCTTACTCGAGGGCACGTGGTAATCGAGTGAACAGGTTACATGATCCTGTCTTTCTGCGATGTTGTACATTTTATCCCATGAAAATTCAGTTGCACCAATAACTGGTTAAGAAAAATAAAATCTTTGAAGTTCGGCTTCTGATTCAAATCCAATGCAAAAATGATTTATCAAGATCTTGATTACCTGTAGTAGGCAAGTTTTCTCCAATAATAAGCTCAATTTTCATGCAGCAAAGTCACGTAAAAAAATCTCGGTCGACTGAAAATTGCTATGAACTAACAGCTCTGTCGTTTCTATGTTCTTCGCAGTTCCTTCAATCGTTGAAGTGTATCCAGCAGCGAACTTAGTGATAATCTGCAGTAGCATTTGCCCCTTGTCGCCCACGTCGTCTCCATACGATGCCAAAAGCGTTTGGAACTGCGAGGCCATGAGGTTGACTCGGGTTTTCAATTCCGGCAAGCAATCCCGAATATGGTGCATTAGCAAGCGATTCAAGGTTTTCGACAGGTACGCCGTTCCGTTCCTGTTCGCGAGGCTCGGGTATTTGCGCTGCAAAAACGCAGCTTCATCCTTCAGTTGATCCTCAATACTTTTGCCATCGACAATATCCTGTTGCGAACGGTTCACAACACCAATAATCCCGAGTTTCACAGGAATCACTCTACCACAGAGGATATCGATCGCATCGGTTCCTAAAGAAAGCGAAATTTCGATGATCAATAATAGCTTAAACCGGGAAGACATCGGGCTGATCCTTGTTAACGCTGCCACCACAGACCTTCAGCATTTACGCGTATCCCTCCATGTACAAGGAACAAATACTGGCAGGTTTGACAAGACCGGACAGTTTTTGTAGAATTTTCCAAGATTTCGCTTGGCGATGTTTTGAAAAGATTTATCGCAAGTGAGTGATATTTCGTCAGACTCGGGAATCCACGAAAAAAAAAGCCATTTCAGGTGTACAGAAGCTATGGAATCTTTCTCGAGAGCTTTTTTTTCAACCTTGAAAACGTCAAAAACTGAGGAATCAAACGGAAAAAGGTTTCAAGAAATGTACATCATTCGGATCCTTCCTCAAATAGAAAAAAGTGAACATTGACTACAAGATGATACCACTGCGTTAACATTAAAAGCATTTATGCATGTTTCTCATTGTACTGTACTTATACTGTACTCGGATACTCAAGACCTGTTAGAAAGAAGGTAAGTGCTTAACTTCCATCCTCACGATTTTTACCGAATCGCAAACAGCTTTTTTTTCTGCGGAAAACGTAAGTTTGAGGTAAATTTGTAGGCATTCCGAGCGATTCTATTTTGCATTTACTAGGATTGTCCTTCAAGATCGAAGCGGTGCAAATTATGAATTAAGAGGCAGTTTCGCATCAAAATACTTGGAAAACAGAACTTTAGGCAGCTTTAACGAGGATATGCCACTATTTCACCACTGACCGGCATCCATGAGGTCTAGCTTAGTAAAAACGGCAAGGGTCCTGCGTCCTTCCGGGTCAACTTCACGGGCTATTTTGAGACTTTCACTTGTGGCCATATCCGTGTTAGCTGCAGTGACAGAAAGGATAATGCTGTTCGGATTGGCTGTGTAGTGCATCACCAGCTTCTTTATTTGGAATTCGATGTCCTCTGGTTGCTCGCCAACAGGGACCTGTAATCGCAAAAATGTCAAACGAAACGGTGACATGAATCGTTAATATCAAATTTTTCGGACACGTAAACGCACTGTTCATCTAGCGGAATTGTGTGGAAATCCTTCGACATTTCTAAACTTAAGTAAAGCCTGTATTTCAAGTCAAGTTTAAAAATAAAAATAAAAACTCACTTTGACAAAAAAATAATAATTACATATTGTACTCTTACTCACTTTCGTTAGCCCAGGGAGATCAATCACAGTGAGGTTCAGCACTCTTGGAGAAAACAGTTTCAAACAGATGGGTTCAGGGCATATCCCTTTGTTCGAGCCGGCAGCTCGATCTGTTTCTGCCTCGATTTCAAGACGCATTTTGTCATAATCCGTGTACACCTTCTTCTGATGCAGAAACTTGCCCCATTCTTCCAAATTGGCTGTGCCTGCAAGAATCAATCAATCATACATTGCAATTTCCGATAATTTCAAAGGAGGAGCACCATCTTCAGCGGTTCGGTGTTCTTTGTCACCCAGCGGAGCATGAATTAGCTGAAGTATCAAAGGCCTTCTTGTTACAATACCAATCCCACGAGGCAGGAACGAACATCCCACAATACTTTCCAAAACGGAACTTTTGCCCGAACTCTGCAAAAGTAATACGATACTCAATACCAGACTCCCATATCAATATTACCATTACCTTACCTGCGTTCCGACGACAACGATTTGAGGCAGCTGTATTGCATCAGCACCTACGGTGTTGAATACATCTTGGAGCTTGTTGATGACAGGGATGAGCGTCTCCAATTCTGCAGTTTTGGCCATCAAATCGACAAAGGAACACTGACCACGAATCAAACCTAGAACAGCGGAGTTTACAACAGACAGAAAATTAGAGAGAAATCAGTAATACAGTACTTCGCAGCAATTTTTTTTTTTTTAATCCTCAGAAACCGAGACTGCGAAACGTGTCAGCCAGCGCCACGATTAATCGCACCGGTTGCAACGAAGTCTTCTAAAAAAAGTCAATACGAATAGTAATAAACCCGAAAGCGGATGTGACCCACCGCGAAATTCATGCGCACCCCAACCCTGAACTGTGTATGCCCATTATGAGGTGGTAATTACGTCAATCAGTATACTTCGTCATTCTGTTATTCCAAGAACGGACACATCTGCATATCGAAACATTTGGGATACCGCACATAGGAAATAAACAAACTCCTCCCAGGTGAAAAGCGGGGGATTGAAACGGACGCGCGCGGCACAGAACCAATTCATAATGTGAGAGCTGTCGTCGTCCTATTGTCAATTTAGCGAAATCAGTTCCTTGGTAAGGCAATTTTATCATAAACGCCGTATTTTTACTTTATACACCTGTCATACGCGAGGAATTATAAATATCATATCGTCTTATCTTACCAACAATCCATTGGGAACTTTACACCGCCAGTATACAGGATACTGTAGGACGGTGCGCTCTAAGAACAGCCCGTGTCTGAGGGTGCGCTGTCTAACAAGTGCTGTTTCGCCGGTTGCTGCCCGCGCGGGAATGTGAGGTCAGCACGGAGTTCGTTACTCGCGCTGAGTGTGATAGATCGCGAGATCGTTCTAGTTGCTTTCAGCATTTGAAGGACTTAACTGCGTAAAGTAAAACCTGTCTAAATGCATATTACCGCCTTGTTTCTTTCGAGTTGTATGGGCATGATGATTTCGAGATCGAAACGATTGTGACTCACGTGTGCCAAGTCGTGTTCTTCACGGACCGTGACTTTTTCTTTGCAGCTACTCGTGAGTCAAAACTCAATATCGTCATCTTGCCAGGCAGCGTAGATTCGTGGCCTGGAAAGTGCGCATGGTATTTCTTGGACAATGGGTACTCAAGAAAGTCAACACGATAGTAGTCACACTGTTTTAGGTTAGTGTTTTACGTGTATTGATGTGTCCATTCCATGCGTAAATTTTACCATCGGATCAGTAGCTAATGACTGGACAATCGATGAAGACCGTTTGCTTTTGAAGCTCATTTTGGATGCAAGCAGAAATGATAAACGAAGTGCGTTTATTTCAATAAGGCGTCTGAAATGGAAGGTAATTAATTCGTTGGCTGAATTTCTCGCATACCTTTAATGCACGGAAATTCATCTCTGCAGGTGAATATCCCAGGTCGAAGTGAGGAAGAAGTTAAGAACCGCTGGCGTCTGCTATTGAAGAAAGTTTCGGCAACTCGGACTTTGTTTGAGATCGCGAGCGATGTTTCCATGAGGCTGAATGATGAACAACTTTGCTTACCATTCAAGCTTCTGATGGTATAGGTATATTTTAAATAATTTCTTCATTTTCTATGTTTTCATGAAGCCGTGTCCTTACAGGCAAAAGAACATAATGATTATCCACCAAAGCCAAGAAACGCTAGTACCATATACATGCATGCAAAACTGAGGGTGTGGGAGAAAAATACCACAGGAGCTACGCATAATGTAAGTCGTTCTTCGCGGATATCTCCTTGCATTATACACAGTTTTATTGTATATTGAGGTTGACGTCTTGAAGATTCTGAGGACGAAATTCAAAAATACGCCTAAAGCAAAGAAGACGAAGTATTTTCGCTTGGAAAGGGAGGAACAGGAGATTTATGAAGAACGGAAAGAAGAGTTTTTGTGAGTACATTTTCAAACGTGATCATTTTCAAATGAAAATGAACGTCTCATGCTGTAACGAAGAGCGCGCTCCAATAATCATTTAGAATGTGCCTTCGGTCTTTTGTTCAATGTTCAGCTTTCGTGGACAATATGTTAGATATACTGTAATGTAGTACTCCGAAAGTCAGGTTTCAAAATTTATTTGACGCTGTCAGGTTTCTGTTGTCAGCGTTTCAACGATTTTCGGCAAAAATGCGTAGCAGCTGTTCTGCTGAGAATTGTTGAAAAATAATTGTATTGCATTACTGTATTTTCAATTCGCAATGAGTCTGTTCTTGAACGTACATGATTCACATGAATTTTCTCCTCAGGGCTGCCCATCCGGAGTACAATGATGCGTCTAATATGCCGAAAATTCCACCCACCCCATTCTCCGTAAGTCCTCGGTGTAATTTCTCTGTCGCTTCATAAATATTCCAGTTTTTTGCAGTTGTTCCTGATTAAGAATGATGCGGAAACGTACTCTCCTAAGGCGAGGGCAGCTCAGCGAGAGATTTTCGAGGCTTTGTCGCCGAAAAAGATGGCGAAGTTCACCAAGCATGCGGTGGATTTATTCTCGAAATTCTTTGATGAACTTGTAGTGTATGTTGCTATGAACATCAGTCAACCTTTCATGCCGGAGCATGTCACACGTGCAAAAGAGGCTGCAAAACTTTATCGGAAGTGAGTCATTCGACCATGTCAAGTTTATGATATTTTTCAGTACCATTTCAGCAGTCGGGAGAGAAATTCTCTAAATTTTCTGGCTTATAATAAGCAATCTGAAATTCAAAGACATGGTACAAACTTATGAAATTTTCATCAATTTTATTTCTTCTTATTTGTTCATGATGGTAGAGCAAGTAACTTGACAATCCAAGAACGTGGAGGTTTTATTTCATACGTCAAGGACGTTTCGGCTGACTGGAATGGAATGATTTGGCAGGATAAAGTCAAGAAGGCTGGTGCATCGTGGAAAACGCTTTCCAAAGAGAGCCAGGAAGCTTACCACACGGCAGCAAAGTTGGCTCAGAAAGGTCAGCTTTTCAGGCTCATTATCTTGACCAGTGGATCAACAAATTTCGAATTTTCCTATTAATTTTAGGGAGCTCTGATTCTGCACTCCTACCATGCATCAGATTAAGTTACATACAAAAGTGTCCAGTTTTTGTGTATGCCTTCTCGCATTTTGAAGAGCTCAAGGTGAAGCATCCAAGCATGAGTGAACTTGAAATGCGCGCGCTCATTTTGGAGCAATGGCATGCACTCCGCAAAGAAGATCAGGTACATCTTTTTTTTTTTTTCTGGGTATCAAAAACTTTTTCTATGTTGCAGTGTCTCAATTTATGTTTTCTGTGATGATATCGTTCTCTATTGTAGTGTCGGTATTTTGTGTTGAAGATGCCGATATTTCTTTTCTCATTTTTAGAAAGTCTATTTTGAAGAAGGGAAAAGAATTAAATTTCGAAGAGCTGTGATGGAAGCCATGAATCTTCAAAATGTGGAAGAGACACCGGTGCTTCCTCCATTGTAAGTTGAATTATTTGTACTTGAGGCCGTGAAATAAGGAATTTTAATTCATTTTGCAGTAGCATCGAAGCGCTGCATCAAGAGACGATGATAAACTCATCTCTGGGAAAGAAATATGCCTCATCAATGGAATTTGAGAAATTAACAATGAAGAAAAAGAAGGATCTTGAAGAAGTTCTCAGGGAAAAGGAAGAGAGCTTTGTTCAAGAGTTCAAAGAATTTGTGCGAACCGCGACTTCGAAAGCCTTGATGGCCTACTTGCAGAAAATAGGTCAAGATCATTCGGCAGCTTCTAAGGTTAACAAGATATTCGCATCGTTTATTTCACGAAGAAATTAACCCACATTTTTTACTTATATTTTAGATCAATGATGACGAACACGTGAGGGACGATGAAGATAGTGGAGATGAGTCTTGTGAGGAATACGTTGATCTCGAAATAAGTAAGGATTTTTCTAGATCGTGTTGATTCTTTCTCACGACGAAATTTTCATAGTGTTTGATTCACGTGCAACCAGACTAACGAGAACGTGAACAGTTTTGGGTTCGTGTAGATTTTTTTTCTAGTTATGTGAAAGAAATGTAATGATAAATTGAGGAATCATTCTGGCAACCACGTGCTTTCAGCATCAGGAAAAGGAAGAAGAACAATTTTGGACGTTTCTAGACTGGGACTCGTGGTTGAAGCCTGTTAATGAGTGGCATCCATCGGAATACCGATTGTTGTTTCTTGATTGTCGGTTAGATGTATCCTAAAAAATGAGAATGTTTTTTCCCTCTACGAGTAAAAGCCAAAAATTTCATAATTTCTATCTCGCTGTCCGGCCCTCAGAATCGCATGAATTTCATGGTTTCGACCAGCTGATCGGACGTGTGCTTTTTTTTTCGAATAAGTGGTAGAATAACAATTTACATAATTGTTACGAAAATCTTCCCCGCTTTGATTCATATCTGCCGTGTGAAGGGATAAAAATTTAGTCTTTTCCTTCAAAAGGACTAACACAGGGTTTTTTTATTTTCAATCTTCCAATTTAGAACATGCAGAGGACGACGATGAGGAACTGGTTGACCCCCTTAAGTTGGAAAATCTGCATCCGGATTCATCGGATTACTCGGATGATGAACCAGTGGCAAAAAAGCCTGTTGCGCGTCGGGTCCAAATTCCTCAGTTTTCTTCTGATTCTGAAGATGAAGATTATCCCCCAAAGAAAACGCGAAGAAATATCAAGTTTCCGAAGACATCGGCTGCCGTTGCAACTTCCGCGAAACGCCATTCTGAAAACCAGAAAAGGACTTCAACTGTCAAATCAAACGTTTCTGCGCCGAAGATTGCGAAGAAGTCTCTTCAGAGTCCTGTTGGGATCTCTATCAAACAAGAAAACATTTCCGAATTGAAATTTTCTCCACGTGACCCAGGAATGCTGGGGAAAAGAAAATGGATGAAGGGTGTGAAGGCTGAAAGGAGTGATGGCGAAACACAGGAAAATCTGATGAATCCAACAAAAAGAAAGAGAAAATCTGGTAAATTTGGTCGTATTTCTAAATCAAAATATTCCTTGGAGGTTCTCAATTGTTCGGTTTTTCTTCTTTGATTTATAATGTGTCCATCTCACGCACAAATGTTACTCTCGGTAGCGAATGACCGCAAAATCTGTGAAAACAGTTACTTTTCAAGTAAATTTTGGATGCAAACAATAATGAAGTGCGTCTATTTCAGAGAGGAGTCTTCTTCAATGAGTTTTTTTTTTCCAAAAATATCATTAGGTGTACCGGGAAATTTTACGTACAGTAGTTTGATCTCATGAATGGAGGTTTCTACCATTTATGAACTTTATATTTTAAATATTTCGGTACAAATTAATAAGACCCTTCTTCGACTGAGCCACATTTTTTGTTTAACGTTTTTTGAGTTTGTGCATTGCTGCAATTTTTATTTATGTATTATTTTGGACTGTTGACAGCGACTGATGCTGATGGATGACAAGGATCAACGTGATGAAGTTCGTCTGCCTCAACCGAAGAAATCTTTGTGCGAAGTGCGGGTATGTTCAAGACAGCGAATCTAAAAGTTCCACTGCGTGACAAATTTGCATATCTTAATCGTTATGAGCCAAGCGTTTGAGTTTTTGATTAGGGTGTTTTACAATTTTTCGGTGCCTCACGTGAGAGTATTCGTTTGAAGAACCATTGACGTTTTTGAATGTTCTGTACAAAATCGGTGGAACCCGTCTTCAAAGGACAATTCATTGTGCAACTACAATGAGGAATTTCGAAGGGATGTTTTCCATGTTGATGATCAAATGTGTCACCTGCGTGAGTGTGGTTTTTTTATGGCTCGTTTATGCTTCTAAAATGGAGATGGTTTCAGAATGCATTGAATTTCCTGCCGATATAACCGCTATTTTATTACGGGTATGAAACTTCCGAGGAATGTTAGACATTTAAATGACCCATCACAATCTACAATGGAACATTTCTGACGGGAAATTTTTAAACTCCAATTAATTGAAAATTACTTGAATTCATGTTTTCAATTCACGTCCGAATTTAAATTCTGGTCTCTATTTTAAAAATTTTTCACTTTTTCTGCCACAAAAATGGGGTGCACATCTTACTTTGGGAAAGAATTTCATTATTATTGGTGAGAATTGGGGTATGTGTATTTCTTAAATGGCGTGGTTCAAACCCAGGTTATTATAGTGATATCTGTTTATTGGGAATGATAAAATGAACACAGCATGAATTTTGGGTTACTGCTACTGTCAGGAAAGGAGTAATTTTTGTTTTGGCTGGGGAAACTTGGCTTGCTTCACTGAAGTTGAAGTTTGTGTCACTCGAAATAAATGCCATAGCATAACTTATCCACTAAATGAGCTACAGTATTTTATCGAGGTCTAAAAAAATATTTACAGGGGATATTCCATAGCGGTTGGGCCATTAGATTCAAAAAGGGCTGGGAGCTTCAATCAGAAGCTAAAAATTTAAAATGCATTACAGTAGTGAGACCTTAACAATGCAAACGTACAATAATTGGTGCTTGGACCTTGCATCTCGTTTTCCCACCAATTTCAATGCAAATACATTTCAATGGGTCCTCTTATAAAAAATTAGGAATAAGCAAGTCTCACAAAAAATTGAATAAAACTTGATTTCCTCAACTTCAAAAAACACAAAATAAGCTGTGTGCAGAAGAGAAACACATAGAATCTGATCTTTTGGCACCAAATGGAGGTCAAAAAGTGAACAAGAATGCGTCTTGCTTTAGTGTGCACATTTGATGGAAAAAACTTGGCAAGTGTCTAAATTTCTTCTGAAAAAGTCAGAAGTGTCCCTATCTCAAGCCATTATCCAGATCAGATTTTTAGAGTCTCCTGAAGTCAACTTGTTCTTTTATGTAAGGTCTCCATTGTACACTGCAGGCAAACTTAGTGCGGCTTTGCTGAAAAGTGTATTTTGAAAGTTTTCCAGCATTTTTGAAAAGTGCAAGAATTAACGAAAATATATTGCTTTTGAAGTACGATTGTTCCATCTTCAAGATATAATTTTCTACCACCTTGTCAAATTTCATTTCCTCCTCGCTGAGACTTCAACACTTCAAGAAGGATGTGAATGAAAATGTTCATGACCAGAGTAATGCGCCTCTTCAGGTGTTCTTGTGCAGCCAGTCATTCAGGGTTGGATGTTTCCTCCTTATACAAGATTGTTAACCTGACCACAACCGAGAGGCACCAATTTAACCACCAAGTGGATGCACAGTAATACATGCGACAAGTGGATTTTCACTCATGAAATCAGACGTGCATACAGCTACACATTGGAAACAATCTGCAGTTGGTATAAACATATGGCAGGGGTATAAACAGTGTATCAGGACCCAGTCTATGCAGCTTTGGCTTTGATTTTTTGCATGTACATCAAATGATCCCCAGAACAGTGTGTTTGAAGTTTCTGCCATTCAAAGGATTTGCAACAGATGATGCCACATTGCAGAGGTAGAGTCCTCGCAGGCCACAATGGACAAACATTTTTTAGATTCCAATTTTCCCCTTCTTAAATTCAGTGCTATGCATTGAATCATCGAATTTTTCAAGAGTGCAGCAAAATTCTGTATTTTTGTCAGGTCTAGTTTTGAACAGAAAAAAACTGCAAATCATCAACAGTCGAATTCTGAACTTCTCTACTTCGAAACCATTTTACTCATTCAGAAAACACGAGAACTTCGCAAATTAATAAAAAAAAACCACACGAGCAACGAATTCGGCCATCCAGCGAAATACCATTCGAAAAACAGCAACAAAATAAGGTCTTCATTCGAGAGAAAAAAAAGTACTGTCGAACAACGTGTCCGATTTTGTACTGGGAACCGTTTTGAAATGTCCACGATTCTTCAAACCAAAATAATGATTCGCGTTTAAGACAGCAGTGTAACACAAAATCAACAATAACGATCAAAAACTCGTCGGTACAAACGGAGCCGTACAAAGAACTGAAAATTCTCCACAAGAACAGAACTTCCGCGATTTCCGGTCTACAGTTCTTAGAACCACACACGTGAGGAAGGAGGTTCCTTTGGAAGATCCCTACCATGCTGATCCTTCCCATTCATCAGCACCAGTCAGCACTGTTGAAAGTCAAACAAATAACTATCAGCAGTCACTCAAAGAATGAAATCGTTTTCCTGCAATAAATCATCCTCAGATTAGGGCCCAGACGATTCCGGGTTTTTCTTCAGATGCCTTGATACGTTTTTCATGAATATTTTTCGATGTATATAGGATATTTCTTTTACCAGTACTGAACAAAAAGTCATTAAAAAGTATATCCTGAACAATGATCAACAATCCACATGTAAATGAAACTTGGAACTAATACTGTACAGTATTTCCAATTTCAACATTTATTAAGTTTATCACAATAAGGTCATTCACATTGACATTTTTACAAATGTGGAACGAAATACGAGTAACAGATCGTTTTCTCGGCAATCTAGTAAAAAAAAAGTCTAACGTTTCAAGAAATTCACGCAAGAGGGACTAAAAAATGAAGATAGATCGCCCCGGAAAAGTGAGATATACCTCATGAGTCATAGAAAACAAAACACAAGTTCTAATTGCCTCACGAAAGTCAACAATCAGAAAAGCGCATATTTACCAGATTTCTTCGTCTTTTTCTTGGGACTCATCAGCTTTGCCGGTGTATCACCATTACTCCTTTCAGCCTTCACACCATTCGTCCACTTCCTTTTTCCCTGCAGTTCTGGGTCATGAGGAGAATGATTTATTGCAGGTATGTTTTCTCGCTTCTTAGAGGTGCCAACAGGACTTTTCAGTGACTTCTTCGCATTCTTCTTCGCGGAAACGTTTGATTCAACTGTTGAAATCCTTTTCGAGTCTCCAGAACGTCGTTTCTCGGAATTAGAAACGGAAGTCGAGATCTTCGGAACCTTTACAGCCTTCCGCGCTTTCCCCGCGGAATGATCTTCATCTTCCGGTTCAGATTCAGAAGAGGACTGATCAACTTGAACCCGATTCGCAACAGGCTTCTTGGTCACGGGTTCATCATCCGAGTAATCAGACGAATCCGAATGTCTGTTTTCCAACTTCAGCGGGTCAACCAGTTCCTCATCGTAATCCTCTTCATTTTCTGCATTGTTAGGCAATCGAAAACGAAACGAAAACATTATTATAAAGTTCTACAGAAGGACAAGGCAGATTTCATAACTTCATTCGACGACAGATGTACACATTAGTGGTGTATTTTTTCATGAAAATTTGTGGACAGGTTGAGCTTCATTTCTTTTTATGCCCAAGAAAACGTGACATCTCAGCGAGTCGTGAGAAAATCTAATAGTTCAGCTTTTGAACATTTCCATTTCCGGAAGCTCTGATTCTGCACTCTTTGTATCCATTACATTCAGTTTTTTTTTAATTCTCCAGTTTTCAAACATTTCGAAAAGCGTAAAAGGTGAGCGTACAGGACTGGGTGAACCTGAAGTACGCTCGCACACTTTTGAGAAAAACTACGCCCTCGTCAAAGAAGATCAGGCAATTTTTTTTCGGTTAATCAAAGGCACATGTTCCCACTCTTTCCTATTCCTGGTGCAAAAAATGGGGTTCTGAGGATGACACCACCATTCATTCTCATCACTTTTCTCACGGCATACGTTAATTCCACAGTAAAACTACTGCACAGCTCAATAGTACACACAGTACAGTATACGATTTCACTAATTTTCCACGCTTTGTATGTCTGACACCGCGTGAATTGTTACATCGATCCCACGGTAGGAATATCGTGAGAATGTATTAAAATAATCTCAGAAAACTTCTCACCCATGTCAAGATTAGTATCTTGTTCAAAATACTCTTCATCACTGTCGTCATCTTCCCTCTCTTGGTCGCCAATCTGAAAAGATTTGAAGGAACCTTCAGGTTATTTTCTTAAAAATATGAGAATATCTTGTCAACCATTGTGTCTGACGAATTTTCCCGACATATATTCCGCATGTAGGTCATCAAGGTTTTCGAGGTAGCGGTTCGCACGAAGTCCTTGAACTCATGGACGAAACTCTCTTCCTTTTCCTTAAGAAGTTCTTCAAGATGCTTCTTTTTCTTCGTCGGTAGTTTTTCAAATTTTTCCAATAAGGTGTACTTGTCCATGGAAGAATTCGTCATTGTCTCGTGATAAAGAGCCTTGATACTCCTGTGAACAAGATTTTATACTCGAACGCCTCAACAACGAAAAATACTGCAGTTCGAACTTACGATGGAGGAAGCACCGGTACCTCTTCCACATCTTGAAAATTCATGGCTTCCATGACAGCTCTTCGAAATTTAACTCTTTTCCCTTCTTCAAAGTAGGTTTTCTAAAAATAAGAGAAGAAACATCGGCATCTTCAACACAAAATACCGACACCACGATGGACAACGACATGACAGAAAACCTGAATTGAGACACTGCAAAAAAAAAGTTTTGGATACCCGGAACAAAAACAAAGAAAGTACCTGGTCTTCTTCGCTGAGGGCATGCCATCGCTCCAAAATGAGCGTGCGCATTTCAGGTTCACTCAGATCTGGCTGCTCCCTCTTGAGCTCTTCAAAATGCTTGAAAGCATAAACAAATAATGGGTGCTTTTTCATGTAATCTAATCTGATCGGTGAAAAGAGTGCAGGAACAGAGCTCTCTGAAATTCAAAAGAAATTTACGCAATTTTACGGATCTAAATGAAATGGCCAAGATAATGCGCCTGAAAAGCTTACCTTTCTGACTCGTCTTCGCTGTCGAGTGGTAGGCTTGCTGGCTTTCTTTGGAAAGCGCTTTCCACGAAGCACCAGCCTTCTTGACTTTATCTCTCCAAGTCATTCCGGTCCAATCCGCAGAAATTTCTTTGACGTATGAAATGAAACCTCCATGCGCTTGATTTTTGAAGTCACTCGCTCTGTCACAATGAAGAAAATTTCATAATTTCCCCTCCTTTTGGATAGCAGATTAAGCAGCATAAGGTCAATATTTCAGAAGGATTTTCCTTTCTAGGAAAGATCACGGACCAAGTTTGCAGTAAAAGACCATGCATCGGACACAATACAATGACTCACTTCCGATAAAGTTTCGCTGCCTCATTCGCACGTGTGACATGCTCCGGCATGAAAGGTTTACTGATGTTCATAGCAACATACACCACAAGTTCATCGAAGAATTTCGAGAATAAATCCAGAGCACGCTTGGTGAACTTCGCCATCTTTTTCGCCGACAAAGCCTCGAAAATCTCTCGCTGAGCTGCCCTCGCCTTAGGAGAGTACGTTTCCGCATCATTCTTAATCAGGAACAACTGCAAAAAAACCGAAATCTTTATGAAGCGACAGAGAAATTACACCGAGTACTTACGGAAAATGGGGTGGGTGGCATTTTTGGCATAACAGCCCCATCACTGTATTCCGGATGAGCAGCCCTAAGAAAAGAAGTCATAGAAATCACGTAAGTTCAAGAAAAAATTCTACACAGCAGAAAAATGCATCAACTTCGTTTTTCACCATTTTTAACTGACTAGCTTCTCCAAACGTTTACCGACAATCGCCGAAAAACTTACGGGCGGAAACTTGACTGCGTCAATCATTGGTACAACCGGGCCAATTGCTATTTCACAATTGCTCAGATTGAAATAGGCCACGGATTAGGCCCGAGTACAAGGACCAGGAGCGAAGACAGCCCATTTTAGATCGCTATGTATTTAAATATTTTCTGGTATATTTATTATATTTCTTACTTTTGACCGGGAAAAAGATGCCGGACGCTAATAATTTTTCCATTATTTTTATCTGCTTCAGGCCTTAGCATTGAACGAGCTACGTTTCTTCCACAGCACCAAGAGAAATATCATTTGAAAATCTGGGAAGTTCTTGACATCTGAGACAACCTTGTCAAACCAAAATAAATTTTTATTTCGGTCAACCAATTTATCGAACTTTCCGCGGCACCTTGAGAAATGAATTCAAAACTCAGAACGTCTCGGATGAAGTTATCATTCAGAGCAAGAAATTACAACACCGGGAACATGAAGCATTAAGAGGAGTATCCTAGTACTGTACTGTACTCTCGCAACTCTTCGAAAATGTAGAATGCCGCGCGGATCTAGGAAAATCCTGGTCACTGGTATAAAAATATCATTCGTTAATTACTGCGTTCAAAATCTTACTCACAAAAACTCTTCTTTCCGTTCTTCATAAATCTCTTGTTCTTCTCTTGCCAAGCAAAAATACTTCGTCTTCTTCTCTTCAGAGGTTGTCGTGAATTTACCCCTCAGGATCTTCAAAGCATCCGCCTGAAGACACAATGACAATGTAATCTTCAGACAAAATCTATGTTCGTCAAGACTTACATTGTACGTAGCTCCTGGGGTCTTTTTCTCCCAAACCCTTAGCTTCGCCTGCATGTAAATGGTAATAGCGTTTCTTGGCTTTGGTGGGAAATCATGATGTTCTTTCGCCTATAAGGACATGATTTAGCATTGAAAGATCCGAGAATAGGAAGAATATAACTTGCCATCAAACGCTTAAAGGGTGAGAAAAGCCGATCATCATAAAGCCTCGTGGAAACATCACTCGCAATCTCGAACAACGTCCGAGTTGCGGATGCTGTCTTCGAAAGCAGACGCCAGCGATTCTTAACTTCTTCCTCACTTCGCCCAGATATATTCACCTATGAATATTCATTTAAACATGAGATAGACATTCAAAAAATTCGCTATCAAATCATGTACCTTCCATTTTAGAGACCTCATTGACATAGCCGCACTTCGCTTATCATTCATGCTTGAATCTAAAATGAACTTCAGGAGTAAACGGTCCTCATCGATTGTCCAGTCATTCGCTGTCAAAAGGAAAAATTTTGAACGGAATGGACGCATCAATAAATGTAAAATACTAACTTGAAACAATGTGACTACTGTCGTGTTGACTTTCGTGAGTACCCATTGCACAAGAAACACCATACGCACTTCCCGGGTCACAATATCGACGATGCTAGGGAAAATGTCGATATTCCGTTTGGCCTGAAGCTGAGCAATAGTGAAAAATTCACAGCAGTTGAAATCTTTAGCGGTCGGTCGCAAACAACGTTAGAACTGAGTCAGCGAAGTCACTCTCACGCGAAGTACAGTGCTGTAACGAAATACAACATCAATAGAAACATTACAATGCACTCAAGCGGGCTCATTCTCCAATGATTTATTCCCATGAACCTGGGGTGGCTTGAGTCAAGATGAAGTGCTTATGAACTTCATGGTGACTGGTGTAGCAGGCAGGGCGTACTCCCCAGGTACAGCGTACTCCCCCTGCAGGAGGATTAGTCCACATCCGCGGAGTGCAATTCCGCAGAGGCTCTTCTGCAGTGATCACTTATGCAGTGGTATCTTCCACAGAATTCAGAGGAAAGTTGATTCCACAGCAATTCTTGAAGCAGCATTTACTTTGGCAAAAATAATGATGAATTCTGCGGAAATCTATTCTCACAGGAGGCCTTGGAGCTATCCCACTTTGGGGGGAGCCACTCGCAAAACGATGCCCTCATAGATGTTGCTAAGAACAACACACGGAAAATTATCAGCGGCATCCATGTGTGGTTCTTGAAAAGGAATCCTCTTCACCCCAATTATTCAACAACCCTGTTGTTCCAATGTCCTGGTATGCTATCCTCAGCCTTACCATTGGTCTGTTTCATCCTTGATTCAAGTTCATACTGACTGTATTTGAATGGAAATGTGAATTGACACTTGCACTGTTATTTATTGGGATTCAGCTGAAACTGACTTGAGTGGGGGGCAGTTAGGTAAAGTTTGGTCAGGTTATGTTAGTTAAAAAAATGTTTAATGAACATATATATCAAAATATATAGTTTAAATATTTTTAACTCTCATAACCTTACCTATAACTTAACTTTACCTAACCACCCCCCAAAGTCAGTTTCAAAAGAATTGCAATAAATAACAGTGCACGTTTCAATTCACATTTCAATTTGAATATTGTACACAGTTGGATGTGTACAGCAGTACCTGCATTGAGAATAAAATCGGACTGGTGGCAAGACTGAGGATAGTGTACCTCTTTGGCAGCACAACAGGGCTGTTGGATAATTGGAGCATACCTGGACCCTTTTTTCAGAATGATGCATGCTGGATGTTGCCAGTAATCCATGGGCAAAGCAGTAACCACTGTTGTTTGAAGATGGAGATATTAGTCTGGCTCCCCTCAAGTGGGATAGCTCCAAAGCCTTTATACAGACCATGATGACACGCAATGCAGCCAAAGTTTATTATGAGGAGTTAAAGCATGGTAAAACAAATGTGATAATGAATGCAACTAGAAAAGATAACAGGAATATTGTTTTACAGTTTAATCTCTGTAAGTCAAATTCCTAAGGGGCCATGAAACAAATTTGACCTCAGGAGGTTCTAACTTATAGGGAGGTTTTGATTTCTGGAGATTTCCAGTTGAGAAAACAAACACTTCTGTTGTGAGGAGAAGTGAAAAAAGTTTGGGAAATTGTAATTGAGGATATTCCAGGCCTAAACTCACTCCTCAATGAGTTTACACATCCCTAAACTTGGAGGCAGGGTTTCATATGCTCCAATAGTCTTTTACTCCCTTTCAAGATGCATTATAGCATTTGTTTTAATGATTTTCTCTTTAATATTTCAAGCAAATACAGCAATAATAACCAGAAGTCTTCATCAGAAAATGGAACTTACAGCGGTTTTAGAGAAAAATACTTTGAGTTAGGAGGTTTTTAATGCATTGATTCAAAGGGGATTCAGACAGGGACTTGAAAAAATTTGACTTAGGAATGTTCAACTGATTAAGATTTACCTGTACCATGCTTTATTAGCACTTCATGATAAACTTTTCACACATTTTTTCCCATCATGCTGGTCTATAACAACGCCTCCTGAGAAAATTTATTTTGGCAGAATTTAAAATTTGTTTGCCAGAGTAAATGCCACTTCAAAAATCACCGTGGAAGTGGCTCTCGTCTGAATTTTGTTGAAAGAACTACTGCATGGGTTCACCATGGAACTTTGCTCCGCGGATTTGAATAGACCCGCCGGACGGCATAGCACACACTGGAGTACACCCTGCCTAGGTAGGGTGTACTCCTGGAGTGCATCCTGCCTAGGCAGGGTGTACTCCTGGAGTATGATTTTGGGGGATTATGCTGTGCCTCCCACACCGGCGCTCCTCGTACGCCTCTCCATGTCCAATCCTCCCTGCCATATGCCGCTCCGGTCTCTGGGTGGTTCTCTTCGAAATGGTTTGATGTTGCACCTTTCCTCCAATAGATGTCGTAAGGGTACCACGTTACTATTCCCGTTACTATTTCGCCGGTGATCGTCTCGAAACACTAACGTCTCTCCTAGGTGTGTCGATATCTGTTGTGTGTCGAGCTGCGTATTGTGCATATCAGAAAATGAAGCCAGTCCTTGCTAAAAACCCCCGAAAAACGGGGAGAGGTGTCGAGTGTCCGCTTTGTTTGAAGAGAGGAGCAAAATCAATTCTGGAATCGGTCGATATAGGACCTGGAGTTAAAGTTAAAATGTGCCCGGATGCTCAGGTTAGTTTTTTTTCTCTCTTCCGATGTTGTCTTGGGAATGGTTCTGAATTGTTTGTATGCATCTTGCAGTGTGAGTACCCGTTCGTAGATGCGGTGGCAAAGCGAGTTAAAGTATCCAAGAGGAGGCGAGGCAGGAATATTTCGGATCAGCTAGCAGGTAAGAGCACATATTAATTCGGTAAGGGCGAGTTCGATGTTCAACAATGTGATCTGTTCGTTTGAATTTAGAAAGGGAAGCAAGAGGTTTTGGATGGTTGGATGAGCTTCCATGGGATGCCATTTCGAATGTAAGTTCAGCAATCCCGTCTGGTCCAGCGTCTCCAGACATGAGTAACTTAACCATCGACGAGATTTTGGAAAAATCTTGTGAAGAATTTCTACCACCTCAAGTGCTTGACAGCGAGACCGTCAGCCCTTCTCCTGCCTCTGTCATAGACGATGATGACGCATTTTTCGCTGCTTTGCGAACTGATCCACGGCTAGTGTTGGAGGCAGCCGCCGCGCGACTTCCGAATCCTTCAATCACGTCGGTTGCTGCACCTCTGCGAGAGTCAGAGACCTTCTCGGAAGACCGAAGCTCCGCAGGAAGAATACCAGCATGCCTAACTTTTCTGGAAGATGTGATATCTGATGGCCCTGGCATCGCGTCCGCTTTCGTGAAAAACCGAGGGAACGGAGTTTCAGTCGCTGAGGAAGAGTTCTCCGTTGAGCACTACGCATCAGATCAGTGTTGTAGTGAAAGGCACGTCGAGACACTTGTACGGGGAGTTGTTGCTCCATGCAAGCGGGGTGTATCGCGGCAGAGCGACAGTCTTTCGAGTGAAGGTGCTGACGAAGGACGAGAATCGAAAAAGCAGAGGACCATGGATAACGAGGCTTCTCCTTCCCCCGGAGAACTCGGAATAAATCTTGGTGAGGATTCTGGTTGGTCATTCTCTGCTGTCACTGTATCAGACTTATCTGAAGCCCAGACCGATGACAGCGGGTTGATAACGTGCTCAAGGGACTGTCAGCTTGCAGTTGGTGAGTTTCAGATTTAGAATTACTGGTTCTTCATGTAGTGATTGGTCGGGGCCGGGCCACGTGATTTCGAGTTACTAATTTTCTTACGCTGTACTGAATTTTCATATTTCGAACGTTGTGTCGCCAGTGAATGAGAACGCGGGCAATTTTCTGAGCAAAGACTCTGTCTTCCTGGCCACGGATGGGGCAAATCGTCAGATGGAAGCCTACCTGAAGGTCGTTTCGAGAGACGGGGGTTGTCTTGAGGATGTGGATGATGTTGCTCTTGGGGTCGATTGTACTTCTGCCGTTCGTGGTGCAGATGTGCCCGAGTCAGTTGACTCACTACGTGGATTAGGAGGCAATCACCGCTCTGCAACAATCGAGGATGAGCTGAACAATAATGAGGGTGACGCTTTGGAACCGCGGCCGGAAGCAGATGAGGAGGAAAGGGAGCTGGAACGAGGACGGCGTGGCCACTCAGTTGACTCCGGTTTCTGCAACGACGAAATATTGGTACAAATTAGTGAGGACGGCTGGTCGGCGCATTCCACCTTGTTCTCTGAAGAAGCTGAAGCTGACTGCGAGGAAGTGCTCAAGAGTCCCCGAGGCAAAGAGACAGGCTGGGGACAGGAAACGGCATTCAGGAGGATCCCCAGGGCATCAAGGGAGTTCCATGGCCGTGTTTTGGATGCAAAGGACTACTTCAGTGGAGAGACGGTGGGGCAACGCCGCATTGTGGCTCTCTCCTGTGACCAGGTAAGTTTATTTTTCTGTCTCTCTCTATCTCTCTCTGTTCGCGCAAAGGAGTAAAATACAGTAAAGATTTAAGGTAGGGTATGGTAGGTATATTTTGTTTATTAGAATATGACGGCATACACACGAACACTTTCTTCACTTAAGCAGGCTCCTTGGATCCAGGCGTGTCAAGTCCGGTTGTTCTTGTTTGTCTGACTTCTGTCTGGTGTTGTTGTTGGCCATCTCCCTTTAGTCCTTTGTTCCCATTATTCCTGGGTCTTTGTCCCTGGTCCCGTTAAGGCATTAGTCATGTGTTTTATTCCCCTTGTGACTCAGCTGATAATGACTGTTGTTGTTTTCCCAGTATTGTTGCTTGTTGGTCCTGTAGATGGAAGATAAGGTGTTGTCTCTCACTGTGCAGTAGTGCCTTGCTTAACTAACACAATCCATTCCAGGATTGTGTTTGGTAGGCAGAACATTTGTTGGGCAAGTCACATTTTCCCTCAAGGCCCAATTTAAAGTCTAGTACAGTAATTGGTTCCTGTAAATGAAATCTACTGCTAAAATTATCAAAATTGCCTAAATATTTAGAAACCAAAAGGAAAAATACATTGAAAGTTGAAAGATTAAAGCACTTATTCTTCTAAAACACTTCTTCTGATTTCTTCTAAAGATCTTCCTATTTGAATCAGCTTGATGCTCTCCATTCCGAATAACAGATAGAAACTGTTCTACTTCTACTTCATGCATATGCAACATATTTCAGCAAAGCAGAAGTTGATCCTCTGTTATGACTTTGCATAGATGTCACTTTTGCATGAGGTACAAGCACTGGTGAGACCTCTTGCAAACTAAATTAAACCTATGGATAACCATGGAACCTCCTGAAGTGAAATTGTTTTCAAGTTTCTGTCTGAATTATATTAGAAACAATATGCATTAAAATCCTCCCTTTGTCTGAGACTTTCCCCTCAAACCTCTTCTGGATCCCTTTCATTCTATTGTCACAGGAAAAGATGAAAGACATGAACATGTGACAATTTCAAAGGAAAGCCATAAAAATGATCTTATACTAACTATTAAAAGGAATTGGGGGATCAATTAGGCAAATGAACCCTTGTCACCAAGTTCTGCATCGTGTCAACTCATGTAGGAAGCAATTTTTTGTCTAGAATATCACCAATTATAATTTCCTTCCATTCTTCTCACTTTACCTCAACAAAAATGCTTGTTTCAAACTTTCAATGCAGGAAATAGGAAATGCTAAATCCTTTATGATGCTCCTTAACTTTTCTTGATTTTTGCTGCAGAGGCTGAAGGCGGTTCTTCCCATTGAGGTTGGCAGTGGGAGGGATGTGGTGCTTGCAGTGCCTGGGAAGTATCCAGCTGCGGACTACATTCTTCCTTTGGATGAATGTCCAGATGGCCACCTGACTACTTACCGTCACTTGGGAGAGACTTGTTCAGCAGGACTTTTAATGAAGCCCGTGGGACTGCAGTATGAACCCAGTGATGAAGTCAAGAAAAAGAAGAAGCAGCCCCATCTGGAGAAGCAGAAAGAAGAAGAGCTGGAGCAGCCAGGTAATGTTGGCTCTACCTCATATATTTTTGTCATTTGACTATAATTGGTTTGGCTTTTGTCTAGATTATTCAAGCGAATTATCTGGTGAGCAGCAAAATCGGCTGAGAAGCATTTCTGTGGATATTTGCCACCGCCTCGGACTTGCATCCCGCAATTTCTGTGACGAGACCGGCAGTGTGCAGCGAAACGTGGTCATGATCAATCAAGGTGATTGTTTTAGTTTCTATAGGGGAAGATTTGTTCTATTGGTTTTTGGGATTTTGTTTTTGATTTGCCCAGATGGAGCTGTGTCAACAGAGGATGATGTGCCCAATGGAGCTGTGTTGCGTGGCGAGACAAGCATAGCCATTCGCGTGTTCCAGCTGGGCAATGGGTCCATTGTGCAGGAGAGGCTCATCAACGATACAGCCCCTGTCCGACTGTTTGACCTGGACCTTGGTGGAAACAGTGTCTTGATGAGCAGTGAGTGCAGCAGCAGCAAAGGGGCAGCAGCACTGGATGAGGAGCGCTTGTTGGAGTCAGTGGTTGGGGTGCCCTGGTTGGCAGGAACACAAGGCAAAGAACTTGATGCTGATGACAGGGCAGATGTGCCATGGACAAGTTGGAGGTCGGGCCCACAAAGTGGATTCCAACTTACGCGGGCCTGGGGGTCTACCAAGCCAGAATTGCAGCGGTGGAGGAAGAGGAGAGACATGAAGGCAGTCCCATCAAACGCAAGCCACAAAGAATCCAAGGCTGCTCTCCAGCAACAGTTTAATGCGCGTTGGGCTCAGCTGGAGGCATCAGTCCGACAAATGAGAACGAGGCAAGTACTGTATGCATGTATGAATGACAAAAATGAATATATTAAAAAAGATTCATTTTCGAAGTGTGTGCGGGAATACATAAGAAACAATCCTGTTGGATGGATGGATGAACTTGGATTGACAGAGGATCTATTTCTGTTTGTTTTTTTTTAGGCTTCTGGAAGACAAGTCCGAAAGCGTATCTGCAGCTCAACGTGGAAATGCGTACGGACCGCAAGTGGCAAAGGAAGAGAAGAAGAGGATGATGATCATGAAGAAGACAAAACCGCCGATGTGTTCCCCGGCTCCGTCGGAGCCAGCAAGCCATGTAGAACGCCCGTTGACGAGGCGCAGAGCAAGATCGATCAAGTGACGACCAAATCGTGCTTGCATTGTATTCCAGTCGCGTATTTGTATTTTGGATTGTTTGTATCCTGGGAGGGAGAAGTGGAAAGCGTTGGTGTGTGTGTGCTTCTTCTCTTCCTTTGCCATGTGCGTGAACACGCGTGTTCGTTTTTCCAAATGTGGGAATCAAGGAAATGGAAGCACGTGTGTATCACGCACCCTTGGATTTTTCTTATTTTGTTGGCTTGTTACGTCTGAACAACAGTGATTTAATTTCTCAATTGTTCGCCCAATTCGATTGATTGATTGGCCGCAGGACGCCCCGCGTGTGTCCGGTGTTGTGGTGAGGAGGAAGAAGAAATTGGACTTGAGTTGTCAATTTAGTGTTCTTTTGACTGCCTTCAATGGAGCCGGGTGAGCTGGAGGACACCCTAATGCAGCTATGCGGGCGTGCCAAGATGGAGCGGGAGCAGGCAGCTGACAGACTGCGCAAGTGCTATGTGTCGGCGCCCAGCACGCAGACTGAGCTGCGTGGCCTCTACGACCGCTTGAAGCAGGTTGCCGAGGACTCGGGGTGAGCTGAGCATCGGTCTTTTTTTTTTCTTCAATTTATTTCAGTCCGGCATGATGATTCTGCCTCCTTTGTTTATTCCTTGCCGCCACGAATGACTGAGGGAAATGGATGTGATTCTTTATTTCCTAGGTTTAGTTGAAGAAATTTTTTTCTCCCTATGGAAAAAAGTATCCTGTTGTGGCTATAGCAGAATTACCTGTAAAAGGATTTTGTTGACGAGGAAAGCCCTTTCAGAGGCTACCGTTCCTTCTGGCTTAAATGAAACTTTTCAGAAAAAGAAGAAGAAAAAATGTTCGAGGCATGTGCGGATTGGGGAAAAAGTCCGCACATATCGCCAATAAGTAGTGTATGATATACTGTTATGTTCTGTAGCATGAATTATTAATGAAGCAATTAACCTTAAAGAGGGTTTAAAGTCTTCATCCTGTTTTTTTTTTTTTTACATAAAGGCAATTTCTCTTTCAGGGGCAGCAAAGGCAGCGGGTGGGAGAGGACGCATGGGGCCTTGTTGGGGTTGCGGCTTTTGATGCGCCCGCTGCTGGGCCAGCTAGCCTTAACGGACGATGAGAAGCCCGTGCTGGATGAGATGACGGACGCCGGCCTGGCCCTGCTGCTGCATCCGGAAGTGCGCGTGCGGCTGTCTGCCGGTGAGTTGCTGGGCGAGATGTGCGCCGTCCGCGGCACCCGCGTCTACAATGCATGTCGTGATGCCTTGCTTGACATGATCCACGACAACCTGGACCGCAGTCTTGCGGAGAATGAGGATGAGGACGACATCAAAACCGCGTCGTCGTCTCCTATTGCCACGCCGCCATCTTCGGGCATCAAGGACGTGGTGGGGCTGAGCGGTACGCCACCCCAGAGACCGCAGTCATCTTCGTTGGTCTTTGAGGACCCAGAAACGTTGCAGCAACTGGTCAACAAGCTCAAGCCGGACACAGAAAACGCGCCTCGAAGAGTAAGGGAGGAAGGGAATGAGAAGTCAAGTGTCTATAGTCCAATTGAATTCAATTGTCTTTGATTCTGCAGGGCAGTGTGGATGCTGAGCAAATCTTCCACGACACCGCGGGATGGCGGAACTTGGAGACAAGCATGAAGGCCCTGCAGCACATGGTGGAGGGCTGCGGGCCAAGGCAGTGTCGGGCCAGCGACCCAAAACTGCTCAACCTCCTGTTTAGTGCCCTGCAGCACAGGAACCGGTTTGTGCGCGAGACGGGCCTCAACGTCTGCGCGTCCATCATCACGAGTGAGGCCGTGAATGAGCCGTGGACGAGTCCAAGTAAGAGTCAGGAGGTGGCGGAGGAAGAAGGCAGCAACAACGACGATGACGACAAGGACCGCAGGAGGAGCACTGGTCCAAAAGATACGACAACAGTTGCTGACCAGTATGCCATGCGAGTAGCCGCGGGACTCACGGACAACTGGAGTCAGGTTGGTTAATTGGTTTGAGGAGTGTCACGCTCTGCTCTGCTTCCCTGTTCAAGCGTAAAGGGGTATTTTTTTAGTGTTCAGTGTATTGTACAGGGTTGCAATCTTACATGTACAGTACACTATATATTCAGTACTTTATTGGGTTGGATGCAGGTGAGACTCGCAGCGTCCGTGGCTGCCCGCAAGTTCCTTCTGTGTCTGCCGGACAAGAACATGCGGGAGACGTTTTTCCCGCTCCTGCTTCCGCGGATGTGTCTGAATCGGTGAGAAGACTTTGATGGATTGCTTGCTTCATTCACTGGATTATGTGTGGTTTCATCCTCTCCCACCAACACCCCTTCGCATGTCTAGGTACTACATGGCGGAAGGGGTTCGGCTGTATTCGCAGGAAACTTGGCGCCTTGTCGTGGGACTTGATGGCCGACAACTTGTTGCCAAGTACATCAAGGAGACAGTTAGGATGTTTTTTTCTCTTTTTCGTGATAAAGTTGAAAGAAAATTGAAGAAATTTATCAGATTCCTCGTGATTTTTTTTTTACGCAACGTGTTTCTTGTTGAAGGTGGCGTATTATTTGGCTGCGACTCGGGCCGACAACCACGCTGTGAGAGAAGCAGCGTGCGCCTGCATTGCCGAGCTAGCGGCCAAGATCCCGCACGAAATCCTCATGCCATACATAGCAGACATGCTGGCTACGCTGCTGGACTGTTTCCAGGACGAGAGCTGGCCTGTCCGAGATGGTGAGGCCTGCTTTCTTTGTTTCTTTCTTGTTATCGTTTTCTTCTTCAAAGAGGGACTTGCTCATCCGTCATTGGTTGTCTTGTCTTTCTTTTTTTCATGTGGGATCAAGAATCAATTTTTCCCGTCTAATGATGGGAAAAGAAAAGAAAGAATGTGTTCTGATTGATCAATTGGTTTCTTTCTTCTGTTTCTTCATTTTTGCAGCCGCTTGCGTGGCATGTGGAAACTACATTCTCAGCTTCCCAAGCGAGTGTCGCTCATCTGTGGACAAGCTGATGCCGCTGTTCTTTGAAAACCTTGAAGACAACATTCCGTCTGTGAGACAAGGTGAAGAGTAAAAAGCAAAGATAAATGTGGGAGGGGGATTGTTTGACTCATAATCCTCGAGTAAATTAAAAATAAAATAAAAAGTGATGAAGAAAGAAAATTAACCCATGATGCTGTTTCACTTGAAAACAGGAGCTGCAGCATCCCTGGCCAAAGTTGTGCAGGCCTATGGGGACTCATTGTCGTGGATGGATGCTGTGGTCGAGCGGACGGAACGGAACCTGGCTGGTGTGGCTCAGCAGCCGGCTGAGTCCGTGTCACTCAAGACCTTTGAACGTGGGCCGGCCCAGTTTGGCGTAGCCAAGCGGATATCAGCCGAGGAGTCTGTGGCTGGCCCGCACTCAAACCAGCCCATGTTCTCGTGTGGCAGTCTGGCGCCAAAAATGGGACGCAAGGGCTCGTCAGACCACAAGTTTCGTCATCCGCCACAGCCGTGGGAAGCGGGAGATGGGTGAGTTGGAGAGAATATCTCTTCGTGCGTGTCTCTCTCTCATGCTGTCATCATTCAAAGGATTATACAGTACTGTATATGTATATATATTTATATTCCTTTTTTGTCAGTGCGGTGTATTTGATCGCGGAATTGTCTTCTGTGCCTGCAATGCATGACGTCATCCTTGACCGTCTCCTGCCACTCGTCGTGGCTGCCGCAAAGCACAAGCAGTACCCGCACCACTTTGTGCTCATTGAGACTGTGTGCAAGTGTCTGCCAACAATCGCCAACAATGTGGGCAAGAAGCGCTTCAAGCAGCATCTTGAGCTCTTTTTTGATGACATCTTTTATGCACTGGTGGGTGTGTATGTGAGAGGGAGAGAGAAAGGCTGTCTCCATCTCTCTCACTTTGAGGAGGACGATGACAACGAAGGCTTTTGTTAAACTTGTGCACATCTTCCTTCTTCCTTCATCTTCTTCCCTTGCAGGGGTCAGATAACGCGCTGGCATCTGTGGCTGCTGCAGTTTGCCTCTCCCAGATGAGTCAACTCATTGGTCCCAACATCCTCCGTGGTCGAGTGGAAAATTACAATCCCAGGTGGGCACGGTTCCTCACTTTTTTTCTTCTATCTTCATTGCATTAGATCAATAAATCTGTTTCTTCTTCTCGTTTCTTCATCCTTGCATATATATGTAGGTACGTGGAAGAACTTGACCGGGCGACGACGATGGACGGAGAGACGACCTCGTGAGAGATGCCATCTATCACTCAAGCGATAAACGAAATTGTCGTGTGTGTGTGTGTGTGTGTGCGCGCGCACACACGCACGCACGGCAGGGGTGGAGGCACGAACAGTCCGTGCCCGCGCACTGCGCTGCACGGCAGCAATTGACCCGATTTAAACTTACCTTGTGGTCTCCGCTTGTCTTGTTGTTTGTTTATGTGATGATTGCTGAAAATAAAATACAACCATGCCTCGATTGGCTCTTACTAAACTGTACTATTATACTTCTCCGTCTGCTCCGCTCCGGTACTGTACTCGATGGTGTAGGGTGATAGTATCTCCTGTATTTTATCTCATTTGCCCAGATAAAGTTAGCCAATTAACGAGGTTCAACATGTCGTAATGCAAATACATCTGACAGAAGTTGTTATTGTTTCCCTGAGCAGATTTTTCAATTCAAAAAAACACTGACCGCCCGGAGAGGCACAGGACAAAATCGCAATGCCCCTATTCCTGCCGATAAACTCAATCGCGAATTCTATTTCTTGAGGATTGAGGAACAATTCTTGTGCCAAGAAATAGCTGATTAAATGGATATCACGGTAATGTATTCAAAGCGCAATTTATAGGTGATTTGAAAGACTTTTGATGAACCCTTCCGTATGATTCACGAAGAATCTGAAAATTTACCATGACAGGATCGTGATTGCTTTCATATCTCATCAGTGCACGGTACTCCCCAAGTGACCATTGATATGCATTGATTGTTTTTGCCGATGTAATGTGTCTGGTTCGTTTTTGTCTGAAAGATGATGCTCCTTTTAACTTATCATTTCAGGGTGTCCGTATTTCTGGGTTCCATTGCATTTTTTTGCTTTTCCTGTCTAGTCAGTCGGGGAATTGTACTTTTTCAGATAGCTATTGATGTGCATTGATTGTGTGTGCTAATGGAACGTGTCGGGAACGTTGGTATCGGAGTGATAATTCTTCTCACGTTGTGGTCCATTGCGTTGGTGGTGTGGCTGTTGACGTCTAAGCGGAGTCCTGCCCCGGGAATTCTCGCTTTTCTTCTCAGCGCCATAGTGTCAGTGATTCTCGTTCTTATCCCGAGAAAGAACTTCGTGGACCGAGACGACGTTTCGTCTTTCCCCGCCGACGTCGAAGTATGTTTAATGTGTATTATGAGTGTCTGGTTCTCTTCTGCTGATGTCAGTTATTTCTTTGCACTTGCGTGACGAAACGTGTTGGAACTTCCCGTCATTTTTCCGACACGCTGTGCACGATTCCACGTGAATTCTTGATGTTCTGAGTGTTTTTGCGATGAGAGTTCTTCTTCGCAGTTCCTGTGATGTGCATTTTTGATGTGTAGATGGTTTTTAATGCTTGCATCCTTGTTTCTGATTCTTTTTTGAAATTTATCAAATGCACCCTGTTTTTAGTAGTGGATTGATGTAGCTAAATTTCGGATGAGAAATCCGTTTAGTGTTGAAATACTGTATTACAGTTAGGATTTAAATTTTTTTAGTCCTTGAGTTGTTCTGGGATGCGACTTGATTTCTTGATAGCTTTTATGTGTTTTCCTGTTTGACTATTTGTGAGTTTTTTCTAAACCTGCTGTTGGATTTTCGGATTAATGATAAATGGAATCGAGATATTTCGTGAGATTGGATTGTGTGCGTTGGAATACATATTCATCATTTCTCAACTTGTGAAGCAGAAATGATTACGCTTCGAGAGCTTCCCTGCTCTGAGCTCAATATTAGGAGAATTCCTGATATTTTAATCTTATTTCTGCTGTCAGACTATTCGCAGTTCGTCTGATGCTCTTTATTTTTCAAGCCTATGCCTTCATCTTTCGAGTTTATTTTAAAAGTGATGCTCAATTTTAAATCCATCCAAAAACAGATGGATCCGTCCTTGGTATTTCAAATTATTTCATCATTTTTTTCAAGTACTGTAGGTAGTTGCTGATATTTGTCGACCTTCATTCTGGCGAATTGTGCAAAGCTCTGTAGACTTTTGCTGGTTCTGAGTGATTCGCGAGGAGATGTCTTCATTCGCTGTTCCTTTGATGTGCAGTAATTCTTTATATCTGTCCTACTTTCCTCATGGTTTCCGTTTGTGTCGGTCTTATCACGAGTTCGTCGTGAATTTTCGTCATTTCTGACCAACATCTATATGATGGAACTTTGATATTCAAGTCAGATACTGTATCTGTATTCGTGCTGGCAAGTATTCATTTTTGATGTACTTGTGAAGTGGGTATCACGCGCTTGTTGCGTGGAAACGAATGCTCTTAGACCTTCCTTTCTGCACGCTGTGCTCAATATCATGTGGATTCTTGATTCCCAGAGAGTTGTTTGCAACGAGATTTTTTTATTTGGATATTCTGTGGTTAGCTTTACCTTTTATGACTTTTGTTCTTTCCTTTTTTTGTTATCTTATCAATTTCTCGCTTGACATGACACTCTTCTGTTTCTCAATCGATCAGCCGATAGTCATTCTGTCCAGCCTTTTTATTTCAAGTAAGATATCCGTGTTTGCGTTCGCATGATTTTCAATTTTTGCTTTGCTTGTGGAACATTAACACAGTACTCACACTTCTTCAAAAGGAAACGAACGAGCCCTCGTTATTTTGTAATGCGATTACTTTACGTGTTCAGGTATTGTAATTCAAATTGATGCAATGTTACCGTTTTTGTTAGAGATGGACTTCCGCTTTCGAATTTTGAAAAAGCGAGAAGTGTCTTAAAATCACTGAGAGGAGAGTGTCCTACAATTCTTTATCTTCGACTAAATCCATTTACAAGATTTCCTCGGAAGTATTACCTCAATATTTCATGTGAGAGCTGTGAAATCAAGACTTCTATCATTCATTGACGATGTAAGGTCATTAAAAACTTCAAGCGAGTATTTCATGTGCCAAAGAAATACAGGAGAATCTCGTAACAACGACGGGTTTGGGACCTTAAGAAAGTATCGTTATAAACGAAAATTCGTTAAAACGACGTAGTGGGTATTGGAGGAGGACCGAAAAAAATAAACTCGTTGTTAGCATTAATTCGATATGAAGAGGTTTCACTGTGTTCATTTTTATCTGAAAAATCCGTGCTTTTTTTGGAACTGGGAACGCACGGCCCACTGGGAATTTTTATTATTATTGCCCTCTTATGAACCGAATGATTTGATAATTATTTTCAAAGTTGTCGGACCCTGAAAACAGCATTCTGAACAACACACAAAAAAATGTTCGAATTTCTCATCTGCTGCAGAAATATTCAAGGTCGTGGCCTCAAACGGGTACAGGCTCCGTTGAGTCCTTGGGCGAACAATGACCTGGTCTCGGCATTCTCGGGTGCACTATTTTTAACCATTTGCTCATCACCGTAGCATTCGAGATTGTATTATTCATCCATTTTGCTTAATTGAAGCGCTTGTTTCTGCGTCATCGACAATACTAGAGTCACCAAGACACGACAGTTGATTAAATCACGGATTGTACCCAGGGCTTGTCGGGTATTCGGATGTTTCCCTGGAGTGCAACGGGTTCCCAAGCGACGAGGCCCTTCGACCGGGAAAATTGATGTTCTTACCACTCGTGGAATAATGAGCTGAAGCCACTTGAGCTTGTAAGGGAGGTTCCTTGTGAGGAAGGTTATCTTTAGGCAGGCTTCTTCGCTGCACAGCTCTACATTATTGGGTATTATTTCGTTTTGTTTCTGCGACTCGTGTCAAAATCTTTTTTGGAGGGGATCATTAGTTGGGCTACTTTTTTTGCGGTACAGACGCTGGGGGTAGATTCTATCGAGTACCGATGCCAAGTACTTTTCAGGGTTATTCCTTGTTCGTTCGCGTAATTACCCGACGCTTGAGTAGGATAACATCTTGATGAATTTATAATGAGTTTCTGAACAGATGGACTGTCGAATCATCAGTCAATAAGCAATTTCATTTTCCAAGAAAGAGCTCTACTTCTGCGATTTTTATGACGATCGTGATTTTATTTTGATTCGTCTTTGGGCGACTGAAATGCCGACCTTTATTTGAATGTTTACCGCGGGTTTCAAAATGCAAATTTAAATGTAAAAATAACCGGGTTTCATTGCGCTTAAAAATTGCTGCCAAAACCACCTCATCAACTTGAATACGAGTTAATACTGTAAAACGCAAACCCTTAGAACAAAATTCAAAAAGTAAGTTCTAAAATTGGGACGCCCGTGTTCAACACCTTATTTTTACATTTTTTATGCCCTTCATACTTGTAACGCTCCCGAGAATGTTAAAGAAATGATTTATATAAACTAGAATTTGTTGAAGATATGTGTTCGTTCTCAAATCAAACTCGCAGATGAAATGTGAAACTCAAATTAATGCAGCGCAAATTCAATTGAAAGTCTCTTAGTTTAAATTTTAAATTTTAGCGTTTATTTCCTGAATTAAATTAATTTTCTGCGTCGCGATATCATTTTTCTAAATAATTGAGGTGCGCGTCTTGAATGTGTCTCGCGGTAAAGAAGTATTCTGATGTGTAGAAATATTCTAAGTGACAATTACGTTATATGTACTGTAATCTGATCGGTATCTTCTGACCACCGAAAAGGCCAGAATTTTGCATGAAAAATTGAGGTACTACGATGAACATGAATTGTATGTTTTCATTGTCTCTTGTGCTGGCAAAAAAAAATCGGATCGCGTGATGTGTTCCCAGTCTAAATTCGATCCAACGCTGTGAAGTGATTTTTTGAAACACCCATGTCGTGGAAAAAAGCTGGTACAGTAACTGAGGCTGTGCCAGGGTTTTTTGACTGTCGGCCTTGGAGGTTAAGAAACTTTAAGTTTCCCTTCCGGACTCGGGTCGGCGGTCTGTTTCTCTTTCCCGTTCGTTTCCGCTCATGGATGGCGGTGTTCGTGACCGCCCAACTGAGTGACACCCAACTGAACGTCCCTGCAGATTATGTAAATTAATCAAGGATTCCCTTTGTGAGCCCTTTTTTTAAATTGCTTAATTTCACTCTCGAACCTTTCTATGATTCCATTTCCTTTTTTTTATGACCATAAATTCATGGGTGTATTACCCACCGCAAGAAAAAGGTTCGCGGATTATGAACTAATTTAAATCGAAGCACGGATTAATACAGTCGAAGTGGTTACACGTTCTAGTTGTTTTTTGTATAATCAGATGATGAATTATTTTTTTCGTAAATCGCTGATTTTTACTCACGTAGTTTCCAGTAATTCTATGAGGTTTCGTTCGTTGGCGACATCAATTAGTGAGTTTATGTGATGTTTTACCGCAAAGTGAGCGTTCACTACTGATGCCGTGATTATAATTTTAGCAACAATCAATAACGTTGGAGTGCGTGCAAAAATATTTCATCTGTTTTTTTTTTGTGTGATGGGATT